TCTTCCATTCCGGAGATGGAGAGCTTGGAGGGTGGACTCGCCGCCGTTGAAGGATGGAAGCTTGGAGGTCGGCGAGTGCACTTGCAGCGCCTCTGCTGCTGGGTAGAGGAAAACGAAAATGAAATTGGGGGGTTTCTGCCTTGCTGGGATCGACGACAGTGCTTTGATATTAGGACAGATAATTAATTATGATATAAGTAAATGTGTGTGTCAAATAAATTAAAATCCTATTCTAGCCGAGATGGTGAGATTGCTCTATCTGGATCATGGGGTTAGAGGTTCGATCCCTATCTCCCATTATATATAATCTTGAGAAATCACATTATATATATTGGATCATGGGGTTAGAGGTTCGATCCATATCTCCCATTATATATAATCTTGAGAAATCACATTATATATATTGGATCATGGGGTTAGAGGTTCGATCCATATCTCCCATTATATATAATCTTGAGAAATCACATTATATATATAGCTCCGCCACTGCATACATATATAGGAGTAATCACATTATATGAGAAATCACTCAAATAAGTGACTTATAGTTAGGAAAATGTTTACACGATATGCTCATTTGAAATAGGTTAAATACACTTGTATATCTAAAACTTTCACGGTTGTGCCAATAATATCCAAATTTCCCGAAATACAATTTATATCCAATTCCTTCACATTCTTTAACAGTATTTTTGGATATACAAGTGTATTTAACCAAAAATATATTGGGAAATGGATAGATTTGGCAAAGAACAACTTTAAAACATGGATATAAGTGGTATTTCGGGAAATTTGGATATTATTTGCACAACCGTGAAAGTTTTGGATATACAAGTGTATCAAAACTTTGAAATAAGCGTACTTCATGTAGATAACTGTATACAAGTATATCATTTTACTTCATGAACCTGGATTTTGAAATTCAAATTTTGCAGACTCCCCCCATTCCAAAATCGCACAATTGTGGGCGAAGGAGATGGATATTCTCTCTACAATCTTCGCATATCCAAGCAGAAAAGGACGTGGAAACGGGAGAGAAGAAGATAAAAGTTCTTTAATAATTGAAAGTTTACCACATTTGGACATCTAATTAAAATATTAATCCACAGCGTTAACACTTTCCCCTAAAAGTCCTCCTTCATCACTTGATCATAGCCGAAAGCGAGCTAAGGCCTTTTCACCATAAGTGATCAGATACATTAATGGATGCTCTGTACAAATCTGCAGATTGGTTTACTTCTTGTCCAATTGGTTCTCATAATTCGATTAGTTGGAATAACGTTAATCATGAATTCTATAACTTAATTTTACAGGTCTCTTCAAACCAAAGTTAATTTACGGATTTGAAAGTTTTCACAGGCTACTATACCTTGTAATTTAATCAACGGTTAATATTAGTGCTCGTGGACATTTTAACGCGCACGACTACTTGGCCAAACCAGCTTTGATGATATCATGTCATAAACTGTTTGGTCACAATAACCCGTTGAGGTCACGTGTTTAATTCCTCACGGCCCACAATATTAAATCGTTGCCTTAAAGCACATTATATGAGGGCTTTATGCAAACTTCAACCCCCCGTGATTTGATTTTCGTTTGATGGGGCGTGTAAGGAAGTGACTCAAATCTATACACGGATCTCTACCAACAACTCGAGTTATTGAAACCAATTGGATTGTGATTTTTTTTTTGACATGCTACTGAAAGGGTGTTAGCTGCGAGAGGAGAACTATACTCTGAAATGTCGATTTGGGATGCATAGATTGAAAACCAATAATAAAACCGTTTTAGCGAGTATGAACAAGATTTTCAAATTCCATGTGTACATTCCTCGACTGTTCCATTTCCTAACAAAATTTCATCTAGGATGTGCCACAAACACAATCATTCAGTCTTTGTCTAAATTCAACGAACGCTCACTCCACTATTCATCAATCCGCCATAGCCAGCTCGATCACTCATCTGCAGGCAGCTTAATTCATAAACTAATTCAAACGAGCGGCTTAAGATCAGTCCACAACTTTTCTCTTCAATAATTGAAGTCGATTGCCGTCTCTTTTTTTTTAAATGTAGCCTTAAACATCTACACATAATATAATACACCGAAGGAAAAAACGGGAGGCCCATTTCAAATTTCCTGCAACGAGAGTGAAAGTAGGAAGGACATTTTGGTCTTCACAATTACTTTTTTTTATTCATTAAAAAGACACATACTGGGATTCGAACCATGTCCATTTTAAAGAAAAATAAGGAATATAACCAATCACATTAAGTACATTTGTTGTGTCTTTTTAAATCAAAAACATATAATAGCAGGAAGAAAAAACCCCTTCCCCCATTTCAAATTCCCTGCTCCATGAGCGTTTGTAGGAATGGTAGAATAGGTAGTGTTAATTTTTTTCTCCTTCCTCTGTGGAACGGGGCTACTTACCGTACACATGCGGATTTAAAAGGGTTCAGGAGTGTCAATTTTTTTCTTTAAGCCCTTGTATTTCTCCGTGGTGATAAAATATATATGAAAAAGCAAAAACAATACTTCTTTTTATACTAAAAATAAAAAATTTAATAATAAACTAATACATGGTATCTAATGGGCAAACCGCTAACCATAAAATAAAAGAGTAGAATGGGCCTGACCTACACCAGATTTGGCCATCAAGTAAAACAAATGAACATCATTGGTTTGACATTATAAAACAAGTTATTTTCTCTAGCATAATATATATTATTATATTATTTTATATCTTAGTGGCTAAAATATAATGTAGTTTAAAGTTATTCAATGGTTCAACCTCGACCAACCCAATTAGTCCAATTTTTATCATTTCAAATATATATTATATAATTATTTGATATCATAATGATAAAATTATAGTGTATTTTATAGGGAATCGCTTGGTATTTGTTAGTAAAAAACTAAACAGAAAGATCTATTTGGTTATTTTAAACATTAAAATGATCCTAAACATTTTCAGTTTCTTTTGAATTTCTATAGTTTTATTCCCGAATAACTGATGTGCAAATGGCGAATTGCAGTCATCTATTTTCTTTCACTATTTTTTATTTTCAAATAGAAAGTTTAAAAGTAACGAATAATTAGAATTTTGCATGGTTCGGTCAAACAGGCTGAATTTTGAGTTTTGGCCCGTTTTGATCAAGTCTAATTTATAATCACATGGTTCCCTGATACCCGATAAAAATCTCAATCCAAACCAGTTTGGCAGGTGAGTCCGTGTTTACCACCATTCTCTAGGAATACGACAACGGTGGTTCCTATCCCAAATCGTGTTGTTCGTTCTTGATTTCCTTAGATTTTATCATGGCCTGACAAAAACCAGAAAGCACAATGACGACAAGATGAAAGTTTTATAAATCAAATTAATGGTGTTCTCTTTCTGATCTCATGTAATTATATAATGAAGTTGAAGTTTTTCGATGCTATTCAATTTCATTGGTATGTTTTTAATGGTCTAACTTCATGGTTGTACCCACTTTTGATGTACTGTTTATGTTCCAATATATTCACTTTGGTATGATTATTAGGGATATGCTAGGCGATACTCACCATTAGACCAATTTAGCTTAATGGTTGAATCTACGGGTTATCCCAATAATTCAATATTCGGCTCAACTCCTCCGACCAACGGGTCGGGTTACAAGCTAGTTATAATAGTTCGTCAACAGTTCTTGGCATGAAATACTATACAAGTTTATGATCACTATGTTTATCTATCTCATATAATTATTGAAAAAGATTCCATCTACAAGCCAAAACATAGCCGACCCTTTGAATTAAACAAATAAAAGTTTGTTCATATCGTAGGTGTTTCGACAATGACAACCAATTTTTTGGAAGAGTTTATTTAGCGAATTAAGGGATATATACCAAGAATTAAAGAAGTGTTCTATTGTTCTTACGAAGCAAGGATGAGCTTATCTATATTGAAACCTATCGTTGATCCAATAAATCATTAATTATGGCGTCCGTCTAATCTCAAAATTATGGACGGTTATTAAACGACAAAATGTATAAGTAAACTGTATACAAATTTTGCAAGATAAAATATGTATGCTAATTGGGTTCTTTTCATTGCAGTAAATTAAACTAACAGAAGTTAACATCTAATAGATCGTCATCCAAATAATTAAGAACTGAGCTAATTTTCATAAGATAATCGGGTACAGGTCAGAAATCGAAATCTACCATCGATATGAACATCATATAAGTTCAAGTTCGGCATGGAACAAAAGTAAATAGAGCGTGTATATGGGCCATTTTTATAAAAGTGATTTTGTGTTTTAAAAATTGAAATCCAGCAAAGCATCTTTATAAGCCTGGCTTTTGGAAAATGTAAAAAAAATAATTTTTATAACATAATTAGTATTTCTCTGAAAACTGCGATGAGAAACTAATTTTACAAAATGTACAGAAACTGAAAATGGGATCCGGCTATTAATTAAAATTAATGTCCCAAATTGCTACTACGAATGCACTTTTTTTTTATGGTTACTATGAATAAACTTGAGAGTGAGGAAAATGGAAAGTAAGCACAACGAAGACAAATTCCACGTATCCATTCCATGATCCTATCCAGTTCTTACACGTGGCTTGTCTTCATCCCACCTGGAATCCATTGCTTCGCTGTACCGAACGCAGTCCGTGACTGGCGGATAGGGCCGCTCTAGGCCAAATTCAAATTCATCTTAATTATCAGGGAATTGATTTAATTAATAAGATGAAATGGTAAATGGTCGCATTTTGGAGGTTGTATCACATAATTATTTTTTTAATATATAATCGTACTTCAACTCATAGTATATCGACTTTGATGATGATAATTTAGTGGTTATTATGGTGTAACTGTCAATATTATACGTATGTGCAATTTGAAATTACAGTTGATAACATAGAGCTGTCTTTAAACTAAGTAACTTATGCATATAGAATACTGCAATAAGAGTTACATATAAATTAGATAAGACAACAATATGTTCATAGAAATTATCAAGACTCGAACGCATCATAACTGTATTGCATTTTCGTATCGATACCTGATCAATTATTTCTCATTTTTTTAATTTCTCTAGAAAAAATTATTAAAATATTTATGTCGCGGACAATGTGACGACCGGGAACCGGCTACAGCCGGTAGACGTGAGTAGCATGGTCATGAGTATAAGTAAAGGGTGAGACGATGAGATAAGTCACACAGCTAAACCACACTCTTCCTTCCACTCTCCACTCTCTCTCTCTCTCTCTCTCTCTCTCTTCCGCAACTCCGACCAACTACTCGCCGCCGGTCAAACACCACCATGCCGATCAGAAACATAGCCGTCGGCCACGTCGGCGAGGCGACCCACCCGGACGCCCTGAGGGCCGGCCTGGCCGAGTTCTTCTCCACCCTGATCTTCGTCTTCGCCGGTGAGGGTTCCGGCATGGCCTTCTCCAAGCTCACCGACGGCGCCGCCAACACCCCCTCCGGCCTCATCGCCGCCTCCATCGCCCACGCCTTCGCCCTCTTCGTCGCCGTCTCCGTCGGCGCCAACATCTCCGGCGGCCACGTCAACCCCGCCGTCACCTTCGGCGCCTTCCTCGGCGGCAACATCACCCTCCTCCGCGGCATCCTCTACTGGATCGCCCAGCTCCTCGGCTCCACCGTCGCTTGCCTCCTCCTCAAGTTCGCCACCGGCGGCCTCGTAAGCTCCCTTAGCCCTAAACCTTCAACTCTCTACGTTTAAGCATTTTGGTGATCTGTAAAATCGTTAAGTTTTTAATTTCTAAAACACGTTTTTAACTACATTGGACATGGTTAGTAAAATACAGCAATGATAAATTAAATGCGTATGAGTTTTTTTTTTTTGTCTCTAGATTACTGGTACATCCAATCGTACATCAGTAATCATAAGAAATTAATTATTTAACATGTTCAACCTACCATTTTAATTCTTTAAATACAGATATAAAACAAAACGTATATGGATTTACATGTGTTTAGTATGGAAGTCAACAAATGAAGAGAAAAAAAAAAGAAATGATTTGACAATATTATGAAAATATAATTTTTTAGTGCATGTAAAATATGTACATCAATTTATACGCGTATTTAACGGAGTAACTATGACGGTACAGGAAACGGCGGCGTTTGGCCTGTCAGCGGGAGTGGGCGTATGGCAGGCGGTCGTTTTGGAGATCGTGATGACGTTCGGACTCGTGTACACCGTCTACGCGACGGCGGTGGACCCCAAGAAGGGAAGCTTGGGGACCATTGCTCCGTTGGCCATCGGTTTCATCGTCGGAGCCAACATTCTGATCGGCGGGGCCTTCGACGGAGCGTCCATGAACCCGGCTGTGTCGTTCGGACCGGCTGTGGTCAGCTGGAGCTGGGAGAACCACTGGGTCTACTGGGTCGGACCGCTGATCGGAGGCGGGCTGGCCGGAGTGATCTACGAGGTCATCTTCATCGGCTACGGGACCCACGAGCAGCTCCCCACCACCGATTACTAGGCGGTTGCATTAATTAATGGCTCGCGGCTTTTTCTGGATTTAATTTCATGTATTTATCTATCTTTAATCTGGTTTATGAGGTGGGTTTAAGGATGGATTAGTGTTGTGTTTGGATTTGTAATCGTGCTTTGGAAAATTCCGTTTTGTTAATCCAAGGGGTGGGTGTGTAATTTGTTGGGTTCCCCTCTCTTTCGGTTGTAAGATTATTGTGCTTCGTCGACACAAATTTGATCGAGTGACGTGGCGTCGTATCGGTCAACACAAATTTGTTGCCATTTCTCCTTAATCGCTTTGCTTATGTAGTTAAAAGTTAATTAGAGGTTAGGGGTCATTTTCCGTGGATCAACGCTGAAAGAGAATAATTTGAAAACTGCGGATAAAGTAGGCAAAAAGTAGTTCAAATTCAATTATTGAATGAAGGTAACGTTAATTACTACTTCATTATCATTATCTTAATGTGTAATCACGCTGAAAATGAGGATTTGCTACTTAAAACGTGGATGTGCTGGCGTCTCTACAGCGGTTGAGCTTTTAGTTGAGAGCTACCTCATGATAAGGTTTTTTAATTAGTATACAAAATCGGATTAGAGTGTTAATGAATTTCTGTTCTGGTTGTGTCGTAGGATCATATTAAGATCACAACAACAACGCATTAATAGAGCACGTATATATATTTTTTTTGTACGAAGGTGATATCCGTATGTTTTCATTCTTATGTGTTACATAAAAAAATTCAAATATGGAATTTTTATATTGAATCTCAGCCATAGATCCTGCTACACCAAGTCGTTAAAGTAGCTATATTTTTTGGTATATAGTTTGATTTGTTTTTGTGTTGAGTTTACATTCTTAGTTCAAGTAAAAAAGATGTACTAGTTATTTATTCTCGTTACTTTTTCGACATAACTTTTTATTATAACGTTGACGTCGTGTATGATAATATTTTATGCAAGCCTATCTAGTATGTGACAAAAAATGTTTCCAAATGAGCCGAGCTGAGTTTTGACCTAGCACAGGCTCAACCAATTAATTAACGAACAAGTCAAGTTCGAACTCAAGTTGCTTATTGAAATCTCGAACTCGTGTTTGACTCGAGGTCAACTCGAACTCGACTCATTGTTAAGCTCAACTCGAGCTCAACTCATTGTTTACTTATTATACGATATATGACTCCCCATCCACTCCATGAAGAGCCTAGAGAGACAATCGAACCACCACCAAGAAAATATTCTTTGGTGCACACTCATCAATCACCGTTTATATCATTGACTACGGCACTGAGCCAAAAGCTAGCTAGCAGCGCATGTGAAAAACCTTCTGCTAGCTTCTGGACCATTTCCTGTGTATTTTCCCTTTTGAAATGTCTCATTCTGGGGCATGCACCATAAATCCATAATAATACTATAATATAATATAATAGTGTTTGATTCGAGTTTGGCTCATCAATTAGCTTGCAAGATCGACTCGAGTTTCGATATCATGTAATTTAGCTCGAAGTTTTTAATTGTGCATATCATGTTATTTAAATAAGAGCAATTTATGATACATAATTGATTTTTTTAAATTATAAATGAGACACATTTAATGCGTGCTCAAATTCTTAAATATCACATGTGGCAAGATATGTAATCTAACAAATATGTGAATTATCAACAAGCCTATAATAAACCATTAGTCGACTTCCTTCATAAGTTACTAGTTGAGGTGGTTGTCGAGCGAGCTCGTGACTCAAATCAAGCAAAACTTACGAGTTGAACTCAACAAACCATCCAACCAAAAATGGCTCACGAAACTCAGCTCGTTGACATACGAGCTGAAAGTTCTTTTTGCTAGCTAGCCAGCTAGTTTAGCCCAAACCTAGTCGAGAGAGGATCAATATGTTTGGTGTAACATACTATTACTATCTCCACGGACTGACATGGTTGTATCCTTCCTAGTTCTCTTTAGAGGGAAAGTAAATGAAATGTATGAACAGTACTGTAAATTACTACTCTACAGTCTACATATATGGAAGTTGAGAAAACCTTGCTTGTTTTCTCTGTCGACGTTTTTCTTTTACAGCAGGGCTTGGGCTGTTTCTTCTTCGTGTATGATGCATCTATATCGTCCATTAGTAAGGTTAGACGTATGATAGTTTTGGCCGTAGGTTTAGCCCTAGCAGGAAGTCTTGATGACCTCTCCAACATTTGAGGTTACATGTTCAAGTTCTCACGATCCAAATATTAACCGTTGTCTTTAAAGCACATGGTATAGCACCATGACGAGACTATGCAAATTACTTCAATACCGCCATAAGTTGCCTTTCGTTTGAGAGAGGTGCAAAGAAATGGTTAAGTACCATACACTGACCTCTCCAACAACTCGAGTTATTGTAACAAGTTAGCTCATGACAGATTTGATGAGGCCCTTTAGTTGACCCCAGACTAGTGTTCTTTCTCTTCTGATTTTTCGATTGTCGGCAGATTAGCCGTTGTCTTTTTTTTTTTTTGGCACCACGTATATATGCTTTCTTTGAATTCACGTATGATTTGGTTTAGAGGTGTTTTCACCATTTCCCCACATCTTTTTTCTTGCCGTGTTCTATTTGTATGGTTGGGATGCAAAGATTGTTCATACCATTGTCCATTGTATACGTATCAATTCATAAAAAATAGATCACAAATGGCGATCAACTATCCCGAAATAATGGAAGTACATAATAATAATACCTCAACTTATACAAACAATGGAAGTACATAATATACAAAGATCATGCACAACAACAACAAACCTCTTCTATGTGTATGCTAATTGTCCTTTATGATTATCGACTCAATACCAACATTACACATCATTTAATTAACAACTGATCTCACACAATCTTAATAACTACCTCACAACGTTCAAAATCAAAAACATCAAATACCCTCGCATCTATCAAATACGTACCTTCTATGCTCTCATTGAGAACTGAGAAGGTAGGTAGAGAAGGAAAGATCGATTTGGAATCACAAAGGCAAACCTTCACCACCTTTCCTTTTGGTCTTTCCCCATCCAATTAGATGTCGTAACGTGGCAGGGCATAGTCCACATGATTCCCCGGGAGACGTTGTCGGCATCACCGTCCAAAAAACAGGTAAGTGGGTTCGAGGGTCCACGAGAAGGGTCGGGCCGGTCTGGGTTCTGTGCCGGTTTGGACAGTGGGCTGCGTACGGCCAGCGGTTTCAAGAATAAATGTGTGCTCAAATAAACACAATACTGTTCTACTTCTGCACCAGAAACATTCAAGGGGAAAGATATTAATGCAAAGTATTCACCATAGTTTGGAGGAGGAAGGATAGGGGATATGGCGGTAGCGATAGTGACTTGTATGGCCACCAAATCAAGGCCAGCATGTTTCACATGGACAAGCCATAAGGTGTGTAACCCGAAAAATGGGTCCAACCCGGTTTGATTTCCGATTTTAGAAGATGAATGAGACTATTATGAATCAATGAAGACATATCGTTATGAGTTACGGCCTATGAGTAACTTTTTGTACAACCGCGTGTTTCAAACGATAGATTTTGATACCATAACTAATTTATTAGGTATATGGACATCATGTACTACTAATTTGCCTCAACTAGTTTTCATTGTATTATTCATAAATTTATTAGTCCATTCGTTTTTTGTTTTTATAGTCTAGTTACGTTATTTACATATTAGTAATTTGGATCCAAAGCACTCAAACTAAGATAGGCGACGACGAATTAGTTATGGTAGTACGCAATAGGAGATCGGATGCAAACGTTGTTGGAGTTCCCGACTCTCACAGATTGTGTTCAGATGATAACTGCTCTAAATATAGGTTTAGAGTTGTGTGTGTGGTGTTCCTATGAGTGCCAGTTGGGTTGTTCATAATGTGGTGAAATAAACTTTTTTCTTTGTTCTAATTTAGAGTGTTCATCAGTGAGCGGAAAGGGGCTTGTAAGGTATTCTTTTTGTGAAATTTATTATTAAAAAAAAACTTACTTTCCTTCATCGAATAATTCTATCAAGATCAGAAAAATTATCGCTCTGAATACAACTTTTCCATAGTTTAGGGGGGTGAGGAATCTACTTCCCAACCTCATAAAAGGATTTTGTGGCTTAAGATGATACAAATGCTACAAACTGTAATTTTGGGTACTTTTTGTACAAATTCTTTTATGGTACAACTTAAACTTGTACCTTATATGATGGTACAACTTCAAGTTGTAAAATTGTACTATAACATAATGATACAAATTCTTTCAAGGTACAACCTAAACTTATACATTTAATGTTATGGTACAACTTCAAGTTGTACATTAAAACACCAATACTATATAGCATAGTAGAAGTGCTCGTTTGTTTACTCGCGAGAGAAAGAGGATTGGATTTCTTCAAGTGTTTTCCCTCTAGTTTCAGGAACCAAATGGGCTACAAACCCTATCGCCACAGCACTGACACTTGCATACATAAGAAATGTACCTGGCCAAAAGAGCAACAACAGAAAGATTTAAGAAATTTGCTCGAAAATACTACTAGTGATCGTATGCATAAGTCAATTTTGTAAGAAAAAAGGGTTTACCTAGAGGGCTCCATCGGAGCAAAGACTGGAAAGAAACTGACACCATGAGTCCAGATATGCTTGAGGATAGACAACACATTGTCCCTGCTGATCCTTTGATATTCAGAGGAAATATCTGATGACAATCAAAGTTCAAAAAAAAAAAAAAACTGTTAGTTCATTTTTATTTGAAAAAAATTAGGGCTTGAAAATGGTATAGATGCGGCAATGATTTGGTTCGTAAGGAATTATACTGAACCAAATATAATTGGACCCGGTTTCATGAATTTTAAAATATCTTTCACTATTGGACCATGATTCTACCTCTAATCCTTGTTAAATCTAATCCTTAATGCTCCTTTAGTTTTATCCTTATTATCTACAATCGAATGCCTTGAATCTATCTTTTATCAAATTACCTCTGCTACAATCATCCATGGAATTCCACTCCAAATGGAAATAGATCCCGAGTATATCTGTCATCAAAAAAGTAATAAAGAATATGTAAGCTGACTCATTTCGTATCGATTCTATGACATAAATCCAAAACGAGGTTCGGAATTTGAATTTTGCAAACGAAATTATGCTTGATAGAAAGAGTTTCGTCACGTGCTTTTCGTAGGAAAGGAAGGAATCTCAAAAGTCTTTTTTACCATTACACTTAGCAGTGCCAAAGTTGGAGACACTCTACTCCATCCCTCGAATCCCTAACACACATGAAATTTGAAAAATAATGAGGAGTCTATCCCAGCAAGAAAAAAAAGGAACAAACTTTGAAGAAAGTAGTGAAAACCTGTAGGATGAATGACAGTGCAGTAAGCAAGCTCCCAAGGCATGTTCCAATAACTCCAACCTTATCAAAACAAACCAAGAATTTATACTTAGGATTCCCAATTTATGTGGCTATCTTGTAAAACAGGTCTTTCTACCATTTCTTCTGTGGCTAACCTGTAAAAGAGGTCTTCTGCCATATCTATCCATCAATGCAGCAGCCAGAAATGTTGCCACAAGCTGTATATTTGATAAACAAGGAAACCCTCTTTGTAGACATTTGATTTTCCCACAACATATTACAAACAGTGAGCAAAATTGAGCTTTTTCATTTCAATTAAAAGAAACCTGGAAAGATGCCACTGCCAAGAACCCAACAGTGCTAGGGATTCCTACAAAATAAGAAGCATGAACTTTACCTTCCATGAAACTAGAGTCATGTCACAATGAATTAAGAAGCCATTTTTTTTTGTTACTTGAATATCAAACCTGCAGAGACAAAGATGGCAGCAGTATACATTGCGTATGAGTTCATCCCTGAGAATTGCTGCAGCAGCAGTAACCCATTTCCAACCTGGCCATCATAAAACTAATTGATTAGTGGAAGAAACCCAAAGATATAGAGAGAGTTTCTTGAGTTTGATTCAAGAAAGAGGGCTTACTATCAAAGGAATTGCATACTGTTTCTGGAACATATCCAAGCTGCTGCTGTTCTTAGAGATGCCATGGATGATTTTGGTATATTCCTGATGGATCATACATAGGTCATTTTAGTTACCTTCTGAAAATGGAATTGGAACTTAATTTTTTGTTATGAATTTACCAAAAAAGCAAACATTCCCCATTTACCTTGATTTCATCAACTTCCCAAGAGATATCAACAGTTCTTCCTCTAAGCTGCAGCAGGGCAGCTTCAAACTCTTTTTCCTTCCCAGTTTTAGCCTGCAATCCATGTAGCTTCGGTTAGAACGGATCGATATAATCGACAATGCAAGAAAGTAAAAGAACACACCGATTTACGTGGTTCGCTAACAGATTGTGTTTAGTTAGTTCACGGGCAGGAGAGAGTCAGTTTCACTACATTTTTAGGAGGTACATATTACAAAAATATATAAGGAAGTATATATAGCATTTCTCCAAATGGTCGAACCCTAATCCAATAATCCAATATGGTAAAAGAAAACAGCTTATAGACCAGACCCGAGAAGAGAAACGCACAAATCAAAGGTTGGTTTTTTTATGTACTCACCAACCACCTAGGGGACTCAGGGATGAAGAAGATAGCAAGAAGCAGTTGCACAAAACATGGAGTTGCTCCTGAGGAATAATGCACAAGCATGAAGGGGGGGAAAAAACCAGTACCATGATTCCAAAAACTTCAATGTAGTTCTTGTAGCTAGCTAGGTAGAGGTACCTATCAGAGCCAAGGCACGCCAGCTGATCAATGAACCCACAAGGAATGCAAATGAAATGCTGCAAAGCATCGTCAGCTGAGTGACTGACACAGCTGCTCCTCTTCGGTTGTTGGGTGTGATCTCTGCAACATACATAGGGGCCTTCCCCCATAAAAAGGAACAAATGAACGACATGGCTACGATTCTTAAGGGGTTAAATCGCGCGAATCGTAGATACTTAATTTGTTGCATCGTAACTGGTTTCAGAATCTGGTTTATCGTAACTTCCAACCCGATCAATCGTTCATCAATCGATGGTGAAAAGTGCAGAGGAAAATGAGTTATTACCAGGTAAATATTGATGGATGCTCCAGTTCCAATCAAGAGCATCCCTAAGTCAAGCTGTAGAGCACCCTATTCAAGATAACAGCACCCACATTACTTGAGGAGCAAGCAACCATTAAGGGTATCTCTCAAGAATCAAAACAAACAACAAGGGGAAAAAAAGAAAAGAATCAGACCTCTGCAAATGCAATTGTCAACCATCCAACTATGAACAGTCCATCCAGACCCAACATCGTCTGCACCAAAATTTATCAGTTCTTGTTACAGATTCCTTGTCATGAACAAGAAGAAATGAAACTTTATGTGACAATCCTTACACGTTTCCTTCCAATGAGTTCTGTAATCTTCCCACCGACTATAGAACCCATCAGTCCTCCAACAACCATCATTGACCCAAAAACCGAGTACTGCACAGAAAAACTCTGTAAACCTCTGTCTCTCTCTCTCTCTCTGTTCCTGCCTAGCTGAGTAATTAGATTCGTTAATTACTTACCTCATCAACTGAGAGACCCAATTCCTCAATGATTTGGTACTCAACAGGGGAAGTATATCCTATCTGCACATGGAGAAAAAAGAACAGACAATCATAACATTTGCAGCATTTGCATCAACAACCAAAAATGGCCGCCCACCATTTGAATTGGGACACTCACAGTGCATCCAGCGGAGAAGCTTCCACAAGCAGCTGCCAGGATGCTGAGAAGAAAGGTTGGAGTGAGAGGGGAATCTCGACCGCCACCATCATGGTCCTGAGAAGGAGGAAGGAGGAGAGGCTGCTGTGCCTGTGTTCTTCCTTCTTCTCCACTACTGCAGCTGGTTTCTTCCCTTTCCTGCTTCTTGGTCTTCCCCATCCTGTAATCAAACCCAAGACTGTAAACACTGTCTGCACATTTTTGTTTCGAAACACAGGTTAGTGGCTATTGATATTTATGGCGTGGATGTGTCTCCTTCTGACCTGCAATCAACGATGGAGTTGGGAGTTGGGACCTCTCCAGAATTTACTGATGACAACCCAGCTAGATAAAGCCATCGGCAGGGCAGGGAAGTGTGCTACTAACTACTAACAATCAAAAATATCAAATCAATCACTCAAAAAGAAGGAGTGGCTCTCGCTTTACCCACGGTGCATGGAATTGAATGGAAGACATTATTGTTAAGATGATGAACGTGCTGTTTTCATTTGTTTTACTGTCTGGTGGTGTTTGTCAAAAATGCAGTCTTTGGCACATCAAGTGGTCAATTTGGTGAACACTGTAAATTAGAGTATGGTTTCAGGTGTGCGATGTTCTGGTTCCGGTCAAACCTATGAGAACTACGATCCAATAGTGTGAACGATATGTTAGAATCGGATAGTACCAACATTGCATTAGGTCCAATTCAAATATCAATTCGATCCAAAAAAAAATTCTTGAGCATTCGTAAAGATCATGTGACCGAAAATCGAACCACATTAAATTTAATTTGATATCCGATGCTCAAGCACGGACCAAACCATTGCACTCTCCAGTCTCCTACAACCACTATAGAGTATAGAGTATAGAAAGAAAAAAAAAATGTCTTGTGATAATGCAAACAAGTGGATGGAGTCGTCCAAGTACTAGCTGAAAATGGGCCGTTTCAACATGTGGATTAGTCTACGTTGTTGGACTTTCTCCTGCTATGGTCCGTCATGGCCCATAAAAAATCCGTAGCATCCTAATTAAGCGAAGCCCAAAATTAGCCCAGCCCGTTTAAAAAAAAACTTGGGGGGCTGATTGGTGGGGACCGAACTCGTGCTTCGTTTCCTTTGCTTTAGAGCGGCGCGAAAGTGGGAGATATTTTGAGAAAGCGAAATCCAAGAAAGCTAATTAACGTGTAATCTACACATAATATAATACACCGAAGGGAAAAACGGGAGCCCCATTTCAAATTTCCTGCAACGAGAGTGAAAGTAGGAAGGACATTTTGGTCTTCACAATTACTTTTTTTATTCATTAAAAAGACACGTACTGGGATTCGAACCATGTCCATTTTAAAGAAAAGCAAGGAACATAACCAATCACACTAAGTACATTTGTTGCATCCTTTTAAATCAAAAACATATAATAGCAGTGAGGAAAAACCCCTTCCCCCATTTCAAATTCCCTGCTCCATGAGCGTTTGTAGGAAGGGTAGAATAGGTAGTGTTAATTTTTTTCTCTTTCCTCTGTGGAACGGGCCAACTTACCGTACACATGCGGATTTAAACGGGTTCAGGAGTGTCAATTTTTTTTCTTTAACCCCTTGTATTTCTCCGTGGTGATAAAATATATATGAAAAGGCAAAAACAATACTTCTTTTTATGCTAAAAATAAAAAAAATTTAACAATAAACTAATGCATGGTATCTAAAGGGCTAACCGCTAACCATAAAATAAAAGAGTTGAATGGGTCTGACCTACACCGGATTTGGCCATCAAGTAAAACAAATGAACATCATTGGTTTGACATTCTAAAACAAGCTATTTTCTCTAGCATAATATATATTATTATATTATTTTATATTTTAGTGGCTAAAATATAATGTAGTTTAAATTTATTCAATGGTTCAATCTCGACCAACCCAATTAGTCCAATTTTTATCATTTCAAATATATATTATATAATTATTTGATATCATAATGATATAATTATAGTGTATTTTATAGGGAATCGTTTGGTATTTGTTAGTAAAAAACTAAACAGAAAGATCTATTTGGTTATTTTAAACATTAAAACGATCCTAACAGTTTCTTTTGAATTTCTATGGTTTTATTCCCGAATAAGTGATGTGCAAATGGCGAATTGCAGTCATCTATTTTCTTTCACTATTTTTTATTTTCAAATAGAAAGTTTAAAAGTAACGAATAATTAGAATTTTGCATGGGTCGGTCAAACAGGCTGAATTTTAAGTTTTGGCCCGTTTTGATCAAGTCTAATTTATAATCACATGGTTCCCTAATACCCGATAAAAATCTCAATCCAAACCAGTTTGGCAGGTGAGTCCGTGTTTACCACCATTCTCTAGGAATACGACAATGGCGGTTCCTATCCCAAATCGTGTTGTTCGTTCTTGATTTCCTTAGATTTTATCATGGCCTGACAAAAACCAGAAAGCACAATGACGACAAGATGAAAGTTTTATAAATCAAATTAATGGTGTTCTCTTTCTGATCTCATGTAATTATATAATGAAGTTGAAGTTTTTCAATGCTATTCAATTTCATTGGTATGTTTTTAATGGTCTAACTTCATGGTTGTACCAACTTTTGATGTACTGTTTATGTTCCAATATATTCACTTTGGTATGATTATTAGGGATATGCTAGGCGGTACTCACCATTAGACCAATTTAGCTTAATGGTTGAATCTACGGGTTATCCCAATAATTCAATATTCGGCTCAGCTCCTCCGACCAACGGGTCGGGTTACAAGCTAGTTAATTATTAATTAACCTCAATAATTGGGCTTAGATATTTTGCTTCCCCGAACCAAAATCCCAGGTATACCCCGACTTCCGCGTTTCTTTTTTTTTCTGTTTTTTTTTTTATCAACGGTGGGTATAGCTGGGATTTTCTCTTTATTTGTCTGTTTGGTTCCTGGAAAAAATTTCAAGGAAGGAACGGAGAGCGGGTTCGAAGTGGAATTTTCAGCTCCTGTTCACAAAGAAAATAAGGTGTCAAGAATGAGCTAATCCCAATAATTCAAAATTGTTGGGGAAAACTCAATTATGAATCATCTATCACTTACTACCATCGTGAATTTTCGTGTATAATAATCTTAGATGGTACATTTGCTTAGATCTCTTTGGTAAATTAACAACTTAGCTTTTCATTCATTCGTTCATCAAACAACTTATTCAAGGCCATGAAAATCCAAGGATTTCGTGGTGAAGGATCTAATTTCCAACCTCATGAAAGGATTTCGTGTCTTGAGATAGTACAAATATTCCACACTCGTAGCAATCTGTTTCCCCCCCAAAATCTTGGGTTGTTCATTCACTTGTGGGTGAAAGAGGATTGGATTTCTTCAAGGGTTTTCCCTCTAGTTTCAGGAACCAATTTGACTGCAAACCCTATTGCCACACCACTCGCACCTGCGTATATAAGAAATGTACCTATACAAAAATGGTATAATTTCTCAAACAAAGGCAATTATTATTCGACACTTTTTACTATATTTCCCAGTTATTAAAGAAGAAAGGTTTTACCTGGAGGGTTCCATTGAAGCAAAGATTGGAAGGTCAATGAAACCATGAGTGAAGAGATATTGTAGGATAGGCAACACATTGTCCCTGCTGATCCTTTGATGCTCAGAGGAAATAGCTGATCACAGCCGCCACATTAAGTATAAAAAAAAATAAAGAAGAAATAATGAGTTCATTTTTATTTAAGAAAAATTCATGGCTTGAAAGTAATATTGACAAGTCTCTCAAATATATCTTCTACGAAATTACCTCTGCTACAATCATCCATGGAATTCCACTCCAGACAGCAATCGCTCCCTCGTATATCTGCCAACGGAAAAATGCAATATTTATCAATTTTGTATCAGTTCAGCAACATATATGCAAAATGAAGCTATTTATTCGAAACTTGGAAATGAAGTCATGCTCGATAAATAAAGAGTTTTTGCCACATGGGTTCGTAGGAAGGAAAGAATCTCATATGTGTTCTTACCATTACACTTAGGAGTGCCAATGTTGGAGTCATTCTACTCCATCCCTCAAACCCCTAGCATATATGAAATCCAAAAAAAAAAAAAAAAACATTTCAGGTTTTTTTTTTTTTTTTGGATAATGAAACATTTCAGGATTTAATCTTTCCCAGCAAGAACAAGGAACAAGCTCTCAAGAGAAAGTGATAGTTAATTAGGGATTTAGGGTTATTATCCATCCATAGAGAACAGTGGAAACCTGGAGGATGAATGACAGTGTAGTAAGCAAGCTCCCAAGGCATGTTCCTATAACTCCAGCCTTACCAAAACAAACCAGAATTATTTCCACTAAGGATTTCCAACTTATGTGGCTACCTTTTAAAAGACAGTACTCTTTCTACCATTTCTATGTTGCTAACCTGTAGAAGAGGTCTTCTGCCATATCTATCCATCATTGTAGCAGCCAAAAATGCTCCCACAATCTGGAAAGATGCCACTGCCAAAAACCCAGCAGTGCTTGGGATTCCTGCCATTGAAGAGCATAACACCCAAAAAAAGCAAGATGACTATACTTTCCATGAATTCTGAGCCATCCCACAAAGAATTAGGAAGCCATATATAACATAATGAAATTTCAAACCTGCAGAAACAAAGATGACATCAGTATACATATTGTATGAGTTCATCCCTGAGAATTGCTGCAGCACCAGCAACCCATTTCCAACCTGCCCATCATCATTGACCAAGTGATTAGAGGCAGAACACGAAAGACAGTTCGAGAGCGAGAGAGCTGATCTTGAGTAAGTTTGATTCAAAGAATGGTGGCTTACTATCAAAGGAATTGCATACTGTTTCTGGAACATATCCAGGAAGCTGCTGTCCTTAGAAGAGATGCTGTTGATGGTCTCTATATATTCCTGAAGAATCATCATCAGCCTCGTATATACATATATGTCATTTTCTATATGCATTTATCAAATAACAAAAAAAAAAAAAAACAGCCTCTTTACCTTGATTTCATCAACTTCCCAAGAGATATCAGCATTTCCTCCTCTAAGCTGCAGCAGGGCAGCCTCAAACTCCTTTTTCTTCCCAGTTTTAGCCTGCAATCCATGTGGCTTGCAATTAAGCTTAGACTAACCAACCCATAATACAACAAACCGGTTTACTATTGTAATCAACCCCACAAACCAAAGGTCAGTTTAATGTACCCACCAACCACCTTGGAGACTCAGGAATGATGAACACAGTAAGAAACAGCTGCACTAGACATGGAATTGCTCCTGAACAAAAAAAAAACCATGATTCCAAAACTTTCAATGTAGTTGCATATCTTTTTCATATAGCTTAAGCTTGTGGCTAGATACCTATTAGTGCCAAAGCACGCCAGTTGATCAATGAACCCAAAAGGTATGCGAATGAAATGCTGCAAAACATTATCAGCTGAGTGACTGAGACAACTGTTCCCCTTAGGTTGCTGGGTGTGATCTCTGCAACATAAATAGGGGCCTTCCCCCATAAAGGAAAAAAGGCGAGGTCAGACTGCGGATTATAGATTTTTTTTTTTTTTTGCGTAGTAACTGGTCTCAAAGTCAAGTTTATAAAAATTTTAGTCCGATCAATCGTTCATCATTGGTCACAGGAAAAATAAACATTTTTCGAATTATACTGTCCACCACAAGTCACAACCACAAGCGAACTAATGGAGGGGTTTTGAGATTTGTAACAGATACAGGTAAGTTTTTTTGTAAAAAGACAATAAAACCCCATATTTGTTTATGTAGAGATAAAATTCACCATTTTGAGGTGACATGAAGATATTTTATTATGGTATTAAAGTTCATTTTTTGTTACTTGATTATTGTAATATTTATTTATTATACTAAAACCAAAATTTATGGAATAATTTATATTCCAAATAAATAATAACCTAATTTCAACTGCGGGTTCCACTTCCACCACTCATCACAACGATTTTGAGGCCAAAATTATTACCAGATAAAGATTGATGGGTGCTGCCATTCCAATCAAGAGCATCCCAAAGTAAAGCTGTGGAGCACCCTATACAAGATAACAAATGTTTCAGATACCACCCGTTTGGACCGAAAAATACTGAAAACCGAAAATCTTTTCGAAGACAGTTTTATCGATATAAACCGATTGAACCACACTTTAAGAATAAAATACACTAATTATTGTCTTTCCCGGTACGGTTTTACAATAATTGGAGATAACAGCCCCGCATAACTTCAGGAGCAAGCAGCCATTAAGCAAATATCTCAAGGACTACCCTAACCAACAGAAGAAGAAAAATGAAGAAGATGGAAAAAGATTAGACCTTTGCAGATGCAATTGTCAACCATCCACCTATGAACAGTCCATCCAGACCCATCATTGTCTGCACCAAAATTAACAGATCTTGTTACAAATTCCTCGTCATGAACAAGAAGAAGAAAAACAAACTTACGTGACAATTCAAGGTAGTAATCATCCTTACACGTTTCCTTCCACTGAGTTCAGTAATCTTCCCACCTACTAGAGAACCCGCCAGTCCTCCAACAACCATCATTGACCCGAAAACAGAGTACTGCACAAAAAAAAAAAAAATACTCTGTTTTAAACCTCCGACCCTTTCACTCTCTGCGTAGCTGAGTAACTAGAATTCAAATCAATGACTAACCTCATCAACAGTGAGACCCAATTCCCCAATGATCTGGTACTCAACAGGAGAAGTGTATCCGATCTGCACAAGCAAGCCAGAGAAACAGAGTGTATCTCATAACATTGCAGCAACTGCGTTTACCAAAATGCCACCACCATTGAATTGGACACTCACAGTGCATCCAGTGGCGAAGCAGCCACAAGCAACTGCCAAGATGCTGAGAAGAAAGGTTGGAGTGAGAGTGGAATCTCGATCACCAACATGATCCTGAGAAGAAGAAGAAGAAGACGATGATGATGATGATGAAGAAGGAGGAGGAAGGAGGAGAGGCTGCTCTGTTTCTTCTTCCCTTTCCTTCTTGAACATCCCCATCCTGTAATAAACTCAAGACTGTAACTCTGCAAAGTGCAATGTCTTTGGAAACACAAGTTAGCTGCTATTTATGGGAAGCCTGTCCCTTCCTGTCCATCGATGATAAGAGTACCTGGGGCCCAGATTTGTTGAATACAGCCTAGCTAGAAAAAGTCATTACAGAAAACAGAGTATGGGGGGAATTCAGAGAGACAGAGGGTAGGGAAAGGGTAAGAATCGATACATCAAACCAACTATATTTGAAGAAGACGAAACTAAATGGAAGGATGACTGTGAATGAACAAGTTGCATGGAGTGGACGACAAAATTATCACAGTAACTGGGGGCCATGCAGGTACTCATTTCATTGTTTCACTATTGTGTTGTTGTTTAGGGTTTTTGTGTACTATGTGGTGAAGATTTCTATCAAAGAATAATGTTTTGTTAGAAAGCTACAAAAGATTGAGGTGCACGATGAGGGACAGTGATGGGCATGGGGAGGGGCAGTACCTTTTATGTCCATATCCGTTTTGCATCAAGTTGAATCATGTTGGGTAAAATTTGTGCGAGTCGAGATAGGTCGACCTATTCGTATATATTATTTGAAAAAAATATTCATTTTTAACAATAAAACAATGGAAAATCACTCATAAATGAGAAACATGGATAATAGAAAAATTAATTGAGTCCAATTAGTTGAAAATATGAATGAATATAGGTCAAAATAGAAGAGATATTGAGATAAATCTGGTAGAACGAGAACAAGACGAGAAAGAACATTGCAGAAATAGTACCCAAGTCCTACCCCACACCGTGTCTTCGTGTCAGGTAGGGATGACAAAAATATCTGTAACCGTGGATATTTGCTCGAATCCGACTTATTCGGGTAGGATAAAACTCGAAACCGAAGGACTTTTAGTGAGTACGGCTTAAACCCGAACCCGAATATTGCGGGTAATAATGGATGAGCATGATTTTCTCAGTATCCAACCCGAACCCGCCCGATTATCACATGCATATGTATATAATATTTTTTATGAAGTTGTGTTGTTTTAATAAATTTTCTTCATTTTATTGAGTTATTGTCGTACTTTCCCCTTATGTAATGTGTACGTAATGTGAGTATACGTGTGAATGTTAACATATTGGTTGGAATTATAAAGAAACATTATTACTCATGGATAACTGTAGATACCCGAACACATATGAGCATGGTTTTGATTTTCTTCCCGTTTCTCATGTGGATATGAGTATGGGTTAAATGTCTCACTTAAACTCAAACTACTTTAAATAGGGCAACGGATATGACACTATCCGCCCTGGATCCCACCCATTGCCATCCCTAATGTCAGGTAATGCTCTACAATCATTTAACACAAATCCATGCAATAGTAACCAATAGCCATTCACAATATATCTTCAATGGGAAGGCGATTTCCATTTTACATATCACTCCGTCGTGGCAGAGCAGAGACAAGCACCATACTCGCCGCATAGGATATTATAGCTCCCGCTAGTGGTGGAGCTAGGTTAAAATTAGAAGGAGTTTGTAGCTCTCTCAATTTTAAAATATAGGTAAAATTACATGTAAAACATTTCACAATTAGCATTACATATCATCATCAAATACATCATGAGAAAGACTCAATCACTGGTTGAATTCATTCATCATAAATCACTGTTGTATGCCGACAATCGAGTATCTGGAAAAAAAACATACATAAACATCATTTGGATACGATCACAATATTGACTCTCTCATACAACTTATGACACCCTGTCAAAGCAAGAGATACTACCTCATTCAATCGGCAGGTTCCTTTCTCATAAACTAAGTGGTTTCTATAATTTGAATTGTTAGAAGATATCCATGTATGGTACCTGACCACATCCTTATTATACACATTCCATCAAAACAAAAGCCAACTTATGGACTTGAAATTCACACAATCTTACAATACTATGTGCTTTAAGACAACAGTTAATATTGAGAATCGTCATGTCATAAACCACCTGATCTCAATTTCCTCTTTCTTTTCTTTTACTCCTATCCCTCAATTTTCCTCTTTCCTCTTCCATTTCTTCAATGTATCTTGTACTTTGTAATAAAAATTTGATCTTCCATCAAACAAAACAAAACAAAAAGCCCCCCACCCTTCTTCAGCTCCTCTCGCTTTCTCTAAGTACTTTGCGGTGGTAAGGATAGATGGCAGCATGAGAGAACAAGATGGTTTAATAGAACTGAAGGCGTAGATAGTAACCACTAAAGGAAGGCACACAATGGACCACGTGTGAATTAAACTGTTCCAACTACCAAAGTTATAGTTGGCGACGTGTATTAAGCTGGTCCATGCAAAATGTCCAAAGGAAATTATGGGAGGATATATCATATACATCATAGAGCAAATAATGTAGAGATCGGATCATCAACGAAATTCGAACAAAAGTTCTCTCGATAACAGAAGGTTCCAATACCGTGTCAAAATCAGTTGATTTCAATTACTCAAATTGCTTGAATAAATTTAATTATGAATTCGATATCATTTACTAACACAAATTACCTCATATATATAATATAAGTCAGACTCCTAATACTCTTAAATCAAGGGAGAGACAACTAAATTGTTTTGAAAGTAAAAGGGTTAACAATAATTATTAGTCAAATCTTTCCTGCATTGTTTTTTTTGTTAGCCAAACTTATCGAATTACTAATATTTATTCAAATGCTAACTTTCATGTAGCAATTTTGTTAGTAATATTGACTTGACGGCATGATACTGAATTTGAATAGACACATGAATCATAGATGTTAACATTCCAAAATTTTAGTATTTTGACTGAAAAAGAGTTACAATATTAATAATAATAATAGTGCAACAATGGTTAATATTTTGGTGCATTATAAAAGATTCAGTTAATTATTAATAATTTAATAAATTTGAATAATAAAAAAAAGTTTAGCTAATAATTAGTGTTAGGAGAAAATTAAAAAGCAAGTCTTTTCAAATAAAAGTGATTGAGGGTAAAGGACCCAGTAATGTCCACTCGTTTTATATTTTATCTAAATGCGCTTTGGGACCCCTTTAAATTTGTGAGGAAAATAGATCGAGTAGGGTATTAATTTTTAGTCCAAAACGTCATGACTCTTCAATTATTAAAGAATATGTGATCCTACACTTGTATATCCAAAACTTTCACGGTTGTATCAATAATATCCAAATTTCCCGAAATACCACTTATATCCAATTCCTTCACATTCTTTAACGGTGTTTTTGGATATACAAGTGTATTTAACCAAAAATATATTGGGAATGGATAGATTTGGCAAAGAACAACTTTAAAACATTAATATAAGTGGTATTTCGGGAAATTTGGATATTATTGGCACAATCGTGAAAGTTTTGGATATACAAGTGTATTTAACCTAAAATTTATTTATAAACTGAGATAAAACCCAATTGAACACTATTTCTCAAACTTTTCATCCAAATCATACAATTTCGTGTTGTTTTATTGTAATTAATTTGCATCAATTACGTCAAATCTCACATAGCCTAGCGGTGAAATCCTGGTTGGGCACTCATTTCGGGAAGTGACAGATCATGTGTTTGACTTCCCACAGAGATTGGATATGGTGTTCTCGGAAGTATTTAATAGAGATCCTCGTGGATGGTCCGTCATACTCAAACAAATGAACCCCCAAGTTTGGTCTCACTCCGCCATCACTCAAGCCGTGAGTTAAGGATGGCAATGGATCGGGTCGGGCGCGGATAATGCATAACCGTTACCCTACCCATAGTAGTTTGGGTTTTACCCATACCCATACCCACATGTGAAACGGGCAGAAAATCAGAACCATGCTCATACTCGTTCGGGTTTCGGGTATCCACAGTTATCCATGAGTAATAATTTATCTTCATAACTCCAGCCAATATGTTAACATTCATACGTATTCCCACATTACGTAAGAGGAAAAGTACGACAATAATTCACTAGAATGAAGAAAATTAATTAAAACTACACAATTTCATGAAAGTTATATATAGGGTTAATAGCATTTCATACACCTCTACTATTGCGAATTAACAAACATACCCCTCTACTAATTTTTTGCACAAATATACCCTTTTACTATTAAAACGTAACAAATATACACTTCCGTCTACTTTTCTGTTAAATAACCGTTTAATGAGTGGTGACGCAACTCTCTTCTCCCGCGAACATCAGTTGTTGACGCAATCCACTTCTCCCTCCATCTGTGCGTCCGGCCACCGGCGCCAGAGAAATCTTGTATATGTCTATATGAACTGCCAGCTGAACATCCTTTGGCTGCCGAGAGCATAGCTAGCTTCACTATATATATTAGGAGCAGCCTTTGGATGAGAGCGTAGCCAGATTTCTATGGTACAGGGGAGAGAGGGGAGTAGAGAGGAAGAAGAAAGGGTTTGTTGTCGGGTTAGAACGGCTGGGAATGCTTAGATTTTCTTATTTAAATTTGTGGGATAGCTTTTAATTTTTAGAGACATAAAATATATTAAATCAAAATTAGTAGTTTTCATGAGTTAATGAGGGCAATTGGGACATTTTACGGTCTATTAAACGGACATTTAACAGAAAATTAGACGGAAGTATATATTCGTTACGTTTTAATAGTAGAAGGGTATGTTTGTGCAAAAAATTAGTAGAGGGGTATGTTTGTTAATTCGCAATAGTAGAGGGGCATAAAATGCTATTAACCCTTATATATATATGCTAAATATTGATTATTTCTAGACAAAATACATATGCATGCGTATAATCGGGCGGGTTCGGGTTGGATCGTGAGAAACCCATGCTCACCCATTATCCGCAATTTTTGGGTTCGGATTTTACCGGTACCCACTAAATGTCCTTCGAGTTCAAGTTTTACCCTACCCGATTAGGCCTGATTCGAGCAGATATCCACAATTACAGATATTTTTGCCATCCCTAGCGTGAGTGCATGGGAATGTTTCTGAGTTATTTAAAAAAAATTAAAATTTGCATTAATTACTTTGTCGCATAATCCCGTAAAGTATGGAGAAGAATATCAAAGGGAGGGTCCAATCACCAGCCGAAAATGGGCCGATTTGAACAAATGGAGGAGTCTACTTTGTTAGATTTTCTCCTGCTAATGGTCCGTCGTGGCCCATAAAAAAACCCATAACCACCTAATTAAGCCAGGCCCAAATTTAGCCCAGCCCGTTAAAAAACCTTGGGGGGACGGCGATTCATTGAACCAAACTCGTGCTTAGTTTACTCTGGGCGGCGCGCAAGTGGGAGATGGCAAACGTGGCGTGTCGCTATTCGTTTTTGGATGAGATTGAAAAATAATTTTGAGAAAGCGATATCCGAGAAACCTAATTAACGTGTAATTAATTATTAATTAACCTCAATAATTGGGCTTAGATATTTTGCTTCCCCGATCCTCTTTTCTTTCTCCTCCTCCTTTTGCTTTCTCCGTTTCCATTCCTTCTGCAGACAGCTCAGCCAGAGCTGCAGAGGCATCCACTTGAGAAAAAAAAAATTACAGCTGATTCATCATCCAAGTGGTTCCCTCTTGCACAAAAATTCCTATTTTTCCACCGGCCGCCTCGTTTGTTCGACGAGCCGATCTCTGGCGTTAGTTTCTTTCAACTTGTGCTTGCTTTCCCAAGCTCGAGTTAGCAGAAACTGTAAATGGAGCTGTCGTTTCTGAGATTTCCTGTTTGTTTGTCTATTTGGTTCCTGGGAAAATTTCAGGTGGGCAGCTGAAGAGAAAAAGAAGGAATGGAAAGCGGATTGAAAATGCAATCTTCTCCTCCTCTTCAGGATATGGGAATTGGGAACTTCGGGTAAATGATTTTGATCGTACATTTGATTCGTTTCAATTCATTTATCCTCTGATACAATATGGTTTTGCTGGAGAAAAATCTTGATGGGTTTTCCCCCCTCTTCTTCATCAGGTGTTCGCACTACAGTAGAAGGTGCAAGATCAGGGCGCCGTGCTGTGACGAGATATTTGATTGCAGGCATTGCCATAACGAGTCCAAGGTTCTTTCTATCTCTCTTTTTTAATCAGTTATTGCTTATGGGGTTTTTTATTGTGTCATAATCTTGTGCAATTTCTTATATTTACTGTCCTTCGTATCCCAGAACTCGATTGAAGTTGATTGCCATGATCGTCATGACATTCCTCGCCACCAGCTGAAACGGGTTAGTTGAGTAGTTTTCTGATTAAAGCTTGCATCTTTGTTGGTTTTAGCAGCTTAGATTTTGGTTAGGAAGAAAAGTGGTTGTTATCAATGTTTGAAATCCTCATTTTCTATGTGATTTGACTTGGAAAGAGATGGTTTGGTCCTACCTAGATCCCTTGTCTGTGAGAAAGTTGAGAAATCCTTATGAGGAATATTCGAGTATTTCTTTTTAGTTAAGGTTTATAGCATCTTATCCTTGCACTTTTAATGAGCGGCTAATCAACTTTCTGGCAATCTTTGGATGTGTTCTGTGTAACAGGTCATTTGCTCCCTTTGTGACACAGAACAAGATGTAAGTTCTTTGTGCCTTTGCTTGAGCACTGTTGAAAGTTACAGTATCTGCATGCATATCCAGTTTCTTGACTTCTCTTTAGATGTAATAGGTTCAACAGCACTGCATCAATTGTGGAGTTTGCATGGGGAAGTACTTCTGCTCCGAATGCAAGTTCTTCGATGATGATGTAAAGCTTCCTCGGTCCTGCAAAAAATATAATCGCATTTTGCTTTAGCCTTGTGCATACCTTAACTGATGCAGCCCATTCTTGTTTTCCCAGGTCTCAAAGCAGCAATACCACTGCAAAGAATGTGGTATCTGCAGGTTTTTACTTGTGCCTTTGCCTACTCTTACCTTTGATGATGAAAATGCTAGTTTCCTTTCTTTGCTCATGGTGCGTTTCTGTCTGTAAATTTTATGTTTCAGAACTGGAGGGGAGGATAACTTTTTCCACTGTGACAAATGCGGTAAGATTCTTCACATAAAGGAAACATTAGAATTGAAGATTGGGGATCCTGGTTTTCTTACTTATCGCCGTCCTGGATGGTTAGGATGTTGCTATTCAACGTTTTTGAAGGATTCACACAACTGCGTCGAAAGAGCAATGCACCATAACTGCCCTGTGTGTTTTGAGGTACACTTACAAGCTGAGAACATCTCATTATTCGTCACAGTGGGTGTATTTTGTTAAAACTGGCTTCCCTCTTCTTGCCACAGTTTTTGTTTGAGACGACGAAAGACATCACAGTATTGCACTGCGGACACACTATCCATGTAGAATGCCTTAATCAGATGCAAAGACATTTTCAGTAAGCATCTCGGAACTGCTGAGACCGATCTAATTTCTCTAATCGTCATCCGTGTTCATAAACTGTACTTACTAACCGTTTCTGTGTGTTTGTGTAGATACTCTTGCCCTGTTTGCTCCAAGTCCTATTGTGACATGTCCCAAGCATGGAAGAAACTTGATCAAGAGGTAATTAATCAAGCACCAATTGTAGCAACGGTTTGATCACCACAATTTACATCAAATGCACCAGTCAAACTTGGGTGTAAGTGAATATTGTGTTTCTTTCTTCCTCACTAGATTTTGTAATGTGAAACCAATCTGATGCAGGTTGCTTCAAGACCTATGCCACAAATTTATCAGAATAAGCTGGTAAGGAGTCAGTGACCGAGTGTGAGAGACATAAGCCCGAGTTTTTCTTTATGGGTTTTCTCAGCTTATTTTGGACGGTTTTCTCCAATGAACTTACTGCAGGTTTGGATCCTCTGCAATGATTGCGGAGAAACATCAGAAGTGAACTTCCACATCTTAGCACACAAGTGCCTGAAGTGCAATTCATACAACACAAGGCAGACCAGGGGAGCGAAAGCAGCAGCTTGCTCATCAAGGATCCCAGAAATGGTGAGATGAATGGCTCTTTCTTTGCATCTCCTTGTTTTCTGAGCTGGAAAATGAAAAGAACCAACTACCATGATCCTTCCTCGTTACCGGAGCACCATCCGAATTGCTGGAACTTCGCCGAGAGGTGTTCATTGCCAAAGCACCCAGAGGCTTAGCTTCCAGAGAGCTTTGTGGTTTATATTCTGTCAAGCGTCAACCTCTTATATCTTGGGGGAGAAGAAAAGTTTGTTATGGGAGTGTTGAAGTTCTTCTCCAGTCATTTTTCTTGCCTGGCCTCTGTACGTACTGTGGTTACGCTTCATTTGATCAGTTGAAAAAGAAAAACCAGGTAAATAAATTGAAATCGGACTACACCAGATCCGAAACAAATGCATTTTTCATTCTATTCCAGTCTCTCGTCCATTTTTCGATTCCATTCTATACCAATTCTATGCGATTTCGGACTTTGAATGTAACAAAAATAAAGAATAATCTATTATTTAGGGTCAGAACTTGAGAACTACATCAGAGGAAAACCATAGTATATGGTGGAAATTATATTTTCTTTCTGGAATCCACAAGCAAAAAATAGAAGCAGCTTGACCAAGGGGAAAACTGTGACTTCAATTGGGAGTCTCGACACTGCTTGGTCCATAAAGGTCTACTTCTCTCTGATGGAGCTGCTGAACTGGCCTGGCATTTTGCTCTGCATACTGCCAGAATCAATTCAGAAAATTCAGTCTATCAGAATTCAAATGAAATAGTCATTTCTTGTAGGTAAGCAAATCTATTGAAAGTCAAAGATGTAGTTAAGCTAGTTACATCGTGGACTGCATCACGAAGGGCTTTGATTTGGTCTCTGGAAACTGTCCTTATCTGTACATCAAGGCAAGAAGGAGTCATTATTAACACAAATAAGTTGCAGAAATTTTGATGAATTGTAGATCAAGGCAAGAAATGATGAAACTGTCCTTAACTATGGCACAAGGAAATCTGAGGATTACCTTTCTGCTCATGGTCCAAATGACTCCTTCTGTGCATGGTGGGACAGTGAGGGAGCCAATGTATCTATAATACTTCTTGCCTCCCATCTTAATCTCTCTAGGGTCCATTACACCCATTTCCTTCTCAATCTTTTTCTTCTTGTTCTTATCCATCTCGTCGTGCTCAATGGATTTAATGTCCTTGATCAATTTCGACAGGAACTGATCTGGTTTGTCAGCCTTATACAGCACACCTACAACAGCAATTCCCTTCGTCTCTGGATTGAAGTGGACCATGTGGAGCTCCATGTCATAGCTGCCATGGAACATACTTTAGATCAAACATTTGATTCGAGTCATAATCAGGATACGAACACGAGATCTTCGAGATGAATACCTACCTCCTGCCATTGACGGTGTGCTCGGAAGGAGAGTGCCAGTGGCATTGCTGGAGCAGATACTTAGTCCCATTGATTCTTATCGACCCTGCATCCGACCCCTTCCATTGAAGCTGCACATTGTTTTTTTAAGCAAACCAACCAAAATTTCATCAAAGACTCAATCTTTCTCACCTTTCCAAAAATGGGTTGGAAGCCAAATCAACATTGGAATCATGGGTTATTGAGATTTTTTGGCTTTGGCTTTACCGAAATGTCATGTCCCCTGTTCTTGACAATGGCGTTTGCAGGCTTGTAACTCCTGTTGATGTCTAGCGATCTGTTGAGCAACTTCACCCTCTGATCCGACATGTCGATTGGGGACTGGAGGTGACCTGTTTTGCAAGCTTTCCAGTCTTTCTTCAGCTCTCCCCATTTCGAGGGACCCTTTTGGCTTCCTCTTTTGTAGTCAAATTCCCTCTCATCCTCTGCAAAAATGAAAAAGGAAGGATTGAGAACCCCAAAGTTCAAATCTTTTGTATGAACAAGCGAACGAACAAACAGTATTTACGTACCAACTTCCTGCGCGAAGGAGGATTGTGAGTGAAGGGCAAGAAGAAGAAGAGTGGCTAGGAAGAAAGTGGAGAAGGAGGAGGATTTGTTGCTTCTTGTTTGTTGTTGGAGCTTCATGTTTTGTTGCAAGAATTTGGGAGGGTTTTGGAAGGTTTAATGGTGGACTCCAAAATGAAGGGAGGGGAGGGGAGTGGTTGATTATATAATGGAAGGGAGAGCTTAAATAAAAGATTATATAGTAAACCAAAATTAGGGTCTAAACGTGTGTGCCAAGAAGTTTCCTTGTTCCTTTTTTTAGGTTGTTTTTTTTTAATGATTCCAAGATATAGAAGTTTGCAAGAGAGGCCGTGTGACAGAGCAAACATTTGTTTTGTTTTATGTTTTCTCCCTAAAAGAATTAAATTTGGTTGAAGCATGATTCATGCAGTGACGATTTGTTGGATCTTTTGGTTAATTGGGTATTTCTTTAATAATCACATCATTCTCTTTTACACGAAACTGAGTTAAATCTTCAGTTAAATCATGCTTGTTTTGTTGCCAAAGAATCAAACATCAATAATGATGTATTTGATTTTGATAGTATTAGTCGCAAAATAATAATTTTGAGATGACCAGTTTGAATTTTATTTAGCCGTTGTCAGTGACAAAGCCAGCTCTTTGCTAACGGGGTGCCTGTGACAGTCTCTTGCCACGGTGCTAAAACACCACTCAAACATATTTGTTCTTTTATGTCGCGGAGAGACCATGGGCACAAAAAAAATTCTTGTTTTCAACTTACATATCTATCAGTAAAAATATAATTATTTGTGTGATACATTAACACACACTCTATTATATCTATGTTACATTCAAAACTACACATAAATAAATTAAAACAAATTTAAAACTCAACACTTTCAAATCCCTTTTTTTTTTCTCTAACCCATCAAAAAGTGTTCGACAACCTCAATCGCCTCGCCCCGAGAACCCAAAAATTCACCTTCCACTATCATTGTCCCTCATCATCGACTGTTGCCACCATATGGCGATCCACAAACAGATCCCTTCTCTCAACAAGTCCAAACTCTCCTTATACCAAATCCTAGCTACGTACGCCATAACAATGAATAAACTTAGAAATAAACACATAAATGAGTAACTTTCTAACATATCTTATTTGGATGATAGACTGACTACAAGAATCCAACCGAGCAACTACACCTCGAGTCAAAGAAGGTGTGTTTGGCGCCATTGTTGTTTTGAGTTGGGTTTGGTGAACCAGTGAACAACACAATAAATTTGCTGATTGCTGCCATGATCAAAGAAGAGAGATCTTTAAAAAAAACCGCAACACGACATTCCGAAAGGACAAAAGGATTTTACTTACCAAACAACGCGCTTCCCCATCTTCGTCATGCCATACATGATTAGGAATAATTCGAAAAACAGTAATTAAACACAGATTAAAACAAACTAAAACATAATTAACAAAAAGGGGGGCAAGGCATCATGAGCTGGCACTCTTTGAGAGCTCCAGCTGTAAAATTTTTAACTTTCCAATTTTTGGTTTTGTTTCAGTGTTTTTTACGTTACGGCCCAACCTTTTCCTCCGCCTTTTTTCAAAGGTGGTCCAGTGCTCTACCCTGTTCTGGATCCGCCGCTGTCTAATTGTCGATTAAAAATGCAAATGCCATATATATATTATCATGGTCAAATGCTTTCATATTGTCAATTTACTACAATTTTTTTTACATTGTATAAATCCAATTCATCATGTCCTCTTTACATTATCAAAACAGGAAATGGAGTGCAAATTGATGTCACACATGATCTACTTTTCCACGATCTCAGCTAGATATATCTGCTGGGCTAGGTGTTGATTTCTCATTTATTGGCACAGCAAAGTGCAGCATTAAGATATTTGAAACTGTTGTGTTTCCCACTCCAAACAGAAACATCACTAACCTCAACAATAACCGTCATTAGATAACTACTAATCATAGAGCCATGAACATCCATAGTTAACGCCCCACGTGAAATCGTACCGTACCACCAATCCGATCGAGAAAATCTCATGTAAGAAGCTAAATCGATAAAGAAGTTTTTTAGTTGTACGAAAAAATTGAACCACAATTTCATCACTAAATACTATACCACTAACTAACTTTTAAGGTACATTCTCCAATTAATCATTGGTTTGGTTAATACTTAATACCAACTTGGCCACTATAACTTTAGTGATGTTTGGGAATGATTTGACAATGACACTAATGGAAAGTCCATAATCAGATTTTTTTTTCTAACCCTTCCATAATCTCCCACCAGAACATTATTCCTCCCTTTATATAATCATACATTCCTCTCCATAACCCACCACTCAAAACTCACTAATATCCTCTAATCAACCCCCACGATGAAGCTCCAAATCCCATCTCGTTTACTGTTACTGTTCATCGTCTCTATGGCCGTTAGCCGTTACCTTTGCCTCGCTAATTCTGCCTCCATCGCGATGAAGATGATCATCAAGAGCAGAAAGATGGCGTCTGCATCCGTGCTCGTTAGCAGCAGCACTGGAAGTCATGTTCATCAGCACTACTTTGTTGACAACTTCAGAGGCAGGGCTCTGACTGCTGTAGATGGACCGGCAGCCGGCGGCGGTGGTGAAGTTCCCGCCGGCAAGGGAAGTTCCGAAGGTGGCGGCAACAATGGTAAGAGTAATAATGGGGAGCCGGAAGTGAATAACCATCATAACATTCCAAGATCTGAATTTGGCGGGTACGGTACCAGCCAGATTGGAACCAAGTCCCAGTCATCGCCATGAGGATATATAATTATATTATCTTAGCCCTAACAATATCTATAGAACCATGAAAAATTAAGCTTGGGTGTTACTTGTCAAATGTAAATTATAAGGCCATATGAGGTAATAATTAAGTTTTAATTGTGCTGTTTTATGGGTGAAGTCGTCAACTTTGCGTACGAAAACCTCGTTGAGGAGCTACTTACAGCTATATGTATAGTGAAACTAGTTACATCTATGTTCATAAATTGCTTATTTCTATATATCTATTTCATCTCTTATATATCCTGGTGTTGTATTTTTTCTCTCTTTGATGGGTGAAGTCGTCAACTTCACGTATGAAAACTTGTTAAGAGCTACTTAAATTTTGAAACGAGTAGACTCGTTAAATTTCTCTGGAACACCCAACAAAAGAAATCTATCTACAAGAGAGGTTTAAACGAACAACAACCCATATGGATGTTTTGTGCAAGGAAATGGAGTGATAACCAAGGGAAATTACTAACTCATATAGTACCAAAATTCAGAGCTATATATCCTTGAAAAAGTTCTTAAATATCCATTGCAGATTTGCAGTAGTAGTAGTATTTCACGTAGATCAGCAGTCTACCTAAAATTACAACATAAAAAAATAAACCAATCAAACAAATGGAATCAATACATTGAGAGGATCACAGTAACAATATCTGGTGGGCTTTTGGAAGAAAAAATTTGATGGGCTTTTTTTACTCAGACTTGGAAGGGCCAGGGCCAGTCCCTCAAGTCCTCGTCGCCACCTTGGTGGACCCTAGCATTTCCCCTCTTGAACCCGCCGGCGGCGGCAGAGCCAGAGATTCCCCCATCGCCTTCCTTGTAAGCGTAGTACTTGAGAAAAAAGGCGAGAACCAGCACGATCCACTCAAAGCAGAACATGAACGCCGAAAGTCCTCCAGCTAGCTTGAGGATCACGGCGCCGTCGTCCTCTCTGACGTACGACTTCAGCTCCCCGAGGAAATCCCCTGTCCTCGTGAATATCAGGACGGAGACTGAACCCTGGAAGATCGCCGTCAGGACGGTGGCCACCATGTGGGTGGAGTACCAGGCGCCGCCGGAGGAGGCGGCGGTGCAGCCCGCGACGGCACCGGCGATGGTGAGGACGTGGAGGAGGAGAAGGAAGAAGCCGCAGATGGAAGGGATGAGGCGGAGGGATATGGTGAGGAAGATGCAGGCGGAGGCGGCGCCGAGGAGGAGGTAGTTGCAGAGGAGGAAGGCCTTGTGGACGTTGTAGTGGCGGTCGCTGGTGGCGGCGCCGGAGCCCAGAGTTACGCTGCCCATCCCCATTTGACTTTCTTCTTCCGATTTCGTTAATCGCCGGCTAATTTCCCTCTCTTTCTGGTCTAATCTGGTGAAATTGGCTCCGAAATGAATTGGGATGAAGAGGAAGAAGAAGGAATTTGATGGTGGGAGTGGCGATTGGTCGATTTGGTCGTATAAATATGCGTTTGTGAAGAACACAAACGGGCGAAATCTTGCAACGGTCCGATGAGCCAAACGGTCTAATTTGTTTTCGAAAAGAGAGAGGAGAGACTGGCAGACAGTTGGCGGAAAGGGATCCGAGGCGGGAGATGGTATCGGGCCGGTTGGGCCTTGAAGATGGGGCTATTGGGCTTTGGTGAGTCAAGGGTTGAGTTGGGCTTGGTTTAGGAAGTTTGGATGGCATTTTTCTATAGTTAATTGGTTAATTGGTGTAAAAGTGAGGTAACGTTTGGTTAGATGTTAAAAACAAGTGACTATTGGGTATAGCCGTATAGGCGAGTCTTGAATTTTAGAGGGTATGCCCACTCTTCCCCCATAAAAACTACACAAAAGTTGTCTCTTGTTGAACGTGGGATAAGAAACCACCAAATGAAAAGTCAATAGCATCGAATAATGCTGGAGGATAATATTTCATCATACTCATAACCAAATTGTCATTTTCCCATGTTGATATACGATAATGTTACAGGATCAGATACTTTCACGATTGAATTGTTATATAATATCGATTTTAGAAATGAAGGTCGCTTACTAGTTCGAAATCTCAAACTATAACACGAGTTTTTTTCAAAACGGATTTCAAATGCATATACGATTCGATTCAGTTAGAAACATTGTACGTGCAAGTTAACCAGCTAGCTACGTACAAGCTACTCAATCTTGAATGAGTATACGAATTCTCAGTGCATTCCTGCACACCTTGTCTCTTAAATCAAGCTGTGATGATTGATGATTTTGGGAGTATATATGAAGAGATTCTTCATATAAAGGCGGGAAGGGTTTCGTTTTATAAACAAAAACCTATTAGATGTGTGTTGCGGGATAGATGAGGAAAGGGAAAATGAGCATTATTCTTGATCTTCTAATTTTCGGGTTTCGGATTGAAAATCAATAGCACAATCACTCGACCACAACCTCGTTCGTGAGAAAGAAAGGTTATTGCTTCGGATTGATGTGCAAACGGCCAATGGATTTGACAATTAGTTGTACTATTTGGAATAGTAGTCAAGACAAGTGGGGAGGCTCTCAAACCAAAACGGTCAAAAAAGTGATCAATGATCAGTGGTGTGCCTCACTTGCTCAGGCTTTCAGTACCACTATCAAGTCATGCAACCATGTTCTCGCTTTTATCATGTGGATTTGTATAGGGGAAAGAAAAATGTCTTTCACCCTATAAGACTACACATATGCCATAGGGGATATCAAATCACCATAGCCCTACATTACAAAATTATGATTAAATCAGCTTAATCCTCGTCCTCCGAAATCCGAGTAAGCTTTCACATTGGATGATCATTATGATCATTTATAGAGTTTTATACTTTTATTACGTCAAAAGGAATCTTGTATTGAACTTTGAATGATCGATTATAGAGACAGAACAAAATGAAACACACTGAATTTAAAATAAGAGTAATCTCAAGGCAAACAGTTGAAAACAAGTCGTGTTTGAGAGATACATCAAAGGAAAGCGAAACACAACGTGAAAACAACCACCCGAAGGAGCTGAACGCTTGAAGACCATACCCCCACAGTTCGATGACCGACCAACCAGTACAAACAACCAGGGGAGGTTGGAGGGAGAAAATAGTGAATGGCTTCACCGAACACAACGAAATCACCAAACTAGGAGACCAACCACCACACAATCTGAATGAGGCTCCCAAGTGGAGATGAAATCGATAAGCCACATCGGATATAGAAGAAAAATGCCAAAACTAAAAAAATCCGAGGGAAAATTGCCTACACCAAAATCAAGAGGAGTGTGAGCACGGAAATACAATGAAAACGTAAACGAAAAAGGAGGGTTTGAGCTTCCGTCGATCATAAAAAGGAGTCGATGGAAACCTTGAAAGGGAGAAGAAAGAAGTTGTCAATAGTGTTGGGTCCATAGTTGAGCAGTATTGGGCTTTAGAGGCCAAGGAAAGCGAACAGGCTCGACCCAGGAGTAGTGCGGCCGCAGACAATGAAGTAGGTTAGGCAGTCACTCTAGAGAGAAGACAGACATAGATTGCCTGCCATAACGCACTGATGATAACAAGAGGGAGAGATCCTCTAAGATACTTAAACCCGAAGCAAGCAGGACTAAGCATTAATTAGTCGTCGTAGGCGGCCTATAAAAGGGCAGTACATGATTAGGGCGCCTCACAGGGCATTTAATGATCTAAACTTCACCTAACCGGATATAAATACCTCCACAATAGCATTGATGGTAACTCAACTACTTCCCTTCTCTCTAAACATAAACACATTTTCATATTCTCTCTCTAACTTAAGCATTGGAGGGTGTCATGGGCGACCGCCCACAGACCCTTGTTTTGCAGGGTTCAGGAATACTACCCACCATCAAGAACATAAGTTTTGCTTGTGCCTTATTAAACCGCCTAGTACATTTTAGGCTCAAACAATTAGAAAGGAGAGCGAAATATTTCAAATTAAAGGAATATTTCGTCCATTCTTTGTGTCTGCTAATCGATATTTAGTCTAGCTAATTGGACATTAGAGTAACAGAGTCTCCATTGGTTTATATACGTGATTGTGGTTGGTTGTCATTTCTCATCACCTGCTACAATATTCCATCCTTTACTCGTGTAGTGTTACAAAGCCCTATTGTTTTGATTACAATCGAGGGCGGTATATAATATACTAGTCACTGTTATCAATCTTATTTGTCTATCACTGTATAAGAGCTTATCAATACTCTAATGGCTAGTTCTGGTTAATTCTATTGTTTCATTCATTCATAAGAAATAAACTATACCATTCTTTACTCATTATCGGTTTCTTAATTATTCGATTTAAACTCTATGTTTGGATTTAATCATGCCATGTAGAGTCATTGAAATTCCCATGGAGACAATAGTGATTGGACTTCAAAGTACCTTCCTTTTTTCATCCCTGCAAATGAATCTTTGCACACAAGCAAAGTCCAACCAACCAACCATATTACTCTAATGTGAGCCAATGATGAATGCATGTATCTAACTGCAACCCTATACATGTCTCCACCTGCAGGCTGCAACATACATAAAAAAGAAAAGCTCCACCCCCATCCTGATCAAATTCCTCAACCTTTCAGGAGCTGGGCCCAGCAGCAAGCACTCCACTTCACAGAGAAGAGTTGGATTTCCTGCAACAATGGCACATCACATATCTGTTATATAGCTTATCCTAAAAACTAATTCCTTGGCACACTGCAGAGGGAAGGAATATACTGCAAATCTGGTCTTCAGACTTGCTTTTTTGAGCCGTAAATTCAAAAGAGCCCTTCAAACATGATTATGTCTCAAATCTCTTGTAGGATAGGGCAAGCTTTCTTCTTCCTGCTTTATGAATTATACCCCTCCAACTTGCATTATCTACACATCCATCTAACAATATAATAAGCCATTACATTACATGATAATATTGACCCTCTGGTTGGAAGTGTGACCAGTCGCTTTACATAGGGCATGGAAAAGAACGAGGAACAAGGTGAGAACTCAGAAGTGAGAAGCTCTAGTGCTCTACTATGAAATTTGTGTAGAAAGGGAATCTACAGACAGAGAGAGAGAGAGAGAGAGAGAGATTCAGGAATTACCCGGGACCCAAAAGACAGGGGCTAGTAGAAGAAAAGCAGGGGAAAGAAAGACTAATAAAGACTAAAGAGTGCCCAAAAGAGAGCTAAAGGGTTTTCCATTACCTTCTGTTTAGCAGCTCTTTTCCCTCCATGAAAAGAAGAGCTACACGAAAAACTGCTGCACGAACCAACCATGAGGCCAGCAACCGCAACCAGCTCAGCTCCATAGAGCCGTTCATAAGTTAAATATGACTTCCTGAATCAGTGCGGACTTTTGTCTCCAAACCGAAACGGAGATGTTGGAGGAGGACTGTTACCTGTATTGGAACGAGGGAACACATTCATATCTATCCATATGCAAAGCATATTTGTTGTTTGGTAAATTTTACAAGTAACTGTTCAATAGAACGAATGAATCATCATTCATGGAGAAGACAAAAGGCGACAGAGAGAGACAGTGAGAGAGGCCCAGCAAGGATCAAAGAAATTCAAACTTACCCTTTTGGATGATGACTGTTGACTTTTCAGAGTATCCATAAACCCGCCATTGCAATGGGCATTGAGAGGTAAAGAATACGAGTCATTTTTCAGAACGGTAAGTTTGACATGATATTACTGAACTGTCCACCTTAGCTGAGCTTGATGTTATGAGAGAACACTCTCACTAGTCACTAGCACTAGCAGCACTGCAGCAGACCATTTTCCTCGAGATGGGCTGATTCCCCTCTCTCTCTCTCTGTCCATCTTCCCTTCCTTTTCTGGTTCTGGTTTAAGTGAAATATGAAAAAGGTTCCTGTTTCCCATTATTATACATCAACAAAGAAATGAGGGGCTACCTAGCTTCACAGACCTCTTTTTTACCCCACCCAATAAAAGGACCCACTCTTTCACTCATAAGTCATAACCCACAAGTTTAGTAGTTCACTCTCTTCTTCGTCACTCTCACAAACCACACTAAAGTGGGAAAAAAGAGGGAGCCAAAGGAGCAATAACTCACCACCAACCCAACACAATGCTGCAAATCACCAGCATTGTTCTGGTTTTGCTCCTTAGCTCCTACCCTCACCTCCCATGGGCAATGCTCAACCTCACCCTCCCTTCTGCCCACCCTGATCCTGAATTCGTAGCCCAAGAAGTTCGAAGGTAAAAAGAAACAAAATGCAGAAGAAAGCTTTCACCTTTGGTTTCTGTTCTGCTTCCCACAATGGTCATCTGTTTACCTTCATTGAAATTTTTGATTCATGCTTTGCAGGAGAGTAAATGCTTCAGTCTTCAGACGGGAACTGCTCCAAACTACCCAGAGAGACCAATCCTCCTCCTCTTCCCTTTGCTTCACCGGGAACCCAATCGACGACTGCTGGAAATGCGACCCTGACTGGTCAAACAACCGCCAGCGGCTGGCTGATTGTGCCATTGGGTTCGGCCAGTACGCAATGGGAGGCAAAAATGGCGACTACTACATAGTCACTGACTCCTCCGACGATGATGCCGTCAACCCTAAACCGGGAACCCTAAGATACGCCGTGATTCGGGATGAGCCACTCTGGATTGTGTTCCCAAGCAACATGCACATCAAGCTGGAACAAGAACTCATCTTCAATAGTTTCAAAACCCTCGACGGCCGCGGCGCCAATGTCCACATAACCGGCGGTGGATGCATCACCTTGCAGTATATCAGCAATGTGATCATCCATAACGTCCACATTCACCATTGTGTTCCTTCAGGTCAGTGGAACAACACACCCGTACCATTTAGCAATGTGCTTGCTCCATCTTTCTAAGGGTTTCCTCTGTTTTCCCCCCTGTTTTCACAGGAAACACGAATGTGAGATCGAGTCCGACTCACTACGGCTACAGAACCAAATCAGACGGCGACGGGATCTCGATCTTCGGCGCGAAGGACATATGGATCGACCACTGCACGCTATCTCACTGCACAGACGGGCTAATCGACGCCGTGATGGGTTCCACCGGAATCACCATCTCCAACAACTACTTCTCCCACCACAACGAGGTAATGCTGCTGGGCCACAGCGACGAATACTTGCCGGATTCAGGAATGCAGGTCACCATCGCATTCAATCACTTCGGTGAACAGCTTGTCCAGAGGATGCCCCGGTGCCGGCGAGGGTACATTCACGTCGTCAACAATGATTTCACGGAGTGGGAGATGTACGCCATTGGAGGGAGCGGGCACCCGACGATTAACAGCCAGGGGAATCGCTACGTCGCTCCTTCAAACCCTAATGCGAAGGAGGTAAAGTAAACCCAAAAAAGTATTCAATTGGGTTCAATGGAGGCGTAATCGAGTTGGGGATATGGGGGGTTTTGAACTTACTGGGATGGAATTTTGATTTTTTAGGTGACGAAGAGGCTGGACTCCGGCGACGGGGAGTGGAAGGACTGGAACTGGCGGTCGGAAGGGGATGTGATGGTGAACGGAGCTTTTTTCATTTCGTCGGGGGAGGAACTGGAAGTGAAGTATGAGAAGGCATACAGTGTGGACCCGAAATCTGTGGAACTCATCGGCTCACTGACGCTCCACGCCGGAGCTCTTGGGGTCGGCGGCAGGTATTTTCTCCGATGGTTTCCTTTTTGGAACTGATTGCTGATTTCCCGGCCGGTCCCGCTTTATTATTATTCACGCGCCCTTTTTCTGCTTTTTGTCCTTTTCATTTTGTTTCCTCGGCTTTCGCGTCTCTATTATTTAGTCTTACAATTCGACCCTTGAAGTTACGTTAGGTTTCGATTAAGCACCTCAGGTTTGTAGGTATATCCGTGTTAAGATTGAGATAATTTTGGGCTTGGGCCTACTGTGGGCTTACTGTTAAATATCAGTTGGGCCTTATGACGTTTTGGTTTGGACAGGGACAACAACTTGGGGAAGTGGGGGACCGGGCCCAACGTAGGAACGCCCGGTTTAGGCACCAATGACGATTACTACTCCGACGACTATGCCGGCAGTGGGCTTCCACCGTCGCCGGCGACTCTCCTGATGTCTCTATCCTTATTTGTGGCGGTTTCTTGCTTGACCTTCATGTTATAGCAAGGAAAATTTAGAAGTCTAACTTTTGGCTTTCTTATTTAGCAATCTTGTTGGGGGAAAGAGGGTTGGAAACAAAGAAGTGTACTATAATGTTTGGTGACCAAAATTTCTATGTAGCATTGCAATCTAACATTTTCCTTGGAACCAACTCTCTTTAGAAGTGTGTTCTTACGCTTGTTGGGCATTTAAAAACAAAAAGGGATGTTTGGGTGATGGGTTTTTGAAGATCTTATGAATCTTTGGCATAACATGACAATAGGGTACTTGTTAAAAGTTGAACAATTTGTGAGAAAAAGGGCAAGCCAAGTTGGTATAAGGTAGTGGATGTTCATGTAGAAACCAACCTCAATAATGTCCTTACTTCCAAAATAGAGTAAAGGCAAATAACAATGAACCATTTCTTCTTAGGAAGTGTTTTCTACAATCTCAATTTGACAAGTTGAGAGTTAGATTCAATATTGGAAAGTTTATATTCTCACTATGATAGACGACTAATAGTTTCCAGAGTCATTCATCGAGAGCATGATCCATTTTGATGTGTGAGTTTGAAGAAACCTAAACAACTTATTGAAGGCTACTTCTTTGTACTATGAGAAGTAGAAATTATGAATTCGGTATATACGATAACTTCAAACCTGTTCTATAAATAATAACAATTATTCATTGTATAAAATTAATCAGCTAGCATAAACATATTTTAAAATCTCGTTTCTAACATCTATAATCACATAACTCATCATGCAAAGTTCATCCTCTTGAATAACTCAAAAGATTCCTAAACCCCATAAAGTTTAAGATTTATTGGTCTTCCTAACATGTGCAAATCCAACCATATCTTTGAAGAAGATTGGTCCAAGCATGGCACAAGATAAATAGTATATATGTTGTCTCCAACCCAAGAAAGGAAACTAACACTTTTTGGTTCTAGAAAAAGGATTGCCCAAATGTGGATATTCTACTTAATGAAAAAGAAAAAAAAAAAAAAAAAGAGGGAACAAACAAGAGAAGATAGGCTCTGTGAATGTGATATCAAAGGCAAAAAGGGTTAGTTTCCATACATTATTATCAACATTCAACTTGTGACTAAAACATTTTAAATCTTCACAAAATAAAAGACAAAACATTTTAAATAGTTTCTTTATGTAATCATCAGCTCCTGTTCTCTTAACTTAGCCTAGTTTTTGGTTTCTTAATGTAGGTATTCAATAGCTCCCTATCTATATAGCCAATTGCATGCTTGTTTTAACAACATTATCTCTTCTCCATTGTGATGACGGATGCTCGACCAAACTACACCCTAGAACTATATTTGCTCATGTACACTGTTTAATCCTTCGCCTAGAATAATAATAAGATCGAGTGTTGTTTCGTGTTTCTTTTGTACAATCTCTTTGAACGATGAAGAAATGTGAAGAGAGTTGGGAGGAACGAGGACACTAGAGAAAGTAGGGGTAGAGTTGAGAGATGATGATAACATCTAGAATGAGAGGATAACCTTTTTTTTTTTAAGAGACGAGAGTTCTTATATTTTAGTTCATGTCTTGGACTTTCGGCAAGTTCGAAAATTCGGTCCAATTAGTTTGGACTTGAAGGTTTAATGACTCTTCATTTATTGTATTCGTATTTACATCCCAACAAGTGCCAGTTTAGTAGTGAACCTATCTATACTTCAAAATGAAGAGTACAATATGCTAGAGGTGAAGCCATGCTTTTGAAGAATGTATGCATAATTGTGAAGATATTGACTTGTATTGGTTGGGTATGGAATAAATGTATGTTTGAGACATGTATCAAAGTATATTAGTGGTAAAACGAAGAAGAGGGTCGGATGGTAAGGCATGAGGGTGATATGATGTGTTTTAAGGTTCGATTTTCACGACCTGACTGCTATGTGAAAATATTATTTGTGATCACCGCTAAAAATAAATGTCCGAACCACCTGCTGATGAGTTTATTGGGTCATGAACATCTAACGCTTGGATCCTCCATTAAACAACAATATATGTGCATAACATAGGCTTGTAGAAGAGAAAAGTAACTTTTTAATGAAGAAGTTGCATGTTAGTTATAAACATAGGCTTTCAAAACAAGAGCCTTATTTTACAGATTCCACGTTCTCTAATTGTCCTTCCTCTACTCACAGATCAACAAGATCAGTCTCTCTTAATTAACCTCAGCTCATATCCCACAGAGAACCCAGCATGCAACTTTCACCAACTTCAGAGTAGTTCCATCCATTATGACACCCTCCTCCACCAAACTTGGGTTCTCCTTGTTCACCAGAACTGATCTCAAACATCCAGTGATCGTACAATCTCGTCTCATATGGCGACTCCACCAAGCTCCACAGATCATATTGGTCTGGTCCTACCATCATCCCGTCGTTCTGAGCTATGTCACAGTAAGCTAAGTTGCAGCTGTTGCTTGGATTCTCAGTCTGGTAAGGGAAATCCAGCTCAGTATTATGGCTAGCATTGGAGTTGCAATGAAAGTTTCCTTCTTCTTGTGATTGTGTAGCCTTCTTGCTCAAATGGGACCTCCAGTAGTTCTTGATCTCATTATCTGTTCTTCCTGGCAAGCTTCGAGCAATCCTCGACCACCTAACCATGTTAAGAACAAGGATAAAGTCAGAACATAATGGAGGAAAAGGACTCTTTCTTTGAAATGATTTCCATCAGAACTTTCAATACTTACTTGTTTCCCCATCGGTCGTGGAGTTGGACGATGATCTGCTCCTCTTCAGGACTAATAGGGCCACGTTTCAGGTTGGGACGGAGGTAGTTCAGCCATCTCATTCTGCAGCTCTTCCCACTTCTCCTTAAACCTGCAGCAAAACCAAAAGAATTCATGAGATCACTCTGCTCTTCAAATGTTTTCAATATCGAAGTATTACCAAAGAAACAAGATTTATATACCAGATATTATAGCTATGGAGTCCCATTTCCTTTCTCCAAACACATTCACAAGCCTGGCGAGTTGTTCATCTTCTTCCTCTAGCCATGGCCCTTTCCTCAAGCTATTATCACCTTGCTCCATTGACTGTATTTTTTATTTTTTTTTCTTCTGCACATTGAGTTGCAGAGTGGTTTTCACACCCTTTTATAGTGAGCGAAATCTTATGGCGGGGGGCGAAAACCAGAAACTTGTGACATGGGAAAACACTAGTGTTCGTGGGGAACCCACCATTAGTCTAGCTGGACATGGAATGTTGATAAAGTAATCAAGTACGAAAGAGAACAAGAAATAGCAGAATAAGGATAAAAAGAATGGGAGTTTAGGAATGGCTTTTCATACATCATTATATTTGGCTCTTAAGAAGCTCCCAGCTGTGCTACGTAGATGCAGTTCCACTTATAACTTAACGTCACTGGTTCTGTATAAGAGACAACAGCCTGGAAGGATAGGAGAGAAGCTTTTTGTTTAATGAGCAAAAGAGGAATGGGATTGAGATGAGGGTTTTGGAAGGTAGCTGCAAATGGATCTCTCTCTTAAGATCTTCTCCTAGCTTTTCTTCTTGATTTGCAGAATAAACAAACACTGAAGGCACTCTGCAAGTGTGAAGTTGGTGACCGAACATTTGACACATCTCAACCCCATCATCCTGAATTTCGATACAATGGCCGAAAACCTGGTAGAATACACAAAGGCTACCTTGGTTATGTAGCTTGTGATCAAGAAGATCAAAAGGAGTAATGAGGCTTAGAGTAAAGGTGCATTGATTAAAAGGAAGGAGGATCTATCATTACAAGATGAGTAAATAAGTTCTCTAAATTGGTGCCTTAAACATGGCATGATACTGTATTTATTGGGTAAAATAATTCCTGCCCATTTCTGGTGACATTGAGCAATTTGTAACTCTTGCTATAAGGTTATAATAACTAGGACTAGGAAGGAACGAGGGTACATCACAAGTTTACATCTTCATCTATGGAAGCTCTCTGCTTTATCCCACTTCTTCTGTTGGAATGAATCAAAACTGCAGCTTGTTGCACAAATGACTACTTCCCCCCGGTGCCACTAGCGGTCGATGAAAGATTTATTCATCAGATCGACAGCATTATCCATGAACTGCAATGATAAAGGTCAAACAGTGATTGAGGTTCAAGTCAGCAACAAAATAAATCAGTGAGATAGTAGAGCATATATGATCAGGTATAAAACAAGCAAAAATAAATAATAAACTGAAAAGGCTCAATTTTGGCAACAAATTTAAGGATTCAACACTCAAGGATTATGATGCTTAGCGATATCCACATTCCACATCAAGCACAAAGGTATCAGCAATACTACAAAGTACTAAGTATACGGAAATGGGTTTATCATTATGACTGGGGTGATCATTGCGCTAATACATTAACGGTTGACTCTGAAATTTGTTGCTTCATGGAAACAGAAAAGACTTCCTGCCATCTCAATCCAACTATCCAGTCAGCCCATTATAAAACCACCTCCTAAGCATCCTTCTTCTCTCAGTCTGATGACACGAGTAAACATTTAACTTTACAGATTCGCTTCAACATGCATAGAAGGGAACTGACTGACAGAAGTGGAGACAAGTGAGTGAGAAGTGTAAAAGCAACTACCACAGGGGGCTACAACATGCCAAGTTATTGCCAACAGACGAGGATTCATGGAGTTATCTATGTCCCCCCTCAAAATGATCCACTATAGTAGAGCCACTGTTTAAGTGTCGTCCAGGTTGATAAAAAAACAAAGAGCATACACAAGAAGGCTACTATATTCACTAGGGGACATTACTAATTTACTATGAGCTCAAAGGCAATAACTTTCAGTTGGAAAAATAGATTAAGCCACGGTAGCAATATTGCAAGCACAAGTTTCACGATTCCAAGTTCCAACTACAAAACACCCAATTGGAGATTTGGACATATTACATCCAAAGCAACAAACTTTCTTCAAAATCTTTAACAATGCTGTAATGAAAGTACCTTGCCAAGCAACTTGAGTTCCCGTCCAACTGGTTCCAGGAATTTCAAGTCAACTTCAATAGGCCACACCTGTTCAATTGGAATCAACAGAAGATCAGTTCCCCAAAATTTGAGAGCTCAAACACACATTTCATTCCATTCCATTCCTCCCCTTTTGCAATATGATCGAGTAATGCGAGAACCCAATTCCACAATTCAACACACCTTAACGCCAAGCAATCGGACGGGGGTAACTTGACCGGGAACTATGCAATCAGGGCCGGCAGCTTCCACTATCGCATCATCGGCCAACCCGCTTCCAATTGGATTAGGATGCTGCGCCAAACAATGGGAAAAATCAAACACCTAGCGACCCTAATCGAGGAAAGAAACCACTGAACTTAACGACTGCAATGGATGGAGCTTCTTCTACCTTCATGATGGAAATGGCGTAGTCGGAGTAGGGGTTGTGGGAGACGCGGAGAACAGGGGTGTGGTGGATTCTGGGAATGGGTTTGGTGGTTGTGACCCGCCATGGCGCGTCCTTCTGCAACGGCGCCGGCGCGCCTACTTTCTTCGACATATTAGCCCCTTCTAGTTCCTTCTGGTTAATGGAATTGAATGTTGGATAGGGTTTTTGGTTGGTGAGATTAAGGAGCGAACGGAAGCGGAGAAATGAAGAAGATGAATGGATAAAAACAAACAGTACGAATGAACGAGCAATGGGCCTTGTTTATTTCCTTCTCATTCCCAAACTTCTGCCGCCAAGAAAATTATTATGGATTTTATTTAAGTGGATAAAATTCACAATGATTGTTCGACCATAAATATTAAGTTCAAATAATTTCTCTTTGCACACAATTAATAAAAAACTACAATAATTTAATCATGGTATTATAAATCTCATGTTTTCCAAAGAAATTGGATATCCCATAAAAAACTACAATAATTTAATTATAGCTAAGCTATTATATTTATAGGGTAACCATTAAACCTCTACAAAGAAAGAACATGAATTTGTTTATCTAACGTCTGGTTGATGAAACAAAGTATAAAAAATATGATTGATTTTGAATGTCTATGTCAAAGATGGAAAACGCTCTCTCTGAAAGCTCTTCTATGGCTCCGGCACTGACCCCTTCAGGGCGGCCGCCGGACACCGGAACCTCAAACACATCTCTGTTAGCGACGGATGGGCCAACTACGACACACTCGACATCGGATTTGTCCCTAATGGTGGTGGAATCTAGTCCCCTGAAGGAAGATTGCTCTGTTCCTGATGTAGCCACTAAGCGACCAATCTCGTACGCTCGGGCGCTGGCCGGGGGTGAGAAGCAAAGGGCGCTGGCTGTTCAACAGTGGACTCCTATTGGGGAAAACGATTTGGTCCCTGGGCAGATCAATGGAGAGCCGGCCTTGAAAATCTCTGCTGGTTTCAAAGGTCGCTTATGTGCTCCGTGGCAGAAAACACTAGTAGTGCGCCTACTGGGCCTTCGCATCAGCTTCACCGCATTTTGCTCACGACTTCGGGGACTCTGGCGACCTGCAGGGGCAATGGAAATTATGGATCTGGATGACGCCACCTATTTGGTTCAATTATCCAACGAGCAGGACTACTTCAAAGCCCTCACGGACGGACCTTGGGTGATCTATGATCATTATCTCACGGTGCAACAATGGACGCCAAGCTTTGGGATACAAGATCCACTGCCAAAAACCATGATCGTGTGGATTCAGCTACCGGCCCTCAAGGTCCATTTCTATCATCAAGAAGTTCTAACCTCCCTGGGGAACCTTATTGGACGCACAATTAAACTGGACTTTCACACGATGAATCGGCAGCGCAGGAAATTCGCCCGCTTGGCGGTGGAGATTGACATGTCAAAAGCTTTGGTTCCTCGGATCTACCTGGATGATCACTGGCAAAAAGTGGAGTACGAGAACCTCCCGATTGTTTGTTTCGAGTGCGGGAAAGTGGGCCACAACGCCGACAGTTGCTCCAAACGCCGACCGACGACCCCATCGGAGAAGGTTCTCCCCGCCGGCGAGCAGAGTTTGGTCACCTCAGGGACCGTTCCGGAGGATGCGAAACTGGGATTTGGGCCTTGGATGCTCGTTTCCAAAAGAAGCCGCCGCAACTCCAGGGATCACACCAAGAAAGGAAAGACAGAGACTGATGTGGGGAACGGGTCGCAAGGGCAGAGTAATAAAAACGGGAAAGGTGGGATTAAATCAATAGAGAAGGAGAAGGAGAATCTTGGGACGGTGGTTACGGCGCAAAAGCCTGTGACAAACCAAGGATCAGCTAATCAGGAAGGGAAAGGGAACCAGACTCGGAAAGGGGATGCTGATGCGTCGGTGGCGGCCAAAGTTATTAGCAAAGGAAAGGAACCGATGGCAGACCTAAGGGAGGAGGGCAAAGGGATCTTGGGCTCGGGCCCATCTAAAACTCGTATCAGGGGCAATGGTATTAGGCCCTTTCTAGAAACCTACCACCCCTCCGCTTCGGGACAACCGGATAGGCCCAGGAGTGTTGATAACATGCTTAGAGACCTAAGCCCATCTCCGCCTGCGGGATTGATTTCCTCAGCGGGCCAAACTTCAAATCCCTCTACTGCTAATCTGGTCAGCTCTTTTATCGGGCCGAATGGAACCAGGATGCAGATTGTGGCGGTTCCTTCCTCCCCTAAACGAAACAAACTGGCGGAGGCAAGTTCTCCTTTGGCGGGCGAGCGGACGAAAAGCAAGAAGGGGGCTCGGCGGCAGGCAAAGAAAGGAACTCCGGTGAAGCTACAGGTGTCCAAGGCTCTGCAAGTCTGGACTCCGGTGAAAGAAAGGAAGAACAAATCCAAGGCTCGGCTGGCGTCTCTCACTCTTGAGGAGATAAACGCCTGGACCTGTGCTGCGGCAGAGAGGAACGATCGGACGCCAGACCACGAAAAGGAGACGGCTGAGCCTCCCGAGCAGAGTACTCCGGCCGCGGACACGAGCGTGTCTGCCGTTCTCTAAAGCTGACCCCTCTCCTTCGATGCTGTCTTTTTCCTTCCCTGCATTTTTCTGTTTTCCCTTTTTCTCTAACGTCTATGTTAAATTCCAACAGCATTAATATCCTGGCCTGGAATGTGGGTGGAGCTGGGAGCAGGCGCTTCTCTCGTGCTCTCAAACTCGTCATTCAATCATACAAGCCTGATTTTGTGATTTTGCTTGAACCGCAGGTTAGTGGTAACGCGGCCAATGCGGTGTGCGATAAATTGGGGTTTCCTGACGTTATTCGGGTTGAAGCAGAAGGTCGGCAAGGTGGCATTTGGGTGTTTTGGGACGCTCGGCGGTATAATGCTCATATCATCTCAGCTTGTTCGCAGCACGTCACTATCCGCATCTCCCAGAGCCACATGGCCGACTGGATCCTGACCGCGGTGTATGCCTCTCCTCGCCCCAACCAGCAGCAACCTCTTTGGGACCACCTCACTGATCAGAGCAAAAGGATCAGCATACCCTGGATCATCACGGGGGACTTCAATGCCATCAGATCCCCATCTGAGAAGTCAGGGGCTGTCTCGACGGCTACCCTTCGGAGATGTCGCATCTTCAATGACAGGATCAATGGAGCTGATCTCGTGGACCTCGGTTACTCCGGTCCAAATTTCACCTGGACTAGGGGGGAGAACTCCGATACATACAAGGCCAGCAGGATTGACAGGAGCTTGTGCAATATTCCGTGGAACTCGGCCTTTCCTGATACTGCTGTCCGCCACCTGCCTCGCCTCAACTCTGACCATAATCACATCCTTATCTCTTTTGCTTTCCAGGGGCAATCCTCTCACCCTCCTCGCTCCTTTAAATTTGAAGCTGCTTGGCTTACTCATAAGGATTTGTTGAATACCATTGCAGGGTCTTGGGATCCTTCCAGATCTTGGCCGTGCGCTTTGCAGTCTTTGAGTTCCGCCCTGCAAGACTGGAACAGGGATACCTTCGGCAACGTGCAGCAGAGAAAGAGACGTCTTCTTGGGCGGATTCAAGGAGTAGAAAGACATCTGGCTCAGAGTTTTTCCCCTGGTCTGGCCAAGCTCCATTCTAAGCTTGAGGCCGAGCTCGATACGGTGTTGGAGCAGGAGGAGATGATCTGGTACCAACGATCGAGGGAGCAGTGGGTTAAGTTTGGGGAGCGCAATACCAGTTATTTTCACCAGCAAGCAAATATCAGGAGACGGAAGAACAAGATCACCGCACTTCGAGATCAAGCAGGCGTATGGATTGATGACCCTCAGGAGCTGATGGAGATGGTTTTTGATTTTTATACTAACCTCTATTTGCAGGATAACTCAGCCTATGAGGATAGGATGCCGAAGAATGCTTTCCCCCGGCTTGCTCAGGAGGACCTCCTTGCTCTGCTGAGGCCTTTCACCATCATGGACATCCACAAAGCTATTTTCGAGATGAAGCCTTTTCAGGCACCCGGGCCAGATGGTTTTCATGCTGCTTTCTATCAGCAAGCCTGGAATGTGGTTGGGAAGTCCTTAACGGATATGGCTCTGGCTTTCTTCAACACCGGTTTTTTGCCTGACAAGGTCTCAGAGTCTACTGTGGTGCTCATCCCCAAAGTCGATCAACCGGAGTATGTGATCCAACTTCGACCTATATCGCTCAACAATGTGAGCCTTAAGGCTATTACCAAAGCGATCACTAGTAGGTTGAAACCGGTAATGAGGAAGCTCATCTCCCCTCGGCAGAGCAGTTTCATACCTGGCCGCCAGACCACGGATAATGTCATCGTTGTGCAGGAAGTGCTCCACTCTCTGGGAAAGCGTAAAGGGAAGAAAGAAGGCATGATTCTTAAGATTGACCTTGAGAAAGTCTATGACATGCTGCGGTGGGATTTCCTTCGTGATACCTTGAAAGAAGTAGGCCTCCCCAGTTCTTGGATCAGGTGTATCATGTATTGCGTGGAGCAGAACAACATGAAGGTTCTTTGGAATGGCAACCTTTCCTCAACAATCACACCCACTCGTGGAGTTCGACAGGGAGACCCTCTTTCGCCTTATCTTTTTGTTTTATGCATGGAACGTTTATCTCACAGGATTGATGCGGCCCTTCACAGTGGGCAATGGAAGCCTGTTAGGCTCACTAGGAATGGGCCGCCTCTCACGCATCTTTTCTTTGCAGATGACCTCTTGCTTTTCGCCGAAGCAGAGACGAGACAGATCAGAATCATCAAACAGTGTCTGGACGACTTTTGCTCCAGCTCCGGGCAGAGGGTCAACTATGCCAAGTCCTTGCTGTTTGTGTCCCCGAATGTGGGTAGATCAAAGGCCAGTGCTCTGAGCGCCAGAGCGGAGATCCCCCTAAAGAATGAGCTTGGGAGATATCTTGGCATACACGGCATTCATGGTCGGGTGACGACAGGGAGATACCAGAGCCTTCTGCTGCGCATCCAAAAGAAGCTAGCCCCGTGGAAAGCGAAACGGTTGTCTTTGGCTGCTCGTCTCACTGTGTCCAGGTCTATCATTTCCTCTATTCCCACTTATCATATGCATACAGAGTTACTGCCTAAAGGAGTTTGTGCTTCTATCGATCGTATTAACAGGAATTTTGTATGGGGTGAGGAGGACGGGAAGTCCAAGCTCCATTTAGTTGGGTGGGAAAAGATGATCCTGCCAAAGGATCAAGGGGGAGCTGGTCTTCGTTCGGTGAGGAATGCTAACCTGGCTATGCTCGCTAAGAGCGGATGGAGACTCCTCAAAGAGAAGGACGCTCTGTGGACCCAGGTGGTCAGGGATAAGTATGGCCGGAACAAAGAGAACCTGGATCTTTTTCGCTCTATTAAGGGAAGTTCCTTTACTTGGAGAAGCTTTAATAAGGCTTCTCCCCTCCTAAAGGGGGGTTGTGCGTGGAATATTAAGAACGGGGAAACTACTAAATTTTGGCATGACCCTTGGATTGTGCAGGAACCTCTCTTGAATCTAGCGGAAGCGGAGGTCCCCAACTCGCGCAGGGACGAGGTGGTGGCGGACTTGACCTCAGAGGATGGAGGATGGCGCACGGAGCTGTTCGAAGGTCTTCTCTCGCCGGAGATGCAGATGAAGATCACCAGCGTGGCGGTGGATAAGCTTTCGAGTGAGGAGGACACCCTCTTCTGGGCTCTATCGTCGAATGGCCAGTTCACCACGAAGACTGCCTACCAGTCCCTTTTACCTGAAGGGAATGATCCGGATGCCAAGTTTTGGAAGATTATATGGAGCCTTCCTGTCCCAGAAAGGGTTCGGTGTTTCGTTTGGCTCGTGAGTCTTGGGAGAATTGCGACTAATGCTCTTCGACACTCTAGGAAGATCACCGACTCGGCAGACTGCGGAAGATGTAGTGGTCAGACTGAAACCATTCTTCACATCCTTCGGGACTGTCCTCCGGCTGCTTATTTCTGGGTGAGACAAGTGCCAAGCGAGAGACAACAGGCTTTCTTCTCGGCAAATACTGCGGACTGGTTGCGGGGGAATCTGGCAGCGGATGAGGTTGAGCATGTCGGGATTCAGTGGCCTGCTTTCTTCAGCACTGCGGTTTGGCTGTTATGGAAGAACAGGAATGACATGTGCTTTAAAGGTATCTCTTCCACCCTCACCCCTCCTTCCTTGACTCACTCGATTGTTGCTAAAGCCAAGCTTTGGAACGAGGCATGGCGAGCACCCTCTTTGTTGCTGAATGGAAGGAGAGCTGCGGCGGCCCGGGTCATGGCAAATATTGCCTGGAGCCCGCCTCCCGAGGGGTGGGTGAAACTTAACATTGATGGTGCTTCTAATGGGAACCCGGGGCTTGCTGGGGCCGGAGGTGTTTTGAGAGATGAGGTTGGGCGTTGGCTCGGCGGCTTTGTTACCATGATCGGTGAAGCCTCTGCAGCTTTGGCCGAGTTGTGGGCTTTTTATCATGGCTTGGATACAGCTTGGAATTTGGGTTACCGCCAGCTCGTGGTTGAATCGGACTCGCAACTGGCCATTCAGCTGATTGAAGACAGACATGATCCGGTCCACCCTTATGCCACTTTACTTGCTGCCATTCGCAGGAGACTTAGCCGTGACTGGCTGGTGCGCGTTGTTCATGTATACCGGGAAGGGAATAGAGTCGCGGACTGGCTCTCGAAGCATAGTCTCGTCTATCCCTACGGTGTACAGGAACTCGTACACCCGCCTTCAGGGGTAGTGTCTATTCTTCAGGATGATACTCGGGGAGTCTCTTTTGAGAGGCGGATTGTGCCCCGCCAGTGTAACTCCTTCTCCACTCATTTCCCCATGTAACCTCTCTTCTTGGCTTTTGCCTCCTTCTATGCAAAAAAAAAAAAAAATATGATTGATCAATCCGTCTTTTACATAACATAAAGTTAAAGAATTTGAATGCAGATAATTGTGACACTCTTCATACAACAAACATGGTCCCTTTACCGATAATTTTCGCATCAAAGTAATATAGGCTTCACTGAATCTTGAAGCCATATAATAATTATCTTTAGCTTAATTGTTAAAACTAATGAACCTTTGACGACCAATTAAGAATTTAAGCTACAATTGTCGGGATAGAAAGACGATACAAAGGGACACTCTGTCTCTAACCAAGTAACAACTATCAAACATCTATATAGAGAGCTTATGGACAGCCAAAGAAGCAAATTCACTCATATAACCCAAAGAAAAATTGAGCAACAACATTACATATATGAGTGGAAACAACTGAGTTAAAGTTCAGTAAAATTTACTAGTCTGATTAAAAGAAGAAAAACCCCCCAATAAATAAAATCTGGAAGTAAAGAAAAGGTAACTAAAACTAAATTAACAAAAAAAATAAAAATAAACCAAAAGCTCTCCCAGGAGATATGATTCTGGATGGATGTAGCAGCAGGCATATTACTAAACAACACTTTTTTAAAATTACAATTTTTACTGCTAAGGCTGCTTTTCTTGTAATTTTGACATCTTTTAAAAATTGACTTTGAAGATCAACCAAAAAAATACAAAAATAGAGGGGGTAAAAAAATAGATTCTGCAAAGAAGAAGGAAAAAAGAATAGGGCATGATAAAAATGGGGGTATGAGATGAGCACTCCATTAATCGCCCATCTCTTCCCTCCATTCCCTACTGGAGAGAGGAGAGGAATCTTCCTTGGCTGACGTGTCAAGCAGTGATCATGTCGTCTCGCTTGTCAGCCACGTCAGCGAGTCTCTTCCACGTCATCTCCCGCTGCTCTTCCACTTCCTGCGCCCTCGACTCCTTCTCCTCGTACTGCCTCTGGCATTCCTCGAACAACTCGGCGTCCATCTCCAGGAACATCTTCCGGACGTTAACTGTCAACCCGTGGACTGCCTGGTTCCAATGTGTCTGGATGTTCTTCTCCAATGCATCGAAGAGGATCGGTAGTACCACGCCTCGATTCTGTGCGATTAGCCCCACAATGTGCTCGTTGTTCCACAAGAACAGTGCTCTCTCTGCGACCTGGAGAAAACAGATTTCAGCTCTCTGTATAGAACATTTCGATTTTCGTCGATATAAAGTTAATCATCATCACAAAGAACAACCAAGAGAAGAGATCTCAGGAATAGATAAAAGAAGACCACCTACTGAGTGGCACGAACCAGAACTCTACTGACTAGTCTAATACATAGGAGTTGCAGGTTTACAACCAAGAACTCGATCCTTGGCTTGGCAAACACACTTCTTCACTTTTACTAGAACTTTAGAAATAAGTTACTGGAAAGGTGAAATCTTTACGCAATTAACGTTTGTCACCAAAGGATCCGTTGGATACTTTCAATGACTGCAGAATTTTTATGAACCTAAACACAATGGCAAGCTCATGGCGACAGTAAACATTACAACCAGTTGCCATTTGTAGGAACTCACAATATTCACCATCTAATCAAGTCACAACACATTCATAACTGGGAAAATATAGAAGAGCAAAAGGCAGCAGAAGAAGATTTGACTGTTCACAGACGGAAGACCCAACTGCAAAAAATCAGGAAACACTTATATATTGCCTATGTAATACGATCAATACACCTGCTGAGTGCTGACTAAATAACCGAAAGGATGGTAGCCTGTCAGTTCATGGCACATGGCTTAGGCACATAGATATTATGAACAGTTGGTGCTAGGTTGTTATTTGGCATCTACCCAAAAGAACAAACCAAGAAGTGACACCCGTTGTTATCAGGCAATTTAACCATACCAGACCCTATTGTTTTAAAATGTCTTCGTCCTTATGATGGGAGCTGAGAAAATTAGTCTACCATCAATTTCAGACAACTGGCAAATCTACTCAAACGAAGATACTGCTTGGATTGCACACCATAGGCAACTTTGCTTATGTCACACCTAAGTAGCAGAGAACAAAAGAAATGCCAATGCCACCCTTAGCCATGTGCTTTCCCACCAACCCATATCATAGCGAAGGAAAACACTTTATCTACCAAGATCACTATTGAATGATTTCTAACATATGCAGATAATCTTAAGAGTTAGTAATATTAACAAACCTGAAAATGTGAACTAGTCAAGCAACGACCAATCTGTCTGAACAGAGGAACCATGCAACGCTGAAATTCTGCAGGTTGAGTTGCCTCGAGCACTTCTTCGAGTTCACCTAGGAAGAGAACTTCCTTCTGGCAATTGGTCACTGGCCAATACTTCAATAAACCCCTTATAACCGTATCCGCCAGCTTGTAATCCTTCTCAACAAACTGAGTGATGCAATAAGAAAGCTGCTGATGGTATATTGATATCGCCTTCGGTTTATGTAGTGGTATAAGTGCCCTAACAAGGAATAGCTTATGCTCCTCCTTCATCGGCAAGGCAAAGCCGTTTATAATACTCCCCAAGATCTCAAGAAGCTCCCCGATTCCACTGTGCCTGTCTGTCTCATATACAAACCGGTAGAAGATGTTGTTTATCGCCTTTCTAATAAAGGGCCGATGCACCATGAACTTCCCATATATCCTATGAAGGATAGTTTTCAAATACTCCCGTTCCCTCGGATCCTCAGAGTCGAACAAATCAAGCAATTTCAATACGAATGAATGATCAATATACCTCTTTGCAACCTTGGTATCTGTATCTGAAGAGACGACGTATCGCAACACGAGTTCATAAACAAGCTGCAAATGAGGCCATGAAGGTTCCAAATATGGTTCCTCTTCTTCGGGATCAGCAGGCTCCTGCCCCGTGCTCTCATGGGAATTGGGCGGCAAGCTTCGAAAGATATTCACTGAGACCATCCTAATCATTTCTTCCTGGCAGTTCTCATTGATCTTGCCCGACCCAGACTGAATGAAATCCACAAGCTCCAGCAAAGTCTGCCTCTTGATTTCCTTCTCCCTGACCGATTTCAAAGTGTCCCCAAAATCGAACTGGAAGCAGCAAATCTGGAGCTTCCGGAGGAACAAATTCTGCCGCTCCGACACGGGGACGTCCCTGAAGAGCGGGAGAGGCTCCACGGATTGCATAGGCGGCGGGTTCGTCACCGCCGGAGAAGCCGGCGTGGAGACCGCCGCCCCGGTACCACCCCGCGAAGCGTGGTTAACCACCACATTGCCAGGACCCGACCCGGTCCGGTGGTGCCCCGCGTTCCCAAACCCGTCGTCCGACTTCGACGGCTTCCGCCCGCCTTTAATAATCTTCTTAAACATCCCTCCGCCAATACAACCCTAACCCTAATATTTCAAAACAGAAAACCAGCAAGCCGACTCCTTTTCCCCCAATCCCTTTTCAGCTCAGGCGGTGATCGGAAGGACGGCCCTTTATCGAGGCGCCATGAACGGGAAGGGAAACAAGCTTTCTCTTTTTCCCTATGATTCAATCAACTACTTGAAAGATCCAATTTGGGAGGGGGGGACATTTACAATTAGGGATCTAAGAGAAGGAGGATTGAAGGAGCAATTGTACCGAGTTTCCAATCGAGCTGCCGAGGAAATTGAGCGCGCCCGAATTGGGATGAGGAGTCATTCGGCACCGATCGCCGGAGGAGGTTCTGGCGGTGGTCAGTTTAATTGTATCGGACGACGGCGGCGGCCGATTGGATTAATCCGACGAGGAAGGGAAGGGGGGAAGAGAGGAGAAATTGGTAGTTTTAGGGGGAAGAGAAGAAAGGAAGAAGAGAGAGAAAGAGGATGCGAGTGGGAGCGTGTTTGGAGATAATCAAGGAAATGAGAGAGAAGAAAGAAAGAAAAAAAAATGTTTAAACTCGGGGGAACAAAATGAGAATAAATCAAAAAGAGAAATAATAATAACAAATTGGAAGGGCATGATTACGAAATATATTGCTTTGATGCTTTCTAATCCACCAAAGGCCAAAGCAATGAAAGTAAATGGGGATTTTGTTCCCCTATTTCAATTGGATTCACTTGTGATGGTGTTTTGGGTTTTTTTAACTCAACTAATTTTATCAAATTTGTAGAAAGTGTTGAATAGTGTCAAGTGAAAAAATAACTTGTTTATGCATAAATCATAATAGTGCCAATTAGATCACGTGTAAGCTAATATAGCAAATTAGAGTTTACTCCAGTGATAATATAAGTGATTTTCAATCTCGATGTCTCGAATTCGTTAAATAGCACTTGACATTGAAAGTAAACGTATATCACCTTAAAAAAAATGTGTGAACTAATATATGGATGATCAATTTGCCTTACATCCTTCAAATCTCGATAGCAACTAAAAGAAGAGTGTTTTCAAGAAAAATTCTGTGAAAATGTTAATTCGAACCGAAAGTTTCATTTCATTCGTCCAGCAAGTTAAATCGCTTAAATTGCAACATTATAGACGAGCAATTTAGGTACTTTGAAGTTTGATTTTTTTTTCTCATTCCGATTAAATAGATCGAGTTTGTATATAACTACACTTATCTTACACTTAAGGTATCGATTATATTTTAAATAATTCACCATCTTCTTTACAAGTACGTGAAATTTTGAACAACACATTGATCGAGTTGGATGTAGGTTCAGTTGACCTCGGAATCATGTGGAAATATTTTGTAACTAATGAATTTTGAGTTGGGGAAATATGTTTTCTTTGTTATCAAAAAGTTTACATATTTGACTTGGAGTGCCTAAGTTATTAAAAAATTAGTGAACTAGCTGCTTGAGTACTTAGATAATAACCCCCTTCACAAATTAGTTATTAATTTTGTTTTTGACTTGTGAGGAAAAGGACAATATAGCTTCCTTTATAGTTAACCAAAAAATGAGAGAAGAAGAAAATAAATAATAATAATAATAATAATAATAATAATTTGTGGAGGACAGCATTGGTGCAAAAACCTTAATGGATAAGGGTTTACAGCTAACTGTTGGTGTGCCAAACAAGAAAATGGAAGCTATATGTGAGAGCCAGAATGACTTTTGATGGCTTTAGTGCTTGCTGGTACATCGGTTGCAATCAACCTTTCCGGTTTGGATTTGAACTTCTTCACATTCATAGTAGTACTTTTGGGCTATGGACGACATATCCGTAAATAACTCATTTGGCTGGGTAGATTGCTAGTTATCCACTCGCACCTTTCATAATTACTAATATTGGTAACTAGATTGTAGTGATGACAATGAAGTGGGGCGGATAAAACTCGAACGGATACGGAGTGGGGTTCAGGGGCGGACTCACCTTTGACCAAGGTGTGTCACCTGACACACCTTGGTTTGTGAAGAATCCACAAATTTTCGGTGTAAAAAATACGAATATGGGACCTCTGACACACCTTCAATAATTGTAATCGACACATCTTATTATATTAAAAAATTATTGTCATAATATTATTAAAATATGTAAATATAGTAGTTATCATACTCCAGATTAGGTAGTTAATTAGTTGGTTGCACAAGAGTAAACAATTAATTGACTACTTAGTACATAATGAGTATTTAGAAAGATAGCTATCACCTTAGAGACAATATCGATAATTTGAATTAGAATTAAATTTGATTAGTAAGCTTGGTGAGTCAAATAATTAGATAGTGAATTACATGCTGTCTTTCTCAATAGCTTCTTCGATAGATTTTTCTTTAAGTTAATTTTCAACTTGCTTTCTAGTTTAGTTATTTCTTTCCACGTTGACGCCTAGGGGTGGCTATACGGTCCGGTCCGGTTAAATTGGCCCAAATTGATCCGGTCCAGTCCGGTCTTTTTGAAAATATAAGGACCGAAGATTGGATTGGATACAGTCCAGTCTTGATCCGGTCCGGTTTTGATCCGGTCCGGTCCCAATTCGGTCTTGATTTTACATTGAGATTGTGGGATTTGAGTGGCCTAAGGCCTTAAAGGGTGAGGAGTTGGTTAAGTTTTGTACTAAGTGCAAAGGTTTGTGACCGTTTATGCAAATTACCCTTAAGTTTTGGGTGTTGAGCTCTCTTATCCGGTCTTTATCCGGTTTTTTACCTCAAATCTAAGCTCAAAGATTGGATTGGATTGTTTACTATCCGGTCCCGGTCCGGGTTATACGGTCCGGTTTCCGGTTTTTAATCCGGTCCCGGTCCAAATAGCCACCCCTATTGACGCCTATAGCCACCCTTCAATTATCGGCATCGAGCCAGCGACGTCCTCATGCTCATTCAAATTTCCACGTTGACACATGTGGCCACCCTTCGAGCTTCTCATACCAAATTTCTCATCTTAAATTAGTATTGAATTTACCTCTTGCAACTGAAAGCTACAAAATGACATTTTCCATATATGAGTTTAATCAAGAACAATCTTTGGTATAAGTTGAGTGACCAGTTTATGAATAATTGTTTCATTTTGTACATAAAAAATATTTGATTTGCAACCTAATGGACAATGCAATTAAGAAACCTTTGAGAATATGAAAAAACATCGTGGTTCACCGTAATAAATAATGAAATTGGTGAAATTTATGAATAAAATTTTTATGTTTATTTTAAATTAATTAATTAATTAACGTTAATTAATTTATTTTTAATTCTATTTTATTGGTCGACACACCTATCCCAAAATCCTGGGTCCGCCACTGGTGGGGCTGATCGACCCACTCTGATATGTTATCTGAAAAAAATACACTCAAAATTTACCCTTTTACATTAAAAGAAAGGGGAAAACAATTTATGAATGAAAAATAATGATACTAGAATGAGTAATTGAGTCTAACAAGTTGAAAAATCTATTCTAACAAGTTGAAAAAGCAAAAATAGAAGAAATATCTATATATACTATAAGAAATTGAGATAGAATGGGCAAGAACAGAGCGGGACGGGATAGGGAAGGAGGGGTCAGGTATATTCGCGAGACGGTTTCAAATTGCCATCACTACTAGATTGCGAAATATCAAATATATGTTAGATATTGAGATGTAAATTATTGAGATGTAAATACTAATTAACTGAGATTTGTATTTATTCCCTCCCAATCGTGTTTTTCTAACTTAATCTATTAAACTCATCTCAACCAATTAGAAAAACTGAAGAGATAAAACTGTAGTGAAATTGTGAGAAAATAAAAGATAAGGTAGAGAAGAAGTAAAAACTAAAAAGAGTAAGTAGTTGTCCTTATATTATGGTACAACTTGAGTTGTACCATCAAATAAATGTACAAGTTTAAGTTGTTCCATAAAAGAATTTGTACAAATGAGTATCGGTACAATCCGAAGTTGTACCATAACGTTAAAGGGTACAACTTCAAGTTGTAGCATAAATGCAAAAACCTATAGCACCAATACTATATAGCATTGTAAAATTCCTCATTAAGCATAAGGTAGGTATCGAGAATTTGTCTAGCGTCTAATTTGGTTAGGCGTAACTCAAGCATGCATAGAATTGTTGATCGATACGTATTTCCTCGTGTATACGTAGTAATAATAATAATAATAACCAAGTTATGGTATGCCTTTCAAAGTACTCGAGCTGAATGGGATACTTTCAGATGATACGAATGACATCTCTTTTGAGAGAAGTATTGGTAGTTGATCTCCCCTCAACCCCCAATTTATATAAACTCCTCTTCTCTTCCCTTCACTTTCAGGCGATTATAATACACAGAATGGATAGATAAAAAAATTTGATTCGAAACATCGTCTTGTCACGTAAATCCCTAATATATGTGAATCTTGTGACCAAATTGAAGGTAACATTTACAAAGGGATGAGATAGAAAACTTGCATTTCATGTCTGGGCAGTGGCCATACAAATACAATATCCCTAGGTTTCACAACAAGAGTAATAATTAACTACATTCCCAATTCCTTTTGTAACCCTCTTGCTAAACTATCAATCTATATATCTCCTCCAAAAAAAACAATCTTCACCTTTCTAAACCCCACAATTTACACATTCAACACAACTAAGTACCCCTCCGGCCATTGTCCGGCAACTCCGCCGCCGCTGCCACCTCATCACCACCTCCCTCCTCCTCCGCACCCGACCCTTCTTCTCTAAACCTCTTGTAAATATCCCCTCGATAGAACTCCCAAGTCCTCACCACCAACACAACCGAAACCACCGCCCCTAACAACGTCACTCCGGCCACCACCAAAAAGGCCAACTTAAAACAATTGGGCCCATTGCAAGTCAGCTCCTCCCCTTCCTTCCTCGTCAGGCCCAATTCAGCCATCTGCCTCAACGCCTCCCTATCATACAAATAACCCGCCACACGTACGTTCAACACGTACGACCCGACGGGGCTCGCCACCGCCCCGAAATTATACAGCGTGGCGTAGTGCTTCAGCCCGAAGATCTCCGAGATGATGGCGAACAGCATCGTGAACTGCGCCCCGAACGACAGCCCGATCACGATCGACGCCACGTAGATCGAGTACGGCACGTTGAACGCGATCAGCAGGTGGCCCGCGCAGGCCAGGAGGAGGATTAAGGTGAAGAAGAGCGGCCTGGGGAACCGATATTTCGAGATCAGGACCTCCGACCCGAACCCGGACCCGACCCGGCCAAGGAAGCTCCAAATGCTCACCAGGGACACGGCCGTGGTCACGCTCTGCTGCGGGTAGCCCAGCGAGTGCCCGATCTGGCCCAGGTTGTCGACCGCAGTCAGCACCCCACCCAGACCACAAGTGGTCGCGACAAAGAGTACTAGTAGATCCACGCTGAACAAAGCCTGCAGGATGCTGTAGTCCTCCCCTCTCGCGGGAGGACTGCAGATCCCCACCGCACAACCAGATTCGACCGAATCTGACTGCTGCTGTTGCTGGTGTCGTTGCGGGGATCTCCCCTCTGGAGGACTCTCCGTGGCAAGAACTGAAGCGGAATTGGACGTACGTAATCTGTTACGTGCGTCCAATTCTTCTTTGACCACGACGACGAGTGGGAGGAAGAGGAGGAGCACGACGGGAGCACAACTCCCGATGTAAGCCGACCGGTTGAACCGGAACTGGTTCTGGACGATGATCAAACCCATGAGCAGACCGGCCAGGGCGAGCAGGACGAACAGGATTCGGTACAGAATCCACATCTCAGATCTGCCTTCTTCTTTGGATTTCAGCCGTTGGATCTCGATGATCCGGATCGTACGGAGGAAGACGAACGAGATCAACGTCGGCAACCACCCGATGAACAAGATCAACCCTTTCGAGTCGTCGCCGTAGAAGGCACGGTAGAATTGTGTGAGTATGGCGCCGCTTAAGCCGACCATGCCTTTCAACAACCCTAAAACGGCGCCGCGTGACCCGGGGAAGTTCTTCACGCAGGTAACCAAGGCGCCGGTGTTGGCGAACGTTTGGGAGTTGGCCGCGACGCAGATGTAGATGCACATCTGCCAGACTTTGGGCTTGGGGATTTTGCCGGCGACGGCGAGCCAGATCACGAGGTAGCCGGAGATGTTCATGACGGCGCCCATGAGAAGGACGACCCACGGTGGGGAGACCTCGTTGATGAGGCCCGAGATGACGCCGACGTTGCCGCCGAGGTCCTTGAAGAAGCCGAGGAGGTTGAGGGTGGATTGGTCGTAACCAAGTGAGGATTTGATGTCGTGGGAGTAGATGCCGAAGATGTAGGTGGCGCCGGAGCCGGCTTCGATGAGGAGGGAGGCGAAGAACATGAACCACCGGCCGAGGAGGACTTGGCGGAGGAAGCTCTTCTGCGGGAGACATCCTCCGCCTCCTCCGTCGTCGTTGGGTGCTTCGACGGCCATTTTTTGAGGTTTGGGTGTTGGATCTCCGATTGGTTCGTTGAGTGAGTGTGTGTGGGGAGGAGATTTGGATAAAAGTGAGTGGTGATGAGGATAAGTAAGCAAAGATTTGGACGGGGTCAATTATAATGTTTACTTTTATAGTTGTTTTCTGAGATCATGATCTATAATATCCATAACAATGATAGTTACTAAAATTAGCTCCGTAGTTTTGGTGATTTGCGTTATCCTCGTCGAGTTTCCAAATTTTGGTCGTGGATATGGATAAGATGATGATTATATGATTAGGAGTATAACTAATGACATTTTAGTATATTAGTATCCATAAACTATTTGTCTAAATTTGGATATTTTGTAAGAAATAAGAAGAAAGTCGGGTGTCAGATTCATCCGGATGTTAAAAGAGCGGTAGATCTACGCGTAGTGTTCAGTCTGTTGCTGTATCCTCTTTCGATATTTGATGTTATCTTATGAAATGAAAATTATATGGTAAATCAACGCTAAATAGTAGGACTTTGCTATCATGTTTCGGAGAAATGGTCTACCTCTTTCATTTAGCAGTCGACCACTATTCAAAAAATTTGATTACCTCTTGCATCAAGCGGCCTACCGCTTCCAACAACTGGTCGGCTGATGAATCATTACTAATGACATCTTCATGTATAATTCGAGGAATCCAATATTAATATATACATTTGCTAGTATGATAGTTAAAATTTGTAAAAAGGCGGAAACATAAATGGAAAGTTTCTCAAGTATGGTTAAGCACTTTGTGAAAGAGATAGATTGTTTTCTCCAAATTATGATAAATTGCAAGTCATCATATCCATAGACTCTAAAAAGGAACGAGATAATTGGTTACGATATTTTTTTACATTTCAACTCCTTTTGTTCTGAATCCTACTTTCGATACTTAAGTATTTTTGAAGCATAATGCATGCATGAGGTATGCAGTTACGTATGAATGTGATCGATGTAGGTTGTTTTCGGTTCCTCGTCATCCATATCTTATTGTTCAAGTTTATCTGGCTATATTCGGCCACCTTTTCAGAGAGCTGCGCCGAGTCGTCGTCAACTAGTATGGCCGCAACAAAACAGGTAAAATCTGCATGCATGCGGCTGGAAAAAAGCTATTAAAGCTCTGTACGTAAGTGATCATGACGTCCGTCCAACTATTGCCCGTGAAAAGGAACTCATTTTTCATGCCGGATGATGCCTATACGAACCAACCGCTAGCCCACGTGGAAAATCAAATATACCCGATAAAACAAAGATGATGATGTGGTCTATGACGTGTCAAAATGACTATATTTATCGTCAGATCAATAAATTCTATTATGGTTTTTCATTTATCGATTTGACCCGGTATAAAGTTTTTGCGTCCAAGTCGCTAAATTAAGAAAGTTGGAGTGTCAAATTGACCTTCTTGCCGCCGTGGACCGTGGTTCTAAAAGAGCACATCCAAACACACCCTTACTGCTGATTGTTGGGCTGGGCTTGGCCCTCTACCCTCAACTGAGGCCCATAGAGAAAAACTCGTTAGTTCGTCGGCCCATAATTACATAAAAGCAAGCGGCCCAAGTCCAGAAGTAAGCAAATTGTAGCAGGGTAAAAGAAAATTGTATAATTTTTAAAATTTTAACACGTCAAATCTTCTCCATTTCCGATTCCAAATTTCGCGGTTCTCACAGCCTTTGGCCTGGAGTCGGATATCATACGTAATTTACTTGAGATCGCCGGTCGCCGGCGCTGTTTCTACGGCGCCTTGTCCAGCCTCGCTTGAAGATGCAGCTTCATTCTCTCCTCTGAACTTCGCGTACACGTCGCTCTTGTAAAACTCCTTCGTGCGCCAGACCAAGCCGATCGAAACGAGAAAACCTAGAAAACTCGCAGCCGCGATGATGAGAAACGCCGAGCGGAAGCAGCTCACTCCGGCACACTTCAGCTCTTTACCGGGCTCCCTCGCGAACCCCAATCGTTCCAATTGCTTCGTAGCTTCTTCGTCGTACAAAAGGCCAGCGACTTTCACGTTGAAGATCAGGGACCCGATGGGGCTGGAAATTGAGCCGACGCTGTACAGCGTGGCGAAGTGCTTGAGCCCGAATATCTCGGAGATGATGGTGGAGACCAGCGGCAGCTGCGCTCCTAGGCAGAATCCGGCGAGGATGGACGAGAAGTAGAGCGAATTCGGGACTCCGAATGCGATCAGGAGGTGGCCGACGCTGGAGAGCAAGATCACGAAGGAGAGAAGCAGCGGTCGAGGGAATTTCCGTCTCGCTAGCAGGATCTCCGAGGCGAATCCGGCGAGGACTCGTCCGAGGAAATTCCATATGCTTACGAGCGAGATGAATGTCGAAATTGTACGCTTCTGGTAGCCTAGAGATGCGGCGATCTGACCTAGATTGTCGATTGCCGCCAGCGCGCCTCCGACGCCGCAAGTCGTCGAGATTAAGATGATCACCATGTCGATGCTGAAAACCGCTTGTAAGATGCTGTAGTCCTCTCCCCTTTCTGGTTGATTGAATATCTGTGTGAACCAGGTCAATAGTGTTAGCTTCAATTTTGGGGGATTTGGACTAATTGCTTGCAGAATTGTATTTTCAGCCACGATGTTGAGTTCTGTTTGGCTATTCATTGCTTGTTTCTTGCTCTTCCATAGCTTGAATTCTTCTCTGACTACAATGGCCAATGGTAGAAGCAATCCCAAGGTAACAACTGAAGCTGTTGTGATGTACTCGGCTCTTCTGAAACTGAACTTGTTCTGAATGATGATGATAATCATGATGAAACCAGCAATCCCAATTGCAACGTAGAGGAAGTGGTAGAAAACTTTCAGCTCCTTCTGGTGTCGATCAAATTTCATGGTTCGAATGACTGGCAGAAACAGCAAGGGAACAATGGCGGGTAGCCAAGCAACGAGCAAGATCGCATAGCTGGAATTGTTCCCATATGAAGCATGGTAAATCTGCGTGATGATAGCTCCACTCAGCCCAATTAACCCTTTCAGCAGGCCAATCACACTGCCACGGCTCTCGGGGAAGTTCTTGACACAAGTGACCAAAGCTGCAGTGTTTGAGTAGGAAGCAGCGTTTGTGGCGATACACATGTAGAGGCACATTTGCCAGAGGTGCGGGTTTGGGATTCGGCTGGTGATGGATAACCAGATGAGGAAGTAGCCGCAGAAGTTCATGATTGATCCGATGGAGATGACCATCCATGGTGGGATGATTTCGTAGATAAGGCCTGCTAGAAACCCGAGGTTGCCTCCCAAGTCCTTGTAAAAGCTGAGAGTGTTGAGTGCGGTTTGATCATAGCCTAGTGATGATTTGATGTCTCCTGAGTAGAGGCCGAACATGTAGCTTGTGCCGTTGACAGACATGATCAGGAGGGAGGCAAATACCATGAACCATCTCCCCGAGAGGGTTTGGAAGGTGAAGGCTTTGATTCCCTTCCAACTCTGGAACTCAGCAGGCATTGCAAGGATTCCCTATTTCCCTTCTAGGAGGCTTCTGAAAATGGTAATTGATGTCTTTTGTTCTATGATGAGTATCTGTCATTGGGTATTTATTTGGTAGAATTAGAGCTCATGGAATTCCCTTTATGCACATATGAAAGCAACTAATCACCAAACTTTCAGTGAACTAAGAAGCTCAGTTAACTAACCATTAAAAGTCTACATATGTATAACGAAGTGCAAGTTGTGAATCTTTTGTGAGCTAATTTATGTGCAAGACATTTTGTCTATTACTGGAAATTGAAATCATTTGGCGGGGAGTTAGTTGGCTTTACCTGTTTGGACAAGAATCAAAAGCTGATTCATTATATTAGTCTGTGTATTATTTCAGCCGGCCGAAACTGACATTTTCCGCACTAAATTTGTTGTCCACGTAACCGCTCACTGTCAAGATGGCTTGATATGAAATGAGACTTCCTAACAAGACCAAATTCTACATGTGATTTCTGCTTGAAACATAGTAATATCCATATCTGTCCTTGTTCTTGCAGGGCTCTGAAAGATCTGTTCCCATGACAAAGCTTCGTGCTTTCTTCTGTGTTTCTTCCAGGTACATAAGTGTTCTTCTCAGGAATTTGATACTAATTTTTCTTCTCGATGGCAAAGTGTATAATTTTGACTAGGTACTTCCGCTCAGAAACTAAGACTAGTTGAAGAATTGTTTATTCCTGAATTACGTCAACCAATTGGATTTAAAACTATGAAGTTGGAGTTGGAGAAACTTTTAGGCAGAACAGGGAACTGACATTTGCCGCTTCAGGAAGGTTCTCCTTTTCAGCTGGCTTGAAAGTGAGGTGGAAACTGACAAATGCATGGATCAGACTAGACTGTGCGGTGCATCTACCTACGTTGTTAACTATTTATTTAGTACAAGTTCTTACTGTTTCTGTCAAGAAAAGATTCAAACGTAGCTAATTACCTCAAACATGCTACTATTAAGAAATGATTAGTAGAATTGATTGAAACTTCGGCAGCGGATACCTCAAAGCAATTAACCTTTATGGTGTTTTTTTCCAGTTTTTAGCTAGCTTTAACTAAAGAGAAACCAAGTTCAATGGATTGTTTCACTGGCTGTTACTGAAAACGACAACGACAGTGATCCCGTAATCAACCTTTGCTGTTGAGTTCTGTTTGGCTGTTGCCATTTTGCACCCGGCACTGATTAGCCTCTCTGAAGCAATATCATGTCCTAAGATTCATAGTAAACAAAGAATGTGGATTTGACAGCTGACTACTATCCAATATTTGAACTGGACCGTTGCCTTGCGTTTGGTTAGCTGGTGACTGCTAAGAACTTTCTATTGGCCTCTCTGACACATCATCTTTTCTGTCCTTTATGATTTTATCAGCCGGCTTTCCTTATTCCCAAGGCCGCTCTCTGCCTCATATATTGTTTGCCAGTGTTATTAACTGTAGCCCCACTAAACATTCGTGTAGCCAATACCAAGGCTCATTACCACGAAGCAATGGAGAATCCCAAGAATCTGGAAGAAGGGCTTGCCCATAGGGAATCACTTGGAAGCGCAGAAAAGCAGAATGAAGTTTCTGAACACCCGGAAGCTGAAGAAAAAGAAGAGCAGCAGCCTGAAAAGCAGAAGAGCAAGAGGGTTGCAACTTTGGATGTCTTCAGAGGGCTAACAGTAGTGGTAAGTGTCAGAATGATTGGGTTAACATTTCCAGAGCCATTGCCTAACTTTACTGGTTAATGGCTGAGGGCATGTTTGGTTCCTGATAGAGGTTTGCATGAATCTATCTGCAGTTGATGATTCTGGTGGATGATGCCGGAGAATCATACCCTCAGATTAATCATTCACCATGGAATGGCTGTAGATTGGCAGACTTTGTGATGCCCTTTTTCCTCTTCATTGTTGGCATGGCAATAGCTCTGGCACTAAAGGTACACTATTCCCTCACTCCAACTTCTCTTCTGATTCTTTGTTCAGTAATAATGTAGCTGCTGAGAGTTGCTTAATTTTTATGATGTCAATGTTGCAGAGAGTACCTAAGAAGAGGGATGCCGTAAGGAGGATACTCACAAGGACATTGAAGCTTCTCTTTTGGGGGGTTCTGTTGCAAGGTAGTGATATTCCATTCATAACCTCATTCTCTTAGCTTAGAGTAAGACTTATAGGGACCATGAAGGCTAGTTGCACTCTGTGGAGTAGTTCCGATAAATATGCTGTAGACTAAAACCTGATGGATTACAGGAGGATATTCGCACGCTCCAAGTGACCTCGCTTATGGAGTAGACATGAAGCTGATCAGATGGTGTGGCATTCTCCAGGTCTATCTCTAACCTTCGCAACCCTGCAAGTTTTTTTTGTTGTTGTTGTTGACCGAATAGGAATTTGGACATTTTATACTTACTGAGAATCTCAATATTATTCTGCTGTAACCAGAGAATTGCATTGGTATACATGATTGTGGCTCTGATAGAGACGTTCACCATCAAGCACAGACAAAAGATCTTGAATCCTGGGCATTTCTCAATCTTCACCGCATACAGATGGCAATGGTGAGAAAACAACTTACAGCTCAGCTGCGTTCATTCACCATTTAGCTTATTTCAGAAGTTGATCTTCTCTGCAATTTACTGCAGGCTTGGAGGGTTCGTTTCTTTCCTCGTTTACATGATCACGACATTTGCACTCTATGTTCCGGACTGGAGTTTTGTGAACCACGACGAAAAGAAGAGATATATGGTTTGGCACTGGCCCATTTCTTAGCTCAGCTTGGAAATTGAGTAGTTTACTAAAACTAGGGGAAAACGATTCGGTCGACCCCGGATCGGTTCCGACACGATGTTTGGATCAATGACAATTTCCGACCCCGAATTAGAAGCATATTTCGCATAAAATAATGTTGGTTGTCTCTGTAATTTGCAGGTGAACTGTGGAATGAGGGGTCACCTAGGACCAGCCTGCAATGCTGTTGGCCATGTGGATCGAGCAGTCTGGGGTGTTAACCATCTCTACGGTGGTCCCGAATGGCGTCGGCTCAAGGTAGGTTGAAATATTCCCAGCAATATTCATCACCCAATTCAATTCAGTGATGCAATCTATCGAGTTCTCCTAAAACTCAAGTGTGATTCTTCTTCAAAGGCTTGCACTGTCAGCGCTCCGAGGTCAGGTGATCTCCGCGATGATGCTCCTGCTTGGTGCCATGGCCCATTCGAACCCGAAGGCTTGCTGAGGTCAGTTATCATATCCACTCTGATTAAGATGCTAAGTTTGAGATTACATTCAACCATGAATCTTGAGATGGAAGTAACTGACTGGTTGCTCCTATCTTTTTTTGCTCAGTTCCATTTCTGCCATCCTGTCTGGCACCATTGGCATTCATTATGGACATGTTTTGATCCATTTCAAGGTTACAATTTCCGCTTCCTCGTTCTTTTGAACCGACCGTTTTCCTCTTCTGTTTCTAAAACTAGCAACTACCAAAACTGCAATGCAGGAGAATTCCGAGAGGCTCAAACAATGGGTTTCAATGGCCGTAGGCCTGCTCATCATCGCCATCATTCTTCACTTCACTGACGGTAAGCCTCCTTTCTTCCTTCCATCTGAAAAATGACAGTGCAACGAACTGAAGTAAAAAATGCCTAAATTGGCTCAGTTGATTGTTGATCATTTGCAGCTATTCCGATGAACAAACAGCTCTACAGCTTCAGCTATGTCTGCTTCACCGGTGGAGCTGCCGGTCTCGTGTTCTCTGGATTCTACATACTGGTAAATAACTAAACATTCCTGCCACCCTCACATCTGAATTCTTCGTCGTCGACCAAAATAGCCTGTTTTGATCCTCTGCTGCATATTTTTGTTCGAGCAGATCGATATGTGGGGATGGAGGATACCATTTCTGTTTCTCGAATGGATAGGGATGAACGCGATGCTGGTTTACGTCATGGCTGCTCAAGGTATCTTTGAAGGGTTCATCAATGGCTGGTTCTACAAGTCCCCCGACAACACCCTCGTAAGTCATGGGGATCGATTCTCTGTTCTGGCCCTCTTCTGATTTTCGCGCAATCTCATCGATGAAGCACATGATTTCATCAACCATTCCTTAGTACGTAATTGCTATAGAGTTGAAGAGCATTTCCCCCGCATTGTTTTGCGCAGGTGTACTGGATCCAAGACCACGTTTTCAATGACGTTTGGAAGTCGGAGCGGGTGGGAACCTTGTTGTACGTGATATTTGCACAAATCACATTCTGGGCAGTGGTCTCAGGAGTCCTGCACAAACTGGGCATTTACTGGAAGCTCTGAAACCACTATACAGCACATAAGAAACCCTAGCTCTCAGGTACACTTTACCATCAGCAAAGTGTAGTAACAAAGAAAAAATGTATAGTTTTTGCTGGCCAGTTCGGACCTTAAAATCTAGGGTTGCCCAAATTTCTGTAGTTGGATTTCTTTTCCCTCATTGGTTTGTAACATTATTTTTCTTAAGTGTCTTCCCCATGCTTATTTGTGATGGTTTGTAATGGTTCCTTTGAACAATTAAGCTATATTTCGCGACTATGTATTTTGCTCGTTGATTTCCAGAATACGTATTGTACAATGCTGCGAAAGCATTAAACAATTCATCCATATTAGAGGGAGAAAATAAACATTTACGTATGTGTAACACCTAACTATATCTACTTGGATTGACCAAAATTTCAATGCGCTTCCTCTATCTCTAGCTAAGGCCATAGAACTGGAAAACATAACGCTACTGGCAATGGAGTGCTCTTTTTGGGTTCCTTCTTTCTCTTCATGAAACTAGCCAAGAATCGCTGCTCCACCTTGCCCACTTTGGGAACGACGGAGAAGACGACGGGGAGGTTGGGCTCCATCGTCAGGAAGTCTTGTATAGGAGGGGAGACGACGGTGTGACGAACTGTCTTTTCCGGAGGTGCTGCAGCCACTGACGAAGTTGATGAATCCGCTTCGAATGAGGATTCCTCAGTGCTGGCTTCATCAGAGGTACCTGTCGATGAGCTGGATGCAGAAGCTGCAGAATCACGAAACAAACGCTTGGTTTCATGCGGAACTACGTAGTCTGCAGAAGCCAACTCCTGACAGGCAGAGGACTGGGGACACTCAGTTGCGGAAGATGAAGAACCTGAAGAAGAAGAAGCACCATTGTTGTTTGATTTCCTTGACCTCCCGAGTCTCAAGAGAGAGCTAACCAAACCCAAACCCGAACCAGGCGAAACGAGCTGTTTCGCCACCTTCTGTAAGCCACTGCGAATTTTGGACTTCGATTTTGCAAGTATTGCAGCATCATTCTTGGAGGAACCAGAATCTACGTTGACATGAACGTTGGATTCTCCTTCTTCTTCCTCCTCGTCCTCTGCAATCAAACGCCATGCTTCGTCGAGAGCGTCTTGAGTAGAAATGCGCGGGTAACTCGGATCAAGCCAGAATTCCTCTCTGTGGCAAAGTGCCATTATTTAGAACGAAACAAAGAGAATTGTGTAACGAGATTACTAAAGATGAGGTGAATGAGAACGAAGTACAAACAATCCGAGGTGGAGAATATGGGTTTTTATAGAACATAGAGAGTATACTTTTTCTAGTCTTCCTCTGTTTATGGTAATGTTCATCCAGAAAGGAAGTAGTGGCGATCATTTGATGGCTAGTGGGGGGGAAGGAATCCAGCCTTGAAATGAGTTCCATGAATGCGTATGCTGTAATTTAGCCCCAACTTTGTAGTAAAAATGGAAGGGGATTTATCAAAGCACAGCCAAATTTAAGCAACAGAGTCAATGACTAAGGTTTTTGCCTTTCTGAATTTCAAAGTTCTATGACTTGACAAAAGAGAAGGAATTAAGAGGTAAAGGTAATGAAGACGGGAGAGAATTGGATATCTTGCATGATTTTCTCCTAAATTACATTTTTTGAGCAATAAGTTTCCTCTTTCTGTGCTTCCATTGTAGTTAGAGATTCTCTGTTACTAGATGAAAATGCCGAGGTTCTGTAAATGAGGAGAGTCCGGCTTAGGTCGTTTCAACAATGTTTGTGAACTAAGCAAAATGGGACGTCAAAGATAAGAAAACTCGTCATAAGATCATACTTAACCTGATTACTTCTTCTAGTTCAATCGATATAACTAGTTGACACGACAAGAGATATTAACCAGGATGATATTAACCAGGATTACGATCATAACAGTATGGTACAAACATGATACATGGATTATAACAAACACGAGATCTTAATAACATAAGCATGACCTGTAATACATAAGCAGTTCTGCATAAATTTATCACCTCAGCATCGCATCATATCAATAACATTTATACTTGCGTATCACAGTTCACTCATTTTGCACAAACAGTAGCAGGATTTTCCATTTCAGCACTTTCAAGTATATTCAATACACAAACAGCAGCAGAATTATCATTTCAGCACTCGCACGTATTCTCAATTACACAAGATTTACCTCGACATGAGGATAACAAAAGTACAAGGAACCTCGGAGCATTAGTTTTTCTTCCCATGGGCGTTGGAGATCCTTCTTGATGGTGGGAGAGTGATTGTCTGAACGTGCATACAAGTATATCAGTCCTCCTTCCCGTTTTCTACTTCCACAGGTTTCTGAACCGGTGGGTGATCCCCAGGTAAGCTTTCCATCACAACCTGCTCCACAGCACAACCAATCAATGACTTTAGTACCCGTGAATAAACCAGAAACTCAGAAAAAATACCACCACTTCATAGCATGGCGATCCCCAGAGCAAAGGAAATAAGAAAAGGGTTCACATCAGAAGCTATCACACAAACATGTGAAAACAGTCAGAAAGTGTCAAAGACCGATAAATTATGACAAAGCATTCCTTGAAATGATTCGCATTCTAACATCCCCTACAGTTTCCTCAAGCCCCGTCTTCAGCATTTCTTCATCAAGGCATAAACTTTCTTGAGCAAACTTCCCACCCCGCTAGTCTAAATCACATACTATCCAAGTTCTAATGTTTCTCAGGCAGTGCCAACTATGGATACTCCGATCATAAAACTAACTGCAGCAATAGAAACTTTCATAGAAAGGACAACTATTATGATAAGATGCTACTGAGCTAAACAGAATCTTTCAAAACAAGAAGCTAAGAAAACTGTGAAAGATATAGTCCAATCTAATCCGATTCAACTCAACAAACAGAGACCTCAGAGACTTGTTCAATGCATACTATCTGAGAGTGAATTGAGCTCAAAGAAACCGCAAATCGGCTTTTTTAAACTTACATTGCTACCATCGTCCTTTCTGGCGGCAGGCTTATAAGGGCATGCCGGAGGAGCCCTCTCCGGCTTCCTGTACTCCCATCCAAACATCGCATAGATTTTCACCTAACACAAAAAACATCTCGAAAATTCAACAAACAAGCAACTCCGGCGACTCCCTCTATCCAATCCATAAACCAGAAAAAGAAGATTCGGTTCGAGTCCAGTGAAAACCCTTACCATGATCAAATCGAAGAGCTGCGGCAGTAGATTAACGATCGGGATGAGGAAGAGCGGCAACAGACACATCACGCAGAAAACCTGATTCCGTAAACAAGAATTGAGATCGAATTCGAATCCATTCATGGGGAGTAGACAAAATTGAGACTAGGTCAGACGCTTACCATCTTCTCTTCTTCTCCTTTTCCTGAACGAACCCTTTGCTGAAGAATCGAAGCACAGTTGACTATGGCGGAATCGAGTTCGAAAAGATTCAGAAGTTACGATCTTTTTTCCCACGAGAATTCAGGAGGCTCTGCCAAGAAATCGAAGTCTTGTCGACCAAAATCTGAAACTGAAAGCCAGCAGAGGAAGAAACCGCGAATCGATGACGGCTTTCCGCCAATTAGAGAAGGGCAAACTTTACGACATCGTTTTATCGACACACAACACAAGCAGTACCTAATATTATCTTTTGTCCAGTTTCATCCTCAAATCTTTTTTCATTTCTTATCTAGTCCTAACAATTTGTATCTCTTTAGTTTACCAATTCAGTCTGCTACAACTTCTGGCTTATGGTTGAACATCACAAGCTAAGAAAGATCATCAACTCTGTCACAAAAAAAAAAAAAAAAGCGCTGGCAAATACAAACCACATTATGTAGCAACCCGACAATTCGTTACCGGAACCAAATATACCTTGTTACAATCGTGCAAAAGAAAATTCCAGGATTTGGCAGATCTTTCCTAGGTACATTGTTTACCAGAATATGCTACATGGAGCGTATGACAGACACAATTTTGGATCATTATAGTAACAACCAAAATGCTTAGACAGAGTTGATGATGATGAATCATCTGTACCACACTATCGAAGCAATGATAGTGAGACTGAGTTGCTTCTTTAGCTGGGACGTAGTCACGTAGATACTAAACTGCCTTGTATAGAGCTGTTGATGAATCAATCACTGACATCCAGCTTTGCAAGGAACATCGGTGCAGCGACAAACAGGCTTACCAGCAGCCTCCCAGCCATTGAAGCCGCGCTCTAGCACCATCACGTTTTTTATTCCCGTGTCTTCCTTCAACTCGTCGAGATAATTCGCCAGCCTTCTTGCACACTTCGGTCCTCGAACCTGCAGATAATGGATACTTGTGCTTAGTTGTGTTCCCAGAAATATGGTCATTGGTATTTGGTAAGTTATTCTTCTTCTTCTCATAAAAGCATTATTTCTGAACATGAATTCCCCAAGTGGAGACATATCGTCACCAGATTAAGGAATGTTTATCTATCTCGGGTAACAATATGCAATCTTAAGACGACGTACTTGGTGGACATCTATAGCATCTCGATTATTGTTTTGACATAAAGAGCAAGATTACCAGCTTAGCACCTCAGTTCAAAAATACACTGTTGGGCTATTCTTGTGTAAGAAACTAGAAATTTGTGCAGTGCCAAGATTAAGATAAACTACAAGGGTGAACAAACATGCATCTGACCAACAAATTCCAGAGAGCTAAACATGTTCAGAGACCATTCAAGTATGAAGAGTCGATTTGTCTTGATCAATAGGCCAATGATCTAAGTAAAACATACCTGAGTTGATAACTACTGAAGTAAGGAACAACGTGAAACCAAGCAGTTCTAAGGAAAAACTACAGAAGTTAGCAAGGTTCAATCATTTGGCGAAAAGGCCGATCTTTCCTCAAGCCTCTTAAAGTCTACCCTGATATACTACTCTCATACTGCAGAAAGTTTCTGAATTTACCTGCATCGATCTACCATGACATACGACTACTTAGTAAAAGCTAAAAGCTTTTTGGACCTCTGCCCTCTACTTCTCACTCACATTTCCACCGACCCTCAGTTATAAGTGACTTGAATCCCACCCTCCAAAGTGCAAGTTCACAGCATCCACTAATGTACCAAGATAAGCTATATGCAGTCCAGTGACTTGTGCTCTCTCTCTCCCTCGAATAAGAACACTCACGATGCATTGATGGATCCTCTACTTCCACATTTTCCAAACAACTATCACAGGCCGCACAAAAAACCCAGCTGAATTCACCAAATGAACGAAGATAGACGCGATGAAACACTAGATCAAGCTACCACGGAACACACAGTTGCTAGTTGAAGAGTTACAATCCAAAGTAGAACCACCCTGTTTCTGACCAAAGTACGGAAAACCCTAATCGATAATTGGGGGAGACATAATTAGCTCGGTCGAAAAAACGGACCTGGCTCAACGCGCAATGGAAGACGAGGGTGTCTTTCCCTTTGACCTCCTGAACAAGATTAGAGATCCTATCGCCAAAGCTACCGCTGGCGTAGTGAAGCGAGCCGGCTATATGCCCGTCGTGGCTCCTCTCTTCGTCTCTTTGACAAATTCACAACCCCCAAAAAAGAATCAACCAAAATGCATCAGTATTTTGATGATTATCGGCGCGACGGAGAATTGATTTACCTGACATCGATTATGGCGATGTTGGGGAGGCGCTTGAGAGAGACAAGCTGGGTTCCCGTTATGTACGAAATGCTTCGAGACATTTCTGCCGCAGTAGCTGGAACTCCCGCCGCCGATGATCGCCGATTTCCCACCCGGCGGAGCTGACCGAACAATGAAAAGTGGCAGAGATTTTTCCGCGGCGGAACCATTTCGATCGATGAGGCGGGTGATACACGTGGCTTGGTTTCATTGGTCTTACGCTGCGTGGCTTAACGACACTGGATGTTCGGGCCGCTTGGCAGTTGCCAGTTGCCACTATTGGGCTCAAATCAATATATTTTTTTCCCCCCGCAAAGTCAGTGTTGAAAAGAAAAATCATAAAGAAGAAGAAAGAAAAGCGCGAGAGTCGACCAATAGTCGAACTCTCGATGAGAGGGCCTTTCGTGCCACATGATGGACAGCCTTATTGAGATGATGGGATACAAAACAGTAAGAGATACTGCTAAACGATGAAGCCAAGCTCTTAGCATCTGCCAAAATAGCACCTCCCCGATCATGATGCAAATCACCTCCAACCATCCGCCGGATTAAAAGTTGAGAGTCCCCATGCAAAGAAACAGCAAGAAAGGAATGAGTTAGACACCACTGCAAGGCATCACGCAAGACTAAACATTCCATAATAAATGGATCTTGAATACCATCATAATATTTGCCAAAAACAAAGAGCACAGTACCTGTCCCATGGAAACCTACGAAACCGATACTACCTCCCTGGCCACGCTTGGCCGCCCCACCAAACCAAACATTAATAATGGAAGAAATTCTAGAGGTCAGGGAGGACCCAACACGTTCTGTTGCGACGGGGAGACGAGTAGTGCTACGATGAGCTGAGGAGGAGGTGCCTGAGTAGCCTCCCTCCACTCATCCACTTGGCGTTGATACTGACGAAATAATGCACGAGGGAGATACTGAATGTGATCGTGAACCGCCCAACAACGACCCTTCCAAATTCTCCAAAGAATGAAAACAATGCTAGCAAGTTCGAGTCCCAAGAATGGTACTCAGGCCTTCAAGATTAGCCAGACTCCAAAGGCCTCGAGCTATCCTTCAAGTAAAGAAAAAGTGGGAAAATGATTCTGGTTCCCTAGAGCAAATAGGACAAATAGTGTCAGTAACAAGCGTTTAGTGAATAACACTATCTGTAGAGCCAAGAAACCCCGAACAGCCCGCCAAAGAAAGAACTTCAATTTGGGTGGCACAGAAATACTCCAAAGCAACTTCCAAAATTTTGAATCAAAAGGTAGCGCCGCCGGGGGATGAAGACGGTTGTATTCAGATGACAAAAGATGATACCCGGATTTAACAGTAAAGATACCAGAAGGAGAGTAATTCCAAATCAAACGATCCGAGGAGAAAACTATTGGTGATGCAATATCCTTTTTCTAGTTTGGATGTTTCTAAATTGATGTATTTAATAGGTATTCCCATGGTAAATAAAATTGAATAAATTATCTAAATTTTATTAATTATGGAATATAATGTCTCAACATAAATACATACGATTAATTTTATGGAATACAATATCATTTTAAGACAAAAAGATGATTTGTTGTAATTTTGCATGTTATGGTAGGTAATGATTCATTTCACACAAGAGCAAATCATACAAAATCAATATTTTAATTGAATTGGACCTGCTAAAATGAATTTTGATTCGACTATGATCTTCTAAATTAATGATCTTAAACTATGAATGTAAATGGAATCAACATTAAATATGCTTTTTGATCCTAATTTCCTTTATAATTTTAGTTTGATTTTATCACGATTTGATCCAATTATGAACCAAATCGACCAATATGGCAGCACAATCACAAGTCACAAGTCACAACCGGTAGGGTGTAGTAGACAAACGACAATAATTCAAGTTTTACTATCCCGCCGTCGGAATGTCGACGTCGAAAGCATTCACCTTGAAGTCCGACCAAATATTCATCACACCATGTGGTGGCAGTAGTCTTCACGTCTGCTGGTACAACGGCGACCTGAACGATTTCCAGTTCCAGGGGGGAAAACCCGCCGGCCGCCGCCGCCTTGACGAGCATTGGGGCAACAATAATCGAGTTCGCGTCGGCCCCACGGAAGAACAACACGAGGCGCGATTGAGGGATACGAGTTGATGATGCTGGTTTACGATCTCACCGCGATACAAAGAGACTACGGAATAATCGGATTCCAAGTTTTCGTGAACCGTATCGGCCTCTGCATAATCGGCGGAACGAATGGCGCGGCCATGCGGATCAACGATATCTTCGGCTGGTCCAAGTACGGCGTGAAGCTGCCTCGGGATCTCACCAGGTACGCCGTGTGGGACAGAGTCGACATGTACACTGGAGAAACCGTGATGGACGTTAGAGGTATGGTGAGAGCTGCGGAGGAGCTGGCGGCGTGCAGGAAGGAGTTGGAGGAGAAGAGGCTGGAGTTGGCGGAGTGGAAGGAGGAGCTGGAATTCAGCGAGCAGATTTCGAGCATGTTGGTGGAAGAGGTGAGTAATTCATCAACTCTCTCATTGCTAACTTCTTTAAGGTCACTGGTCGATGATTACTTGATAAGTGTGCATTACGTACGTAATATATGTTAGGAGGGTTATGTCATGTATACTAGTTTTCTTGCAACACATGTCACATATAGAATTCAAGGTCAAAACGGTTAAAGAGAAGTCACACGACAAACACAATTCAAAGTCGGAAACCGACCAACGACGAGAAGTCACGCGACTCTGTTATGCTTTTGGAGAGCAGAAAATGTAACGAAATAGAAAAACTATTTTTTTTTTCCGGCCGGAAAGTTCTTGGAAAAAACTCGCCTATGAAAACTGGGGGCTGATGCATGCTATTTATAGAAAATGAAGAGATGCGTAAGAAGGAATGCAACTCTTCGTGTTGCAGTAGTTACAACTCACACCCCAACCATTGCATTGGTTCGTTTAAAATCTCTCAACCATTGCACTGGTTTGGCCCCATGTTAGTTGGACCGATTGGTTCACTCCAACTGTCACATCGGTTCGGTTCAAATTGATTTGGTCTGGTTGGTTAAACAAATCAATTTGAATGGCTACAGTCCAAAAGAGTTTAATTAATCAAATCAATTGACCAAATCAGAGACATCTTTCCCATATCTCACCAATATAGTATTTCAAGAGCTTTTCTTGGCTACTTTCCCGTTCATTACCATTCACAACATTCAAAAAATACCAATCACTTGAATATGCTTGTGAAGTTTTAACACAAAGTTGTTAAACATTGTTACCACAATGATTCTCAACTGGTCATTCGACATTTTCAATTCGAGTCGTGAAAGGAGCGTTACTAGCTAGAGCGTTAACAAAGTTTCCATACTGATCAGTAACAAATTACTCGCTTTTCTTGACAGTTCGATTGTTGCTGGTTGATCTTACATATAAACTTGTTTCCGTCTACGACCTTATTCTTGGCTTACCATCGGACTTAAGAAAAGAGTTGATTAATTAATGACACTTAGGAAAGAAGAAACGATTGCTTTTGTATTTTTTTGTGAATCGTTTTGGCCTCTGCGAGTGATTGCTCAAATCATTTCGCTGAACTATCGAAAATTATGCAGTTCAGCGATTGCCCCGACGCTTGGGATAAATATGACGCGAATGTTGGAGGAGTTTTCAGCTCTGCGGCGGCGGAGGAAGCCAACAAGGAGGAGCTCCGACGGAGCTTGGAGGAGACAAGCGCAAAATTGCTGGCATGCAAGATGGAATTGGAATGGAGCAAGAAGATGGAGTCCCTTTTGAGCAAGTTGGTGGATGAGAAGGACAAGAAGGTATATCTCGGAAGGATTTCAATTGTTTGTATAATTTTATGCTGCCAGATGATGATCACGGTACTGGCATATTTTGGGCTCGTTGGATGACGCTTAAAAAAAAAGCATTGCTTTGATGTACTACTGAAGTAGTAATATCATAAGCCTTTCATATAATAGTATTACACAAGAGAATCCATTCCACAGGTAACGTGTTCAACTTAGCCTGGCCAGCGACGCAACCAGCAAGTGAATTCAACTGCCGAGGCACAAACTCGACCTTGATCCAAGGTGCTGATTGGATGAGTGAAATCATGCGAGCAATCGTCACCCGACACTGCCATGGCCATAGGTACGGATCATGTCGTAATGAGAGAATATGACAATACACACGGGTGCATGTTGCATGGTACCGGATCTTGCGTTGCAATCAAGATGACATTGAAAAGGTCATCAGCCTCACCGTCATAATACACTTGACCATGCGCATTAGCAATAGTAAACCATATGCTGCAAACGAGGAAGCTGAGGCAAAGTAACCATCACAATTCACCACTCGTGAAAACGAGAAAGACGGGGTTCGATCGGGAACCACTAGGCTAAGAACGTGATTGTGTCATTGATTGATTGTAACCTAATGAGACAGACACTTCACACAGGTGACCAAAATGGACTACACAGTTAAGAGAAATCAAGCGTATGAATACTAACCATATACAAAGAACATGTTACTTTTGTGAATGACACTCTCGTTCTCAACTCAATAGCCACAACCATAAATCATGGCACATGAACAGTGTTTTGTTTGACAACCTACCTCCAAAGAAAGATCCTTAACTTGTATGCGTTAAACTGAATATCGCCTTTAGCCACATTATCAGAAACACACCTCGTATCATCACTTTTTTTAGGTTCCCTTCTTGGAGCATTGAAAGCTCATCCGGTTGTGAATCATCAGACTGCCAATCGAATGGTGCACACTGCTACAAGGAATCATCCCGTGGGTCATCTCAGTTACTCATTCTGGACAGCGATGTAAGCTGGGTGCATGTCCAGTTGTGGGAACCGCAGTTTCAGACGAAAAGCATCTACTCCGTTCAAGTAGTAGCGAAAGAGTCGCTTTGCCCTAATAAACCCCAGTCGGCCATAGAGTGCGAGTGCACCTTTATTTGTAACTTCTGCTTCCAGTGTTACCTAAGGATCAATTAGAGCAACTCAATTGATCTAGTACCACTTGGATTTTGATAAGCATGGACTAGAAACTTGAAATAAAGCAAGAGGAAAACAGTCCCAACATTCCAATCAAGGGCATACCAAACAGTAACAGACAAGATACCAGTAGTCCATAGGAGTTAATAGCAATGTCAAATAATCACTCTAAAAGGCTCATTAATAAAACTTTAGAACAGTTGCAACCAAATGTGGGCTATCAGTAGCAGTAAAACACAGTTCCCCAAATCATATAGCAAAGTCAAGGACTCACTCTAGGAGATCATTCATACGATTTTAGAACAAGAGCAACAGAATGTATATGCAACACAATGCAATACTTCATTTTGTGAATGAAAGAAACAAGAGTGATTACATGGAGAGCAAGACTGAGTATACGATTCTATACCTCTTCACATCCGGATTCCATCATTACTCTGATCGATCTGGTAACAAGTTCAGTAGCTGCAAAGATCATAAATTTAAACCGTAAGCAACAATATAAATCTAGAAGGCAACGGAGGCCTCTAACCACAATTAGCACCCTAAATCGAGGAACCCTTTATTCTTCTTTTTTGATAATGGTGATATAGTATTAAATAAACTAGAAGATTAGAGTTTACAAGAACTAAACATCTCCAGGAGAAACACAGCAAAGACAATGCAGAATAAAGGGGCAATAAAAAGATACAGACTGTATTAAACAATGGATCAAAGTCTTGGTTTCAAGCTTGAAACACAGCTGCAACTTTGGACACCAGTTACTTCAAGCTCAATCATGCACTTGAGAATTTAGTCAGCCAAACCCAGCAAGCTAACTCATGCATTTCTGCAGCCAATTCCACCCTTTGCTGCAACAAGGACAACAAGTAACCTTATGTCCTTCTTTCTTACAATCAGAATTCCGCAGGCAGAAAAAACAGAGTGGTGGAAAGAAGTTAGCCAACAGCTCCCTGCCATTCAAATGCCCATTTCAGCAGCCAGCTTCCCTCAAGCTAAAAAACCCCTTTTTGCATCAAACTCTGTCCCATACAATACCAATCTCCTCCATCAAGCACATCCATCCACATACATGCCAAAAAGTTACAATCTTTCTAGTTTTTGTAGTTGTACAGTCGAGCTAGAGAGTGTAAGTATGATTACCAATGCCTTTCCCACGATAAGGATTGATGACAACCAGCATAGCAATGTAGCCTCTGAACGTAGTGTTTCGATGCTCCCCCATTTTGCATACCACCGTCCCCACGCATCTACCTCTATGGAACGCCTGACATTCACCATGAAAAGAGCTCTCAATCTCAAAAACTCAAATTCAGATTGAAACACACAAGAAAAGATAGAAACTTTCATCTGAATTCTTTTACCAGGAAACAAAGCTGGGGCCATAGGTACACGAAGTAGCGATAAGTGAAGATAGAGTAGGGTTCGCTGAGTTCCTGATCAACCAGGCTCATGATTAGCGGTAAGTGATGCTCGCCTGCGTAACTCACATACTCTATCTCCGACGCATCGAATATCGCTTTCTCCTCTTTTGATTTCTCCGCTTCCTCGGCTCGTTCACCTTCCATCCCCGCCGCCGCCAAAGGAAGATCCGGTGACCGGTTCGCTATTTCGATTTCTCGTCGTCTGCTCCGTTATCTCCGTCCCTCGCTTTTAGTTTTACGCCTTCTTATAGTGGGCTTCGTGGCGGGAGGCCCAGACTCTTGGAAAAGTCAAGGCCCAGTGCTTGCAGGCCCAGACTCCCGAAAGCTTAAGAGTTAAGACAGAGCGATGAGGCGTAGGGCAAGAAACAAGAAAAGCAAAATTCAATTCAATCGAAAATCCTCTCTCGGGTTAGCGGCCGTCGCCGGTGAAGAGGTAAACCATCGAATAGCGAAGGAGAGAAGAAGAAGACGATGTTGAGGGTTGGGTTACGGCGTCTTGCATCTCTCTCCTCCCCGTCGTTGAGGCCCAACCATGCTGTCTCTGCGATCGGGATGCAGAATCCCCTTCACCGGGTTTCTGGGGATTCATCGTCTTTCGCCGACGAGCTTCAGGCCGACCGGTTTGCAAGCTCTTACTTTCCCTTCCATGTTCCTCACAGAGGTTAGGATTTCCTCATTTCTCTGTTTTTTGGTCGTCTCCTTTTCTGAATCTTTGTTCCGCTCGATTTGATCCCCACGGATTTGTTTTTGATTATGGCATCTGATGTTTGAAATTGGTGGTTTTGTGAGCTGGATTCGTGATCTTGATAATATTGGATTCATCCGTTCTCACGTTTGGTTTTAGTTGCCATGGGGTGATTCATTTCGCTTTTAATTTTGATTTTAGGGTTAGTGAATTTGCATTGCAGTCTCTCCTATTGAATTTGAGTAGTGAACAAGATCTCTTTATCCTTTGTGGATACGGGATGTTAGTAAATGGAATTCATACTTGTTTGCTTAACTGAACTTCACTTGCAATATGTTCTTCTCGACCGGGCTTTATTTTCTTGTTTTCCCTTCAAATTCGAGCAAAGTTTATACCGCAGTGGTGAATATGATAAAGCTTGTAGCTTTACTATTGCCTTTTGCACTTGATTGTAATAAGAACTTCTTGATTCTTCCATTTGTGTGTAAAATAGAAATCACGTTCTGGGTCTTCTATCTTCCTGCAGCTGATAGTTATGATGTAACGGTAAGAGAACATTTTGATGTTGTTCATGTCAGGTTTTGCTTCTGGACCTGAAACGGGATGTGACTAAATGGATTTCTAACTTGTTTGCTTACGTGAACTTTACTTGCTATATGTTCTTCTCGACCGGGCTTTATTTTCCTGTTTCCCCTTCAAATTTGAGCAGAATTTATACCACAGTGGTCATGTTATGATATAATGGATTCTTGTAACGATTTGAATGTCTCTGAACGAATAGGTGAATACTCTATTGATTTATGGTGAATATGATAAAGCTTGTATCGTTACTATTGCCTTTTTCACTTAATTGTAATAAGCACTTCTTGATTCTTTCCATTCCTGTGTAAAATAGAAATCACGTCTGGGTCTTCTATCTTCCTGCAGCTGATTGTTCTGATGTAACGGTAAGAGAACATTTTGATGTTGTTCATGTCAGGTTTTGCTTCTGGACCACTTGCCTCAGTAGACGAGGAAGGCATGGCTCCTGGTTACTTAGCAACTGTGCATGCTCTGAAGAATCCCTCACCTAAGATAGTCTATGATGAGTACAACCATGAGCGCCTGCCACCTGGTGACCCTAGCAAACGAGCTTTCGCTTACTTTGTCCTCTCTGGCGGCCGATTTGTTTATGCTTCCCTCATCCGTCTCCTCGTCCTGAAATTCGTCCTCAGTATGTCAGCCAGTAAGGATGTTCTGGCCCTTGCCTCTCTGGAAGTTGACCTCTCAAGCATCGAACCGGGGACTACTGTGACTGTGAAGTGGCGTGGGAAGCCAGTTTTCATCAGGAGGCGAACGGAAGATGATATCAAATTGGCAAACAGTGTCGAGCTGGCATCTCTCCGAGACCCACAGCCGGACGAGGCCAGGGTGAAGAACCCAGAATGGCTGATTGTTATTGGGGTGTGCACGCATTTGGGCTGCATCCCTTTGCCTAATGCTGGTGATTTTGGGGGATGGTTTTGCCCGTGCCATGGATCTCACTACGACATCTCTGGTAGGATTCGTAAGGGCCCAGCACCTTACAACTTGGAGGTGCCTACCTATTCCTTTTTGGAAGACAATAAGTTGCTGATTGGCTGAAGAGTTCATGGCAGAAATTGCTTGTTTTGGCTGAACGTTTCCATTTCTGGGATGTCTACAGATGTATTTTTTTGCCTAGACGCTGCAAGTGCTTATCTTCTCAGCTTCTGACGATAATTTGTCATTCTGTTGGAACATGTATAATCTTGTCCAAATGCACCTCGTATTGCTAAGCAATAATAGATACTTGTGAGAGTTGCTTTGTTTGCTTATGATTGTGATGATTACAGGTGAATAGTAGTTAGGATGGTCAGCTCAGTTGGGTCATCTCTTGAAGATGCCCTTTACACAGATCATGCCTTTCTCGCTCAACTGCAGTTCCTTCCTTCTCTGCTCAACCTACTGATCATTTCTAGAAGCTTTGCTCAGTAGTATGCTCCCCTGCATTCAGCAAAATACAATCGGGGATAATCTGTGCCATGCTATGGTACAATTGATAAGAGGACAGAATTCTTACCTCGTAAAACTTACGCCAGAGGGCTGAAAATGGTGAGGACTAAGGCAACGCTGGCTAGGCTAATGCAAGTGCAGAAGGTGAGGAATGCTAATGCAGCTTGCCCTCTGCTGGGAAATGTCATGCCTTGGAAGCCAGAAATCGGTATTAGAGCAAATAGGACGCAAACTGAAGGAGTTGTAGCTGCAGGAATTTTGCAGGAGGGGGCTGGCTGGCTTATTTGGACAAGTAGGTCATTGTCTCTCCTCTATCGGCCACTGCAAAGTTGTTGCGAGTGAAGTAGGATAATATCTCTCCGGCAACTTGGTTCGGTGGTGCTTTCTTCTTGCTGCCGGATAAATGTCTTCCAAGCAAGACAGCCATACTTGTTTACGAATTCGTTGATATCTATGGAAACTACTGAAGAAGAAGAAGTGATAATCAGTTCCAGTTTTACCTTGGATTTGACAGAGCGCTTGATGAGCGACCAGAGACCAGGAAGAGAGATGATATATATTCAATCTGTTGAGGCTTGTTGGTTCAGGCAAGTTCCAATTGTTCTTTGGTCCCAATCATCATCTTGCGCCATTTCATTTGTTTCGATTTCTGGGTTCGCTGCAACTACCTCCAATTGTAAGCTCCACCCTTCTTCTGAAGGTAAAGCTGGCTGCTTTGACTCTGTCTTGGAACCACTTCTGTAAGCATAAATTCACTTGCTTCTCTGGATTTATCTGTTTATACATATCCGCAGTGAAAGGCACTAAGAAATATAAGTAAGAAGCTGGGGAAGAAAGGCAGGGATTTTGGCAAAGATCCGTTGCAGGCTTGTAGCAGAGCAGGGGAACTGGGTCGTAATACTGATAGCAGGAAAGTACCTGCACCATTTTCATCATTCCCACCCTCCAGTTTCCAATCCCAAAAAACCAGCTTTATGGGAAGAGACGATGTTACGGCTCTTCAGAGACCTTGGAGGAGAAGGACTTGGAACTTACGGCGTGCAAGAAAGAATTGGAATGTAGCAAGAAAATGGAGTCGCTTTTAAGCAAGTTATTGGAAGAGAAAGAGAAGGAGAAGGAAAAAGAGGTGGAGATGTTGAAGAACCAACTTGTTGCTTTCAAGGCTGCTCTACGATCCTTGACTGATCATTACTCATTAGGATAGATAGACGAGGAAGTAGAAGCTCTAATATATATTGCTCTCGTCTCGTCATGACTCTTTTTTGTTGTTATTTTCTTCAAGTAATGGTTGCTGAAACTCTAATATATTGTTCTCGTCATGAATCTTTTGTTGTTCTTTCTTAGTCATGGTGTTCTCTCTTTTTCACGATAATGGTTCACTGTTTGGGCTCAATATTACTTCCTCCAGTCCAGTTATTAAATCAAATTTTCCATACAATCTTGGACATTCGCATGAAGAAGTGAAATTTTACTCACTAGCTTGAATTTCAACCTTACTTGGTTATGTGAAATCTAAGCCTAATCAAGTAGATTGAGTGGGAAGAGAAATATCCTGAGCAAATTTCTTCCCAAATTGGATTCAGATTCTCGACATCATTCCACTAATGCTCTAGAAACTAGAAAGTCTCCATAATCCATCATTTACTACGTAACTATCTATCACACTCATGCATATATGCATTGGTACGTGGAGCCAACTTTCTTTTCATCTTGCATGCGTTCATTGTTTCTGAAGTGGCGAGTCCCACAAAAAAAAAAAAAAAAAAAAACTGCATTAGTTAAGTTTGCTACGCATTAAAGAAAATATGGGGTTACGAGGCCTCTTTTGGTATTCTTCATTGACCTCGCGGACTTCGTTTTGCTCCATTGAAATGCAAATGGAATTACGCCTTGGAAGGGATCGACAGTGTTCAGCCCCAAGTCCGACCATATGATTTCATTGCAGCTCTTTTCGAGTTGACATCCTCAGTGATTTGAGCAGAATTATATGTAGTTTAGACAAAAATATAATGACGATTAATAGAAGGAAAATTCATTTGCAACGGTCAGAATTCAGTGCGACGGCGTTTCGAGACAGGAGAAGGAGCTTAGTTGGAACGCCACCGTTTTGTGTTGCTTTAGGAGAAGACATCAATTTGGATCGCCACCGTTTCGTGTTTCCCTTCCAGTGGCTGTTTTCTTTTTGCCCAAGCTTGTCTTGTTTCTGTTCCAAGCTTCCAAACAAACAACATACTTTGCTTGTCTTCTTCCTGTAATGCTCTACCTATAAAGACCGGAGATTGTAATGAAATCCACAAGTTTTAGGATTCAATCTTCTGTTCCACTTTGTTGTTAATGATAAGGACGGTTAAGCTAGGTCAAGTCGATGAAACTATCTATGCATGTCCCGCCTACAAAACGAGTATCATCCACCTAAAATAAGTCAAACAGATCAGACAAAATGAATAAGATTGAAATTCTTTCTTACCTTTTGTTCCCTTTTCTATATCTCTATTTCCAACATGTTCATTACTATATGTCCTATGACTTTGACTGGCGGATGCTTGCTTCGGCTACTGAAGCATCACAATGCATGGGTCGATTTAACACATTCATCCATCTAGAAACTCGTATACAATTAACTTTCATTCCTTTTCTTCCCTGACATCGATGCAAGCAATTAACATTCAGTTTCATCTTACTTCACTTCACTTCCACTGCTTCTCTCCCCTGCCCTAAGATCATTTATAAACCCCCTTCACATACACATAGGACTTCAATCGTCTCTTGCTCAGCATAATGAAACGAATGAAGGGCGAGTCCAAGGACAAAAAGAAAGTGGTGGACGGAATTGGAGGAAATCTGAGAGCTGAGGAGGAAGCCAGTAAGGAGCAGCGGCGGAGCTTGTGGGAGGAGAGGATGAAGCTGAATGCGAAAGAATTGGAATGGTTGAACAGGACCGAGCATCTTTGGAGGAAGATCCTGGAGTATGAGGGGACTGAACTTCAAGTTTTCAAGGATACCTTCCGCAAGTTGGATGCTCTCCGGAAATAATCTGTACTATCTTAGGGATTTGAAGTAATCGGTGAACCTAACCATGTTAAAATTCTCGGGGTTCATTTTCCTGTCTTTACCTTTCTGTTCGTTGCTCTGTTTTGTTGTTGTTGTTGTTTTTCATGGTATTTGAAGCAAGAACAGAGAGACTTTAAATTTCAGACCCTGCAAGTCAATTCAAAATTGTTGGACTGAATGGCTTAACCTTTTTTTCACTTTAACCCCTTTTATCTGAAGAGAAGGAAGACAGTGAACGACCATAAAAGGAAACAATTCCTCTTCTCATCGTCTTCTTCCTCTCTACTCTGTTTCTCAACCTTCCCATATTCTATACCCAATTAAAATTGTTTCTCGATCGAATTGCAGGTACAAATAACATCTTCATCACTCATTTCTCGCGGATCGTCAACTTAACGTACTGGAAATTTGTTTTAGCTCCATGCCCATATATCGTCAGAAATCAATATATCTAGGAACTATCCTACTATATCGTGCAAAATCATCATAGAAAGCTAATATTGTCATTTCCATATTTATCGTCAACTTATCGCGTTTCGGTTTTAAGAACATGAAACGTTTTGACTTTGGGTAATTCAACCCTACATTCCCATACCGGTTCACACCCTCTGCCACAAGTCTATGCAAATTCTCCTTTAGGGCCAGAGTTGGGCCTGTCCCAACTGAGAATCCAGCGTGAGGCCTGAAAGCTCAAGCTGGGGCTTTCTCAGTTGGGCCTTGTTGATTCAAAGTTGTTTGCTATGACTATCGGTTTGGGCCTACCGAGGGGCATCTCTCCTTCCCGTTTTCATAAATGATTAAAAATGAGTTAAGGGTTAAATCGTTTTTTTTAACCTTTTTTTACCTCTACTTTTAGAATCGAACGAAAAATTGCGTCGTAATCGTATCCGATAAAATTAATGATTTATGATTCATATCTGATTTGACCTATGGACGAATATACAAGTATACATTTCAGCTCGTTTGAGTAACATTGTAACATAAATGAGATTTCCCACTCTCATACTCAGAATAGCTAAGATTTCTAGAAATAGGGGTGATAGACTTTATACGCCAAACCCATAAGACATATAATTAGAAATAGGGGTGCCAGAACGGTTTTCGGTTAGCAGTTAACCGGACGGTTTCAACCGAACCGACTGGTTTTCGGCTAACTGAAAAACCGATTCTGATTGTATCGATCGGTTGGCAGTGGTCTTGGGCAGGGGTTCGGCTAGCCGACTAATCGGGGTCGGAAACCGACGGTTAACCGGCTAACCGACCCCTTCCCTTTCCCCAAAAGGACCCCGAACCCTAGTCCCACGACGATGAAGAAGTTGAGAAAGTGAGGAAAGTGAAGACCCCACTAGGGAGCCGGAAAAAATCCCACCTCTGTATGGACTCCTCCTAATCAATTTCATCTTTCCTTCCCCGCCAACCAATTTCATCACCATGCCTTCCTCACCCCTCTCTATCTCTCTGCCTCCTCATCAGTAGCCACCTCTCCGTCGCCGCCGCCGACACCTGCGGCGATCATGCCGCCGCCGACACCACCGTCAGATTCCCCTTCGCCCTCACCGCCGGCCGGACCCACAACAGCAGCAGCATCCCAAACACCCGGTGCGGGTTCCCGGGTTTCGGCCTCTCGTGCGACGGGTCGGGCCAGACGGTCATCGCCCTCCGAAGCTCCGGCGAATTCATCGTCCAGTACATCGAGTACCACAGCCAGGTCGTCTACATCCGGGACCCCGGTGACTGCCTCCCGCGCCGGTACCTCGATTCCTTCTCCCTCGAGGGGACACCTTTCGTTCCCGAGGCCACCGAAGCGCAGACACTTTCCTCGATTGTTTTTGTGTAAAAGAGAGAGGAGAGAAGAGGAAAAAGATAAGGAATGACACTGTGTGGCTACGATTTTTTTTTTTTCTTTATTTCTTTTTTTTTTTGTTTTTTTTAATCTTATCTAACAAGAGGTCGGTTTTTGGCGGTTACCGGTCGGTTAGGCCATTGAACCGAACCGCTCATCAATCTGTCGGTTGTCCCGGTTTAACCGCGCCTGAACCGAAAACCGTCTGGTCGGTTTGCAGCTAACTGGGGCTCTAGGGTCGGTCGGTTGACGGTGGCTTCTGGTCAGGTCTCGGTTTAACTTAAAACCGAGAATTCGGTTTTTCGATTAAACCGAAACCGACCAGTTGCCAGCCCTAATTAGAAATGGGTTAGCAACTCAAGTATCGTTTTATAATTTATCCCTACAATTTTATTAAAAAAATTATCAATGTGTTAACCATGCCAAGAATAACGTGCATGGCAACCTTTTCTAAGCTACAATTGTCTTATGATGGAATAAAACCGAATGGAACAAACATTTATAAAGGTAGGGGTGGCTATACGGTCCGGTCCGGTTAAATTGGACCAAATTGATCCGGTCCCAGTCCGGTCTTTTCGAGAATATAAGGACCAAAGATTGGATTGGATACAGTCCGGTCCCAATTTTATCTTGAATTTAGGTGTTGGGGGTTTCTTATTCGGTCTTTATCCGGTTTTTTTACCTCAAATCTAAGCCCGAATATGAGAATGCATTGTTTGCTATCCGGTCCGGGTTATACGGTCCGATTTCGAGTAAAACCAAACTGTCCAGGACCAAATAGTCAGCCCTATATAAAGGTACAAAACCGAACACAACAAAATTTTATAGTGGTACAAATATATGATTAAGACTCTCAGCGATATAAACTTATTTATGTTTGACGTTATATTAATTTGGTGCTGGGTTTTAATCAAGTTGCTCTTTCTTTTGGTAATCCAGATCACTATATCGGGTGCACCACAACAAGTATCGGTGACCTCTCCACTAAAGAAACTTCAATGTGTTATAAATGATAATGCCAACCAAGTTACCGGCATATATTAAACGAATTACAAATCAAATCCCGTTAGCGTAGCACGGGCTAATTCTCTAGTAATTAATTAATTAAGTTTCTGTGCATAGGGACTTGGTGTGTTGATCATGACTTGCCATTAGACGCTTGGTTTCCTTTCGTTGGCTGAAGCTTACCGTGCGTCAACCCTCTTTTGGATGAATCTTTTCTTTATTGCACGGCTCATCTGTTGCTGCATTTATATATAGAGACCTTCAAATACTAAAGCCCAAATAAAACCAAAAATTCCAAAACCAATGGTAGGAAAAATATACATTTGATAATTACGAGGAATATAATTGATTACCTGAGGACATCGATGTTCAAATCCAGTGGGCCTCATTCAAAAAATTGAAATAATTTTCTCTGCTACAATTAGCTCTAATACATAATACTTTCCAACACATAATATTTTTCCTGCAACATCAAATGTTTGAATTAATATTAGAAAGGGAGATGAAAAGAACGGAATAAGGGGAGAAGAATGCGGATTATGAAGAGACATATAAAGCTAGAGCTTTTCATTTTGTCTGCCGATTTTAATGAAATGGCAATTACGAAGAGACAGATACGATGCTTCCCTCTGCTAAAGCATCACAATACTAACTATATATATAGGGTGGGTTGCTAATTCTCACAACAATATCATAGCAAACCCACTATCCGACGACATATACTCCGTCTGTTCCAACGGCGGCAGAATGTCGAAGGTGTTCAGCTTGAACTCCGATAATGAATTCATCTCACCATTTATGGACGCACTTGTTGCAGTGCTCAGCTACAAGGGCGACGTGAATGATTTCAGGACTATCCAGGGAACAGACTACTACTCCAATGATGATTGGGGCACTCGAGTTGAGGTTGGTCCGGGAGAAGAATACGAGGGAATAAAACTCTTTGGCACTACCATTGTGGGAGACAAGTTCAAACAGCTAGTCGATGAGCTCAAGTCGGTAGAAGACCGCGAAAGAATCCATTTCTTTGTGAATCGTTTGGGCCTTTGTATAGTTGGAAGAATCGGGCATCCAACTATTAGTGCAATGCGGATCAACGATTATTTTGGTTGGTCCAAATACGGCGTGAAGTTACCTCAAGATGTTACCAAGTTCACCGTGTGGAGCAGAGCGGACATGCACAGTGGAGAAACGTTGATTGATGCCCGAGGAATGAGCAGAGCCGCGGAGGAGGCGCTGCAGCGGAGCTTGGAGGAGAAGAGCGTGGAGCTGGCGGCATGCAAGAAGGAACTGAAGGAGAAGAACGTGGAGCTGGTGGTACGCAAGAAAGAAATGGAGGAGAAAGAAATGGAGCTAGTGGCGTGCAAGAAGGAAATGGAGGAGAACAACGTGGAACTAGTGGCATGCAAGAAGGGATTAGAGGAGAAGAACGTGGAACTGGCGGCATGCAAGAAGGAGCTGGAATGGAGCAAGAGGATCGAGTCGCTCCAGAGCGAGTTAATGGAAAAAAAGGACAAGGAGGTGGAGACGATGAAGAATCAACTCCTTGCTTTCAAGGACATCTTACGCTCCTTGATTGACCATTAGGGCCGGTTTCTTAATTATTACTACCCAAGCATATCTCCCTGACATGGACGCAAAGTTTTCAGATAATTAGTTGCTCTCTGGATTTTCTTTCGTTTGATCATCCTATCCACTGTCCACCTCATGATGAAATCCCAAGGTTAATTAAGACTCTTCTTATCTTCTTGGCTTTTGAAACCACCCACAAAAGATCGAGTAGAAGCCACCAGATTTGGAGTGATCAGTAGTGGCTAAATATAATTAAGATCTCACACTCGATAGATCCAAATGAATCTCAAGGGAAAGGAACCTGATTAGTCTATTCTTTAGTCATTTTTTCAAGCTCACACTCGATAGATCCAAATGAATCTCAAGGGAAAGGAATCCTTCTTTTACTACTACACTTAGAATCTCGATCGCTCCCCACCAACCTTAATTTTACATCCGAAATAACAATGCATATGAATAAGTTGAGGGGCATTGTAGCCTCTCTTATGAACTACACATAGCGTCACCACTCAATGAAGCAAATGATGATAATTAATACACATTACACAGGAAGATGAGAAAAGAATGCAATAAGAATGGGGCTTACGAAGAGACATCGATAGCAAGCTTTTTTGCTTTGCCCATTTAATTTCGACTGTCCATTAAATGGGAAGTGGAGAATACGAAGAGATTGATGAAGCTGGTTGGCGGACAGGTATAGCAATGCTTCACGTATTCAAATTATTAAATATATATATATAGACCGGGTGCCATCTGCCATGTATGGCTTGCTCTTCTAGTTCACAAACATCATAGCAGAAAATCTCTGTCCTCGGCCGATCGAAACTACTGCATCGTCCTCCAACGCCAGAATGTCGAAAGTGTTCAGCTTGAAGTCGAGTAGCGAATTCATCGTACCCATTGACGACAGAACTGTCGAAGTGTTCAGGTACGAGGATGATATCAAGCTTATCGGGTTGAAATACTACTTCCGTAATTCTTGGGAGTGGGACCCCCGAGTTTACGTTGGCCGGGGAAAAGAATACGGGGCGATAGAAGTCTTCGGCACCGTTATTGCGGGAGGCGAATTGGAGCAGCTAGCGAAGGATCTGAAAGCAGTGGAAGAGGACCCAAATCTTTATACTTTTGTCAACCGTCTCGGCCTCTGCGTAATCACTGAGAAGGACTACTCCTTTGACGTCATCCTCATCAACTATCATTTCTTCGGTTGGCCCAACTACGCCGTGGAGTCACCTCAAGGCATTACCATGTGGTGGGACATTCCCGATACGGACGATGAACCGCTGAAGATGGATGTCCGAAGAATGATCAGTGATTTGATGGAAGCTAACGAGGAGCTGCGGCATAGCTTGAAGGAGGCGAATGTGGAACTGACGGCATGCAAGAAGGAGTTGGAGGAGACGAATTTGGAGCTGGCGGCATGCAAGAAGGAGGCGGAGTGGAGCAAGAAGATGGAGTCGCTTTTTAACAAGCTGGTGGAGAAGCCAAAGAGAAGGAGGTGGAAATGGTGAACATGTCAATACATTACCCGATTTCCATTACTACGTACGTCAAAATTCCAATCCCCCAAATCAGGCTCTGGAAACACAGTTTGTTACGGCTCTTCAGTGACCATGCATTTTGGTTGTTACCATCAAATTAAATGCAAATGGAATTACGAAGGGATTTAACTATCTTTTCCCCATGCGTTCATTAATATAATGTGTCGTTCAATTGGCGGACGGATACACAAACGTACGCCTCGGCAACTGAAGCATCACAATGCTTGCTTGGCTAATTAAGGTCTCTCTATATAAATAGAGGGAGCTCGATCTACAACGTCCCAGCAAAGCCTGTCGATCGAAAACTCTCTGCTACTCCTTAAACTCTGAGAATGTCGGTGTATAGTTTGAACTCCGACGACAAATTCATCACGCCGTCGTGTCAAAATGTTGAAGTGCGCTTGTACAAGGGCGATACAAACGATTTCAAGGTCACTCAAACAGCCTATTGGTCTGATCATTGGAGCGATCCAGCTTATCGTGTTGGCCCCACGGCAGAAAAATACAAGGCACTACAAGTATTTGGCACCACCATTGAAGGAGACAGATTCCAAGAGCTGGTTGATGAGCTCAAGGCAATTGAAGAGGGAGGGATCCTCATTTTTGTGAATCGTCTCGGCCTCTGCATAATTTCTGAGATCAGGCATCCATCTATAAAAGCTATGCGGATCAACGATTACTTTGGTTGGTCCAAATACGGTGTTCGAGTGCCTCTGGAAGTGATCCGCACGTCTACCGTATGGAACAAGTTCGACATGCACAACGGGGAAACTGTGATTGATGTTCAAAGGATCGTCAGATCCGACGCTGATGAAGCCATTGAGGAGCTGCGGCGGAGCTTGGAGGAGAAGGACTTGGAATTGACGGCATGCAAGAAGGAATTGGAGGAGAAGAGCATGGAGTTGACGTCGTGCAGGAAGGAGCTGGTATTGAGCAAGAACATTGAGTCACTGTGGAGAAAGTTAGTGGAAGAGAAAGAGAAGGTGAATGAGATGATGCAGAGTCAGATTCTTGCTTTCAAGGCTGATCACCATGACGTGGAACGAGAAAATCTTTTCTGAATTATTTAATCCATCCAATCTCTTTTTTCGCTTTTAATTCATGGTAACATGATGCGTCAAAGGCTTCAATGGTTTTTTGACTTAGACACCTACATACGTTACATATTCAAGGGATCCAAATTACAAACACTAACTCTCTTTTGAATGCATTGCTCTTTAATTTACAGTTTTACGAAATTATACAGCTCATTCTCTTAAATTAGAAAAAAAAATAGTGATTTATAATTCAATTTCATTACAATAGGTTAAAGAATTGTCGAAAAACTTTAGTTTTACGTTCGACAAACACTTACTTCGACGAGACTCCATGTATTAAATTTAAGATTTTCCCGCATAATTCGGATATATATTGAAATAAAATTATTCAAGATTGTAAAACTCTAAAGTACTATTGGAAAAATGTAAATACAAATTAATAAATAAAAAACGGTTTAGCCCAAGACAAGTGCCCAAACTTTAACTGCCTGGACGTTAAAGATTGTTCTACTCGGTCCAAATTTAAATATGGCGTCAAATCACCTTAAGACATGATTAGGGCATCCACCATGCCGAAGAAATCCAACATGCGGGATGGGATTAGGTGCTAATCCTTATAAGGGTTAGTACCGTGATAACTAGCAAAAAACGCTACTAAAAATAACGAAATCACTACGGATTATTATAAAATTAATACAACATCTAAGCTAAATCACTACTAATTCAAACTAATAGTAGTTTTTCTCTTGGTTAGGACGGTGCTAACTATTGTACAATTAGCACCGTAACCGCTCCCCCAACATTCACATCAATAAAGCAAGAATTTGGTGGAGTGCGCGCAAGGAGAAGGAACAAACTTTCCGATTTTATGGTTTCCCTACTGTCGTCATTGATTGATCAGTTCAGGAATACTGGATACTAGTCCCGTTCCAAGAGACAAGCTACAGTGCTAAGCCTATAGGGGTTAGCACCGTACTAACTAATATTTAAATGATTTAATTTAATTTTTTATTAAATGGCTATAATTTAAGAAAGGGTATAATAGGAAATAAGAAGAAAATTAAAAAATATGAAATTAATATGATTTACGGAAAGTGGGGGATTGGGTTTTTTAAATGGTTTTAGTTTTAAGGGATCCATTAATTATTAACTTCCATTTTTTAATTAAATCCGTTTCCGTTAGTGGCCGGATTTTAAGGAATTGGGGATGGTTATTGCTTGAAAATAATTATTAACCCTAATTTCTCGGGAAAAAAATAATTGTGCTCCATAATTTCCGTAAATCATAATTATTAACCCTAATACCATGTCTCCCTCTTTAATGGATAGATATTTATTAGTAGCAATATTAATTAAATAGTAGTGATTCCATAGTAATAACATTACATATTTTAACGATATGGCGTAGTGGTTATTACCATTGGTAGTGTTTTCAAGTTTTTTTTTGTCATAGTCATTTCATTCCTCGGTTGATTGTTTGTAGTAGCTATTTTCGAGGTGGTAATAGTGTTTCCAATCAAAAGTACTATTCCAATATGGTAGTTGTTAATCGTGATCGTAGCAATATTTTATGATGGTAGTAGTGATTTTACAAAGAGAAATTATCAACATAATAAGATTGAATTCATTATGAACAACGCAAAGAAAAGAACTTGTTACTGCTACACATAAACATCTACTAAAAATTGTTAAACCAACTACTATATTGAAATGAAACACTACTACAGGAAATACAAATGGGAGAAAACTACTAATCTTCTGCCAAACACTACAACATTGAAACGCTACCACATGAATTGGGAATATGTCAATGTCATAACTGCTACGCATAAAAATCCACTACACAAACTGAAGGTGAATACTACTAAATAGAATTATACATTGTCTACAACTTCGATAGTTATCAACAATCCCCATAGAGCATCATTAGAAGGATTTATACCATACGAATTCCAACCCAGTCTTGAAACCCAAATCTTGCATCCACTATGCACATAGATTGCTTGGTGAAGAATGAAGACGAGCCCATATCTCACGGCAGTTTTTGTATATGTAGGGTTTTTGTAAGTCAGCAGAGTTATTTGTGTTGTAGCGATTTTGCATGAAGAGAAGTGCATTGGTTGTTAAACCATGTTTTCACTTCGCGTCCGGAGAGGTATAACCAAACACGAATCACTACCAATGAAATAATACTAACCACACACAAAAACACTACTATCTAAACCTTTTGGACAATTCACCTTCTCGTCTGCAAACTGAACATAGCCGGAAACAAAACAGAAAAAGAATTGCATCCCACACAGATCAAAAAACAAAACAGAGCTTGGATCTAGAAGCCTACACAAAACCACCCTAAAAATAGATCTTCAACCCATAATAAAAACATACAGAAGGACACAAACAAAAAGTTGAGAGACGGGGGCATGCAATTGTGCCGATGAGAGAATGGATTGTCGATTGATGATATTAGAGTACTACCTAATGCGGCGGCCTGAATGCAGATGAGGTTGGCTTAAAGCGCGCTCGTCGACGGCGCATAAGGCAACGACGAGTTCAGGGGCATGGAAGAGGGCAGTGGCGTCGAGGGCCGTGCAGGCAAACCCAACCGCGACGAAGGCCACTGGCGAGGGAGGCTTCACCGACGGGAAGGACTGCGGGAACCGGCTGGGTTGCTACTCTCCGACGGATAGAGAGATAAGAGATGAATAAAATCTTACCCAAAAGGAAGTTAGCTTGACTATTGGAATATTCACACCACAAAATTGCACACGTTTTACCCGGCTTAAATCACGGCATGACATCAGCTAATAAAAGCAAATTATAAAAATGCCCCTAACAATAAAATACCTTGATTTGCCGAAAATTAAAAAGGAAGGAGATATAGCGAGTTAGCACGGTACTAACTTTTTCGTTATAATTCCCGATACGATTTCACACTCCATCGCAAATTGATTACTGATTATTAGGCTTGAAAGTTGGTTGGTATATAACTTTGAAAGAAACGGAAATGGGGACTTACGAAGAGACATTCTTGCATGCATGGCTCCTCGTCTCCCGTGATTGACTTGTTTGCTCCACTCAGTACTACTGCAAATGGAATCACAAATCTATCTCATGGGGAGTTGGTGTACGTGTTTCGATTCATTGGCTATGCATTAAAATGCCATCGCTTTGGAAAGCTCTCAAGAAGCGTATATATACAATAATAACTACTTTCACGTTCTACAAGCCACTACTTTTGCGTCTTCCTATGCATCGGCTTCTGAGCTGCTTTGGCCTCTACACATATATATCAGGGCGCCATGCATGCAGGATGGATCCTCTCAGCATCTCAACAATTACTTTGGTTGGTCTAAATACGGCGTGAAATTACCTCAAGACGTCACCAGATTCACCGTGTGTGACAAATGCGACATGTACAGTGGCGAAACGGGCAGGTCTTATGATGAGCTGCGGCGGAGCTTGAAGGAGAGCAACGTGGAATTGGCGGCATGCAAGAAGGAACTGGAGGAGAAGAGCGCGGAACTGAGGCAATGCAAGGTGGAGTTGGAACGTTGCAAGGAAGAGTCAGTTTTGAGTAAGGCGGTGGAGAAAGCCAACCAGAAAGCGCAGCTGCACTTGGCCCGTTGGCCGTGCTTGGAAAGAGCGTGGAATTGGCGTTATGCAAGAATGAATTAGAGGAGAAGCGCGTTGAACTGAAGGAATGCAATGAGGAGCTGGAACGTAGAAAGAAGAAAGAGTTAGTACTTTTGAGCCAGAAGGCGGAGGTGGTGAAGAATCTAACTCGTGCTTTCGACTCTGCCCTACGTTACTTGGATGATCATTAGCCACGATCGCCGGCGAGGAGTAGTAGTACCAGTAGTAATTTCTGTCGCCATTGATCTTTTTTATTCATTTCCGTCACTCTTTCCAAACTTTTGGTTGTGGTTTCTGTCGGTCTTTTATATAGTAATCTAGCAAATCTATTTCCTTTCTAATTAACGATAATCCAAAACCAAATCAAAAGGCTCGCCGTTGATTCGCGGATTTCCCTCCCGGCCAAACAATAATGAAGTGCCGATCTGCTGGAACATTAATTAATTTATAAGAGGCGGTTGTTTTGGGCCGTATTGTTTCTGCCTTGACATTAAAGGCCTGTTTATTTTCGTTTTCCTCTCATTTTCTAAATCTGGCAAAGTAAATGAGAAAATTTGTTTACTTTTCATTTAATTTCTGTGCGTTTCTAACTCTGCTGTCACATGTGGCAGATGACATGGCGCCAACAAGGTGACAACATGGCGGCTGCACATGTGGCGTGTATGGAAGACTAGTAGCATAGAGATGCTCCTAGGATTCTCCACCTAAATGAGAGCTTAATGGTGCACTTATGAGTCACATATTGGGTGACATTGATAGAGTGCATTATGGGGGAAACTTAATAGGGTGTAGTAATGGGGAGGGACCATTATGAGGGGCATTGATGCTTGTATGAGGAGAGGCCTATATAAAGAGCCATCTCCCTCACTTGTAACTCATCCATCATTTTTTGTGAGCAATACAACTATAGAGTTTCTCTCATCTTCTTGTGTCTCGTTCTTGTGAGTTGAGTGAGTTTGAGAGCTTGTGAGAATGCTGTCTTGAGCTTGTGAGAAGGTTGTCTAGCATCTCTAACGGAATTGAGAGCTAGGGCCGCACGACCAAGAGTAAGGCCGTGACAGTTGGTATCAGAGCCTGGTTCTGAAAGAAGAACCGGTGTCCTCACTCCCCAAGAAGGAAGATAAGAAAGAGCGAGAGCCTCACCAAAGATGGCTGGATCAGAAGTCCACGACGATGCGGAGAAGCACCGTGGAAGGGATACCGTGAAGAATCCCAAACCAAAGGGTGACAAGTCAAGCACTCGTGATCCTATGACGTCTCTAGAGCGGCGTGTCTCTAGAGTGGAAGTGAAGTTGGCAGAAGACATCACTGCCATCGAGGATTTGGGAGGTAACTTCGCCCAAGTCGAAAGCGATATTCAAGGTTTGAATGCTCGTTTGTCGAGCTTGGAGATCAACCATGATGGGATGCGAGAAGAGCTTGTGGCTCTCATCACCAACACCATCTCCGAAACCGTGAGCACCGCCATTGCTGTCGTGAAAGAGCATGTACAGGCCGAGCTGGTGGGCGTGAAGGAAGAGATTGCAGACCTCAAGAGTGAGGTCACTCTCGTGAAGAGAGCTATGGCTAACGGACCTGCCATCGCACAACCTACCTCAACCATGGAGATTCCTAGACCAAAGAGCTTTCAAGGGTCGAGGAATGCAAGGGAGTTAGAGAACTTCCTATGGAGCTTGGAGCAATACTTCGAAGCTTCGGGTATTCGAGATGAGAATACCAAGGTAAAAACTGCACCTCTCTACTTGAGTGATGTTGCCATGCTGTGGTGGAGAAGGACCCAAGGCGATATCAATAAAGGGACGTGCGTGATGGAGTCATGGGATGACTTCAAGAGGGAGATCAAGAGGCAATTCTACCCAGAGAATGTTGAGTTTGAAGCCCGGTCGAGACTAAGGAGGCTTGCTCACGAAGGAGAAATTCGAGGGTATGTGAAGGAGTTTTCTGAATTGTTGCTCGAGATCCCCGACTACACCGACAAGGAGGCCATGTTCACCTTCCTTGACGACCTGCAACCATGGGCGAAGTTGGAGCTACAACGGCGAGGCGTGCAAAGTCTTGCCGAGGCAATGGCGATTGCCGAGTCCCTAGTCGAGTACCACGAGCCGGAGGAACGTGCGGAGTTCGGAGGCAATGGAGGTGGATGCGACTATGATAGAGACACACGAAGGCGTGGTAGACCGGACCAAGGAGGTAGTCATAAGGTTGAGAAACCACTTACTTGCTTTCTTTGTGATGGTCCACATCGTGTGAGAGATTGCCCAAGAAAGCACAAGTTGTCGGCAATGAAGGCCGTACTGGCAGAGTGCTCGAGCTCGGAAGAGGAAGCAGAGGAGACTCCTAAAGTGGAGCCCCATGTCGCGAAGATGGGTTGCATGAAGAGATTGAGCGTCATCAAGCGGGCGGAAGAGCCTCCCCATCCCGAGCAGCACAGCCAATGCTTCGTAGAGGCGAAGCTCAACCAAAGGAAAACAAAAGCCTTAGTTGATACTGGGGCAAGTTGCAACCTTCTTGACGTAGGTGAAGCACAGAGGCTAGGCATCACGTACGAGAAGAAGCAAAGAGGGTGGATGAAAGCTACCAACTCAAGGGCCACAAGAACTCATGGAGTAGCGCGCCAGGTGCCACTCAAGCTTGGAGGATGGACCGGGGTAGCGGACTTTGAGGTTGTGTCGTTGGATGATTATCAGGTCATCATCGGCATGGAGTTCATGGTGCGGGAGAAAGCTTTCCTGATTCCCTACGCCAATAGATTTTGCATCAATGGTGGAGCAAGGTTGGTTCCCATGAAAAGAGAGCAACTTGCGTCAAGCAAGAGTTGTTTGGCGAGGAAAGGGAAGCAAGAAGTGGCAACGATGGTGGAGGCAGGAGCTCACTCAAAGACTCGTTGGAGAAGGACGAGAAGGAGTGCACCACATCGTGGAGCCATGAAAGACGAGGAGGGGTCATCTTCGACTTGCCATGAGAAGCAAGGAAAGGCCACCATGATCGAGAAGGCGGGACGCTCGGAGACGCGACGGAGAATACCGCGGAGGAGTGCGCAACATCATGGGAGCACAAGGCTCGAGAGCGAGCCAGGGCCATCCTTGGTTTGGAGGAAGGTGCAACAAGACCTTGCAAGCAATGAAGCTAAGGCAAGGAAGGCGTCTGCCAAAGAGCCACGACGAGGGCGTCGTGGATTGAGTGAAGGAGAATGTCACCAACGAGGCTTAAGAGTCGAAAGAGGCTGCTCGAGGTCGAAGGAGGCATTTCGTAGCAAGGACGCGACGAGGGCGTCGCGAGCATAGGTGGGGGAGGATGTCACATGTGGCAGATGACATGGCGCCAACAAGGTGACAACATGGCGGCTGCACATGTGGCGTGTATGGAAGACTAGTAGCATAGAGATGCTCCTAGGATTCTCCACCTAAATGAGATCTTAATGGTGCACTTATGAGTCACATAATGGGTGATATTGATAGAGTGCATTATGGGGGAAACTTAATAGGGTGTAGTAATGGGGAGGGACCATTATGAGGGGCATTGATGCCTTGTATGAGGAGAGGCCTATATAAGGAGCCATCTCCCTCACTTGTAACTCATCCATCATTTTTTGTGAGCAATACAACTATAGAGTTTCTCCCATCTTCTTGTGTCTTGTTCTTGTGAGTTGAGTGAGTTTGAGAGCTTTTGAGAATGGAGAGCTAGGGCCGCACGACCAAGAGTAAGGCCGTGACACTACAAACAGAGAGTGGTAACTTCCTGTTGTTTTCAAAAAATGATAAAATGGTTTTTTCATCAGTCTCCAATTTTTGTTTTCTCATATTTTCCTACGACATAACTTTTTTCTTCTTATTGATGAAGTTCAATATTTGAATGATATTACGCAATTATTTTTTAGTATATTTATTTTAGTCCTTTAATTTTTCTATTTTAACTAAATTTTCTCTTTTTATTAGATATAATTTTCATCTTATATACTATTTAAAACCAAATGAATTAATAAATTATTTCAATTCAAAATGAATTACTATGTGAAATTCATTTTCAGATGAATTCCTATGTTCGAAGTGCTATCCAAATTATGTTTGGAACACATTATAATTTAATTAAATAAAAACCTTCCAAAATGTACCCTAATTTAGTAACTAATTAACATATGATGTGTATCTTGTGTACCGTCGATGTTCACCCATATGATAGGGGGTAAAAAAGCAAATTTATATGCTTATTTAACATTCAAAAGTCCACCGAAATCATATCGTTTATGTCACCCTCTACTAAAATGCGGCCTCAACAGTCGAAACTAGTATCATATATGTATAAAGACGTACTTGATCAATGGATCATCTTTAAGAACAACTAGTTTGACGTCCTAGATCGGAATAAACAGTACAACTTGTTCCCTCAAAACAAGAGAAGAGAATAGTTAGGTTTCCAAGTTTGGAATTTGTAAATTGCTTCGAACTTCTTTGCTTTGACTGCACTAAAGGCATATATTTAACTAGCTACCGTACGTGATTCTGTTGGCCACGTGTATATATATAAATAGATCACCAGCAACTCCAACCCATCCCTTCTCCCTCCAATAAAATTAATATCCACTGAGTAACAGAATATTAACATGGCGGTTTTCCACATGTCCTCCGACGGGCATTTAGTCCGTACATGGCCCGCTTCTTCGTCCGTCGACGTTTACGTGCACGACTACACCGGCGGCGACATATACGACCCCGACCTTATCCGAAACAAGGATATCAACCGCTGGCGCGGCAGCAGTGGGATAAAAATCGGGCCCTCCGCTGACGCACAATTCAAAGCTCTTGAGGTTCACGGCGTCGTAATCGAGGGCAACCAATTGACCCAACTGTGGAACGACCTGACACTCACTGCGCCGGACGGCCAAAAGTTCTGTCTCGTGGCTAATAGGAGCGGACTCTGTTACCTCTTCGTCAACAGCCCGTCGGTAATGCGGCTGCGGATCAACGACTACTTCGGGTGGGCCAAGTACGGCGTCAAACCTCCAATCAGGACGTCGACGATCTGGACCAAGTGCGACTTGAGCAGTGGGGCCACGTTGGTGGATGTAGGGCAGTTGTTGAAGAACAAGGAGAAGGAGATGGACGAGATGGTGAAGGAGAAGAGCAAGGAGCTGGACGCGAAGGAGAAGGAAGTGTCTGTCATGAGGAAGCTGGTGGAGAGGAACAAGGAAGTGGAATCTCTGTGGGAGAGATCCGTGGAAGAAAAGGACAACCAGCTGGCTATGCTAATGGAGAGGAACGAGGAAGTGGAATCTCTGTGGGAGAAGTCCATGCAAGACAAGGACAGGCAGTTGGCCATGTGGGAGAAATCCGTGCAAGACAAGGACAAGCAGTTGGTGAAGCTCATGGATGCCATGCAAGCCTTGATTTACGAGGTTTAAGATCATGATCACATTAATGTGGTTGCATAAGTACTGTTCTGTGTGGTTATTTATGGTATTATCTTCGTCTTTTCCCGTCACAGAGTGTTGCTTGGAACGTAATGTTTGGTTTGTTTCAATAAAGAGTGGACGGTCAAGCGGCCACGAGATATCATCCATGTGTATAAATAATTACAAATTAATACCTGAATCGATCTTAATTTTACTATATGTCATATCTTGGGTCTCTTTCTCCAGGAGTTGGTGTTTCGGTTAATTGGCCATCAATTAAAAGGTCATCGTGTTGGAAGTCAGATTAGTCACATAATTGGTCATCTAGTAAGGATTGGTGTAAAATCCTCATAGAAAATTATATATGTAACTGGTAGCAAAATAATATCAATGGCCACCAATTTCCCTATTGGCAAGCAATTCATTTTTGTCACAAAATCAATTGAATGTGAACAATAAATTACTTGGTCACCAAAACTACTAGAGCATCAACATCATTCACTTTTTACAACTGTAAAGTGACATTGAATGCTTATTTGGCCTTGCAATTGCAAGTGAATTGCATTGATACGGACACAATGAAAGTAAAATGTGATGGATTGCATAACTTCTTTTTTTTTTTTAGGAAAAGGATTGCAGAACTATTTAGTTGGCAATGACAGCAAAAACAACAAATGCAATTGAGTTTGCAATTGCATTGATGTGGATACTATTAAGCACAATCGCTTTAATCATTTTTAAGTTACCACAACTGTTGGTTATTTATCTCTTTTAACTTAACTTACTTTTCTTGAAGGTTCAAAACAAACAACATTACGGAGGTAAATCTTGGATATGGTTAGTAAATATTTTGTTTAATACACATATATGTACCCGTACGTATTTTATCCGTTTAAAACTTTCGTATCCGTATTATTGTCAAGCCGTTTCATATTTTTCGTGCATTTGAAGGCTCCCGTACTAAACACGTATAAAACCTATATAACATGTTTAATATTCGTATTTAATGAATTAAATTGTTAGCTTTACTATTATTTATTTATAACACATTATACTTTCCAACACATAATACTTTTCCCGCAACATCAAATTAAATGTTTTTTTTGATGAATGATGAGAATATTATAAGAAACTAACCAATTAAATGTTGGAATAAACAGAAAGGGAGATGAAAAGAATGGAATAAGTGGGACTCATTTTGTCTGCCGATTTTAATGAAATGGCAGTCACGAAGAGACAGATACATTGCTTCCGTCTGCTAAAGCATCACTTAATGCTAACTATATATATATAGGGTGGGTGCCATCGGGTTTGCTAATCCACAACATCATTATTAGCAAAAGCCTCTATCCATCCGACCTATGCTCGTTTGATCTGTTCCAACAGCTAGCAGAATGTCGACAGTGTTCAGCCTGACGTCCGACAATGAATTCATCTCGCTGATTGATGACACACGCGTTGAAGTGCGGCGGTACAAAGGCGACGTGAATAATTTCAACACTATCCGGAGAACAGACTACGCCTCTGATAATCATTGGGGCATCCCGGCAGTTGAAGTTGGTCCGGGAGAAGGATACGAGGCTCTCGAGGTCTTTGGCACCGCTATTGAGGGAGAGAATTTCAAACAGCTAGTGAAGGAGCTCAAGGCAGTCGAAGACGGCGAAAAGATCCATTTTTTTGTGAATCGTTTGGGGCTCTGTATGATTAGTAGAATCAATCATCCAACTATTAAGGCCATGCGGATCAACGATTACTTTGGTTGGTCCAAGTACGGCGTGAAGTTGCCTCGAGACGTAACCAAGTTCACCGTGTGGAGCAGAGCGGACATGCACAGTGGAGAAACGTTGGTTGATTCCCGAGGCATGGGCAGAGCTAGCGAGGAAGCTGAAAAAGGAGCCAGAGGAGAAGGAAATGGAACTGGCGGCATGCAAGAAGGAATTGGAGGAGAAGGGCATGGAGCTGGCGGCATGCAACAAGGAGCTGGAGTGGAAGCCAAGGAGAAGGAGGTGGAGATGCTGAACAGTCAACTCCTTGCTTTCAAGGCTCGTCACGAGGACGTGGAATGAGTGAAACCTCTTTCAATTTCTAGCGCTAGCGTTTTCCTTCATTCTTATGTAATGCATCTCTCTTTCCCGTTTTCATTAACGATGATATATGGGTTAAGGTTCCAAAACTTCCAATAGCTTTTTTTTACCTCTACGTACTATCATAATCAAACGAAAAATCTTGTCAAATAATTCGATAAAACTAGTGATATACGTACGATTCATTTTCCGTAATTACAGCATAACGAAACAGTCGACAACCTCAAGGATTCAAGGGGACTGGAAGCCTCCATGATATTATAAATCAACCTATCTATCCGTATTCATGTATATATATAGGAGAAATCCATGCATGGGTACGTGGACCCAGCTTTCTTTCGTTTGCATAGCTACTTGTTTCGCATTAAACAAAAGAATGGGATTACGAAGAGGCCTATATTGGTCTTTGTTAGAATATGACTTGAATTTGATTTGGGTTTGTTTTGTGTTTTGAGCCTATTCTGGTTGGGTTTGTGTTTGGGATTTGTTTTGATCTTTTCCTTGTATGTTTGGGAAAAGGTGTTTGATTTTCTGTTTAGTATTAGGAGAAAAGTTCTATAAATACTCTTCATCAGCCTAGTCTGTAGTAAGGTCATTCAGGTTAGTTTGTTTGGTTTGTCCGTTTGGCATTTGGTTTGTAACTTGTACTCTTCTCAAAATCAGTGAAATTTGTTCTCCCTTGCCCGTGGATTAGCTAGCATACATTGTGTTAGTGAACCACGTTAAATTTGTGTTCGTTCGTATTGGTTTGGATTATCGATTGCACGCTTCTGTTCTGACAGTCTTCCCCAGTGGCCTCGCACTTCGTTTGCGCCATTGACTACAGATTGGAATTACCAAAGAATCGATATATGCATAGGGACTTGTCGTTTTGACGAAGAGGAGACGAATGGGATGACGACGAAAGAGACATAGCATGATTTTACGTCTCCATTTAGTCTGCCCATTTAATGAAATTACAATTACAAGAGGACAGATACGATGCTTCGTCTATATGGAGATTCACATTATTGTACATGCTAATTGCTAACAATTATATGAGCTATGACATCAGTGTATTGTCATTTTTGCACCTCTTTCCATCAGTATTGCAATAATCCGTGTCTGGAAAAAGAGAGTCGCTAAATGTCGCCCTTAAAATTGTTAAATGTCGCCCTAAAAAACATCAAAGTTACAAATTTAACCTTTTAGCTACTTTACTCTTCCTTTAGCAAACAAACACCTCTTAGTAAAGAAAATAAAACATTATTCAAAAGAGAGAATCCATCATCGTCATTCCGGAGTTGGAATCGTCGATATGATGTCTGGATCATGACTAGAGACTCTGAATCGGTAAAGTTCACTCAAAAAATTAAAAAAAAAAAAAAAGGGAACCGTAGCTCCTCTGCTGTTCCACCATGGGCCAACCGCAACTCACTTGCGGTTCCCTTGTACGGTTGATGTGGTATTTGGATTATCTCATAATAACCCTTTGATATATTAATAATTAATGGTTGAAATAAGTATTCGGAAAGAAGCAAAAATGAGATTACGAAGAGACATGCATGCATGGCTCCTCGTTGCCCATCACCCTCTTGTTTAATTTGCTTGGAAAGGAAAATGTATCCATAAAGACAAATTCGAAGAAATGGAAAAGATGAGAATAAACGGTGAATCAGTTGATTCAGTTCCCTCTAAACAAGAGAAGAGAATAATTAGTTTTCCAAGTTTGGAATTTGTAGAATGATTAGAAGTAGAACTTCTTTGCTTTGACTCCACTACAGGTATATTGCCATAGCTACTGTGATTCCATCGGCAGGCTTGCTTATAATTAAGCACATCTCCAACTCCAACCCCACAAATTTCATGCGTACGATTCCACCGACAACAAAAATGGCTGTTTTCCACATGTCATCGGACGGGTATTTCGTCCGTACATGGCCCGCTTCTTCGTCCGCCGACGTTTACGTGCACGACTACACCGGCGACATATACGACCCCGACCTTATCCGATACAAGGACAGCGGCCGCTGGCGCGGCGGCCGGATAAAAATCGGGCCCTCCGGTGACGCACAATTCAGAGCGCTCGAGGTTCACGGGGTCGTAATCGAGGGCAACCAATTGACCCAGCTGTTCAACGACCTGAGCCTCACTTCATCGGACGGCGGCCAGAAGTTCTGTCTCGTGGCTAATAGGAACGGACTCTGTTTCCTCTACGTCAACAGCCCGTCGGTAATGCGGCTGCGGGTCAACGACTACTTCGGGTGGGCCAAGTACGGCGTCAAACCTCCAATCAGCACGTCGACGATCTGGAACAAGTGCGACTTGAGCAACGGGGACACGTTGGTGGATATAGTCCAACTGTTGAAGAACAAGGAGAAGGAGATGCAGGTAATGAAATTTTAGGTACCGAAATGTAGATTATAAAAATTATAAGTACCAAACGATAATTTGACGATGGATGCAGGAGATGGTGAAGGAGAAGATCAAGCAGCTGGACGAGAAGGAGAAGGAAGTGTCTGTTATGAGGAAGCTGGTGGAGAGGAACAAGGAAGTGGAATCTCTGTGGCAGAAATCCATGCAAGAGAAGGAAAAGCAGTTGGCCATGTGGGAGAAATCCGTGCAAGACAAGGATAAGCAGCTGGCTGTGTTAATGGAGAGAAACAAAGAAGTGGAATCCATGTTGGAGAGTCATCGCAAGAGAAGGAAAAGCAGTTGGATAAGCTCATGGATGCCATGCAAGCCTTGATTTACGAGGGTTAATTATTCAAATTATCACATTAATTATGAGCAATGTGTATACATATATCTATCTCTTGGGAAGGGAATAGAGCCGCAGACTGGCTCTCGAAACACAGTCTCGTATATCCCTACGGTATGCATGAACTTGCGGAACCTCCGGTCGGCTTAGTGTCTATCTTACAAGATGATATGATAGGAACCACTATGGAGAGACGCATTGTAGCTCCTACCTCTCTCTCTCTGTAATCCCAGCTGTAACTTCTTCCTTCTCGGCCTCGGCCTCCTTCCAATGCTAAAAAAAAAAATCTATCTCTTGGGAGTTGGGGTTTCGATTAATTGGCTATCAATTGGAATGTCATCGTGTTGGAAGTCGCATTAGTCCAATTCATCTAAACGTACAACCGCCTTCTTATTAATTAGTTGCAAATCCTATTATCGTCCTGAACGGAAAAAATCGTCTTGCAGAAGCTAAATCGATAGGTGAGTTTAATAATATGAAATTATTGAACCACAATTTAAGCACAAAACACTATAAAACTGATTTTTTCGATTTAATAATTACCGGGTACGATTTTACTACATTACAAGCAAAACGCTTGTAAGAAGCATAACTAATTAAGCAACAAAGCGCTTGAAATAAAGCTATTATTAAAAAAATCAAAGAATAGCGAGACTAATCAACTACATTATTATGCTAATTTGAGTGTTACTAATGCCCTTTGTTCTTCTCAAAGAGTGTATCGTACAAGTCAACGAAATGCTATTTAGTAGTATACAAACTAAAGTTTAATAGATAGCATATTAATAAAATATCATAGTAAAATTAATATTAAAATGAAATAATATATTCAACCCATATACTGCATCAATACTGATAAAAAATAGAAAAATTTACAGACACGCGGGTTGATCATATTGTAGCAATCAAGACAGAGAGAATTTTCTCATATATTATGTATACCATATCGATCTAACTTATGCTAGATGATAAGACCGCAGTTGGTATGCTATCGCAAATAAACATATTTCGCATGGTCGACTTCTTTATAAGAAGTAATATTTCACCCACTTCATTTTTACCAATAATTGTAGTAATAATATATGAAAACATCATTTTTATGACACAACTATTAAACCATCTTTATGTCATCAGTATTCCTCATCGTGACATAACCAAAACACATGTACCATAATTATTAGGACACGTCTCACTAGTTGACTTGAAACTTTACATAAAAAAGACTACAGGTTAGGTACTAGCTTCACACTGATCATCATCAAAGTATAAAAATTGCAAAAAAATTAAAAATATATCAGATGATAACAAGCTAAGTTTAATAACATAAAACACTTCCCAGGCAATCTTTCAATGATATGTTACACTGTGACATGTTAGGTAGTGATTAAAAAAATTCACATCCCCGTTCGTGATCATTGTTCACCACATTATTTAATTACCCCTATGTTCATTTTCACACCAAAACCCCAAGGAATTCATGACACCTATTATGGGTTTTCCCATTTGCTTTGTCAGCTGAGACGGTGATGGCTCAAAACGCTATAAAAAAAGCCACTCCATCTGCTTTGTTCAGGATCATCAACTCAAACAAGCGAGAGCGTGAGACACAATTTATAGAGGAGAAACTCAGACAGTTGACCTTCACTACTTGTGTGTTGATCTTTCTACACTTGTGAGTCTTCTTCTTCTTCTTCTTCTTCTTGATGGCAGCGTTCAGTCTGACGTCCGACAAGCAGTTCATCGTCGCATCGTACGCAGAAAACGATCCGGATTTCTACGTGTACGAGTACAAGGGCGATCCGAATGCTTTAGAAGCCACCCGATGTTGTGAAGGTTGGGAGACTGACGGCGTTAGAGTGGGGCCGTCAGAATATGCAGATTTCACGGCGCTAGAGTTGTTCGGCGTCACGATCCAAGGGACGTCGACACAGTGGAGGGAGCTGACGAAGGACTTGAAGCTCGAAGGATTCGACGGCCAGGCTTTTCGCCTGGTCGTGAACCGGCTCGGCCAGTGCTTCGTCGACAAGGTCAACGCTCCTTCCGTCAGGCTTCTGAGGCTGAACGACTGCTTTGGCTGGTCCAAGTACGGAGTGAAGCTGCCGAAAAGCAGTGTCGTCGGTTTCAGTTATCCAAACGTGTGGAACAGATGCGACATTTACAGTGGTGAAACTGTGGTGGATGTTCGAGGAATCGTGCTCGAGGCCGAGGAAGCGAAGGCTGAGGTTCGGGTTCTGAGGAAGAGTCTGGAGGAGAAGCAGAAGGAGGTCGAGAACGCGAAGCTGGAGCTGGAGCTGTGTAAGAGGGAACTGGAGTGCACAAAGGGAGTGGTGATGATGAAAAGGAGCAAGGAAACAACGAGGATTTGGAGTGCTGCGGAAAGAAAATGGTGGAAAGCGTGTAGAGTTTGAATTGTTGTTACTGAATAAGTTAGCGGAAGTTATCGAAGGTTATCCTCGCGAGTCCTTATTAATCGATTATCTAGGCAAAGAATATAAATTAAGTAATGGGTTTTTTTTTTGTTTTAATGATTTTTCCTTATGTGTGTTGAACAATTTTGTTTTTATGTCTTTATGAACAAATAATATAAGGTATTGCGACTTCTTGTCTAATAAATAAGTCCGATGTGTGGGGTTGGTTCATAAATAAATATGAAAGAAGCAATGGCAATAGTTGTTATTAATAGTTTACTCTTTCTTTGGGTCGGAAGGCAAAGATGGAAGTAGTGAGGTGCGGTGATCAACTGATCATGAAGGGGGTTTTATTCTTGCCTGCCGGAAGTGGTGTCCATCACCGGTCGGAGGAAGATCGACTTTGAAGAATATGGGGGAGATGAGAGGAGGGAGAGTAACACATTTCCAATGTGTTAGATTACTGTCTTTTGCCATCTTTTGAAACATTTGGTTAGAGCGAAACTTCAGAACTTTCGGAGATAAGAGATGTACATGGGACAGGATAATGCACAAAGTGGTGAACAATTGCATCAATTGGAGTCTTGCCAAGGCTCTTCTAGATCGACAAGAAGTACAGACACTCAATCGATTTTTGCTTGGTAGAGCAACCAACCCTTTTCATCCTCCATGATCATCCATCTTACTGTGTCTCACATCTCAACCTAAATCTTGTCTACATCTTTGTTGAAATTCTCTTTCAAGCAGGTTGATGTAATAGGTACTTCGTATTATGTTGCAATAACTGTGAAACAACGGTAACAACTCGTAATTTGCGAGCTATCTTATTTTATTAATACACAAATCATTCATAACAAAAACAACCCAAAAAGTAACAAGTAACACATGCATAATTGCAATATTCATCGTACCAAATATCTTACCAACTTCATACCAACAAGTAACAAGTAACACATGCATAATTGCAAAGAATAGTTGAAATGGATCTCTTTGATTTTTTTTTGTATTAAACAAATATTATTTTCTGATTTCTTAATTATAAAATGATAAAAATGAAAGAAATTATGTTTAAAAAAAATACAAAATCATTCTCCTTGAATTATGTTTCTAGCCAGCTTCAATTGATCGGTACCTTCAAACGATTACTTATAGTAACAACCCCAACAAGTAACAAGTAACACATGCATAATTGCAATAATCATCATTATTTATCGGTAAAGCCACGACTTACAAAGAATTGTTGAAATGGATCTCGTTGAAATTTTTTGTATTAAAAATTGTTATTTTCTGAATTTTTAACAATAAAATGATATAAAAAAAAGAAAGAAATTATATTTAAAATTATTAAAAAAATCTTCTTTTTTTTTTTTTTTTTGAAGCTCCAACCCGAAACTTGTAATTTTTAGGTTATAGAAAAATATTTTACAGCTGTACCAAAAGTCTACCCCTTATATAGATGTATTAGGCTGGACTGGACTTCAACTTTGGATCTAATTTTTGTTTTTATATATATTCTGACTCCGTCATCCCAACCAAACCAATTATTCATTGGGGGAAAGAGCTGAATAAATATATAATGACCAACTCCTATCTTCCAACTTGGTTCTCAAAGTCCTTGGTCAATTGCCCCCCAAATTAAATTACGCTTAATAACAGACAGCACCTACCTTGACTTGACTTGTATATAGGGCTGGCTATTTGGTCCAGACTGTTTGGTTTTACCCGAAATCGTACCGTATAACCCGGACCGGGATCGGGACCGGACTGGGACCGGATAACAAACAATCCATTCTCATATTTGGACTTAGATTTGAGGTAAAAACCCAAATAAAGACCGGATAAGAGAGCCCCAACACCTAAAATCGAGATCAAATTAGGACCGGACCGGGTTAAGACCGGACTGGATCAAGACCGGATTGTATCCAATCCAATCTTTGGTCCTTATATTCCTGAAAAGACCGAACAGGGACCGGATCAATTTAGTCCAATTTAACCGGACCGGACCGTATAGCCACCCCTACTTGTATATATATGAACTTGACCCTAGCTATATATCATTCTCTTGCACCTCCACCAGTACTTACTCCCCTTCGATCTCCTTGTTCTTGCAAAACATAACAAAGAAATATTAATGACTGCTTACATTCTGAATTCTGACAAAGATTTCGTTTTTGCCTATGCACATCCTCCTGATCAAGTGAGTGTGTGGGAGCACGTGGCATGTGATGTGAGTAGTCCTCAGTTTGTCCTAACTACAGACGCCGTGAACCAGTGGCGCAAGCAAGCTTCCATTAGCCCTAGTACTGCTGGCTCGCAGCACTACAACGCCCTGCAAGTGTTCGGCGTCTCGATCAAGGGAGGGCAGCTGGTCGAGCTGGCTCGCGAGCTGAAGCGGGAAAACAAGTACGAAATGGGTGTGAATCGTCTCGGGCTCTGCGTGATCACACAAATCGGCGGCTCGCTCATCAAGCACATACGGATCCACGATTACTTCGGTTGGTCCAAGTACGGCGTCCAAGTTCCTCGACAAGACGTAATGAGGGAGTCCGCGATGTGGAACAGCCTCGACATGCACAGCGGAGAAATCATGGTGGACGTTCGAGGGATCGTCAGAGCTGCTGGGGAAGCCAAGGAGGAGATGAGCAACGAGCTGACGATTTGCAGGAAGGAATTGGATTCGATGAAGAAGGAGAAGGAGTCCAGCGGAGATGATGTGGAAGCTGGCAATAAGGAGCTGCGGCGGAGCCTGGAGGAGATGGAGATGGAGCTGGCGTCGTGCAGGAAGGAGGTGGAATGGAACGTGAAGAACGAGGCGCTGTGGAGCAAGATATTGGGCGAGAAGAACGACCAGCTCAAGGTGCTGGAAAGTCAACGCCTTGCTGCAGAGGCTGCCCTACGTAAGGCCCTTGGCCGTGGTTGAAAACAAAGTGATTAACATGACACAGTGTAATATATCATTAAAAGATTGCCAGCTGGGAAGTGTTTTTTTTATGTTGTTAAACTTAGCTTCTTATCATCTGATGTTCTGTTGTTGCAAGTTTCTACTTTGATGATGATCAGTGTGTTGAAGTTACTACCTAACTTGTTGTAGTACGTCTTTTTATATATATATAGTTCCTAGTCAACTACTGATACGTGACCTAATAATCATGGTACATGTGTTTTGGTTATGTCACGCTGATAAATACTGATGACATATGGATGTGGTTATGATTGTGTCATAAGAATGATGTTTTTATATATTAAGGAACTCTGCAGGTTGGGAAGTCAATTCGAATTTCATACTTCCTTCAGTTGAGTTCATCAACAACTTAACTACGCTGAATCCTGCTCTCATATATGTATATTCTCATTGTATAATTCTTTACTTCTGAAAACCCTATTTAGCCTTTACCTTTTACCTAATTCCATAATCCATACCATAGAGGCGTAGACATTCTCTTGGAATTCATTTCCTCCCTAACTACAACAAGAATCCGCATAAAGTATTAGAATAACCCAAATTTACTCGATGCATATGCTTACCTTCAAACTATGAACTTTCTTCATCTCCATCTTATATATTCTTACTTATGGATCCCACAAAGAATCTAATCTATCACATCAATGATACACATTAAACCCCTTCACATGCCATGTTTTACAACGTAAAAACCCTCCTCCTTCTTCTTCTTCCAATAACCTCAACAAAAAATGGCAGCATTTAGCTTGACCTCCGACAGGCAATTCGTCGCCGGCTTGAAAGACGATCCAAACCTCTACGTGTACGAGTATCTCGGCGACCTCAACGAATCCACCATCATCCGTCCCGGCCAGCCATGGTCCAGCGATGGAGTCATAATCGGCCCTTCTCAGCAAACCAACTTCAAGGCCCTAGAAGTGTTCGGCGTCATCATCAGCGACAAACTCTTCATGGAGCTCGTGAAGGACTTGAACCTCAAAGGATACAACGGCCAGACCTTTCGCCTCGTGGTGAATCGTCGAGGCTGTTGCCTGCTCGACAGGGTGAACGATCCGTCGTCGTTCGCGATGCTCAGGATCAACGACTGCTTCGGCTGGTCCAAATACGGCGTGAAACTGCCCAAGTTCACGAGCGCAGACGTGTGGAACAGGTAGTTGTCAGCGAACTAACCACTTGATTCTAATAACTCGAGTTGTTATTAAAGGGTATGTTAAGCCTTAATCTCTTAAAAATCACGAGGTTTTAGTTTGCACAGGTTGGATATACCATCCTTGTTCTAAACAAATGGCAATAAATAAGGGTCGTCATGAGTATTCGAAATCATGACCTTTCGGATTTATACTCTCATACCATGTAGCTAGCTATAGGGGTGGCTATATGGTCTGGTCCGGTTAAACTGGTCCGAATTGATTCGATCACGTACGATCATTTCAGTAATATGAGGACCAAAGACGAAATTGGATACAGTACGGTCTTGATTCGGTCCGGTCCTAATTCGGTCTTGATTTTAGATTGAGCTTGCGGGGATTTGAATGGCCTGAGGCCTATAAGGGTGAGGAGTTGGTTAGGTTTTGGGTGTTGCCCTCTTTTATCCGGTTTTTGGTCCGGCTCCAAACGGTTTTTTACCTCAAATCTAACTCCAAAAACGGGATTAGATTGTTTGCTATCCTATCTCGGTCCGGGTTATACGGTCTGGTTTCAGGTAAAAACAAAAAACCCGAACCAAATAGTCAGTCACCCCTAATGTCAGCGAACTTATACCCACTTAGTCCCAATAACTCGAGTTGTTGGAAAAGAATTTGTTAAGCGTTTTAATCTCTTACAGGTGCGACATGTACAATGGAGCGACCGTGGTGGACGTTCGAGGGATCATGGTCGCGACGGAGAAGGAGAAGGACGTGAAAGTGGAGCTGGCGATGTGCAGGAAGGAGCTGGAGTGCACGAAAGAGATGGTGAGGAAGAGTGGAGAGGCCGAATCTCTGTTGAATCGGTTCGTGGAAGAGAAGGAGAAGGAGGTGGAGAGAGTGGTGAAGATTCAATCGGCGAGGCACGAGAAGGAGTTGGAGCTGACGAAGGAAGCGGTGAAGAGAGGGGAGGAGATCGAGTTGTTGCTGAGGAAGTCGGTGGAAGAGAAGGAGAAGGAAGTGGAGAAGATGAGCAATCTGCTTGCTGCCGAGAGGAAGCAAGTGGTCAGCCTTAAGGCTGTCATTTGCACCTTCGTTGATGGCCACGAGTAGTAATTACCTATATATATAATTAGCTTGTTGATTGTTGTCAATAAATGTAGTTTCGTGTCTAGAGACACAATACTCGTGGTCGTATTAGCGTACTAAATAATGAAAATGTATAATAATTAATTACGGTGCCGACTCGTATTCTATTATGTTCTTTATCGTAGACATTATTTGTAATGCCGATCTCATTAATATTGTCTAACGCTAACAGAGTAATCTCTATTATATATCGTGGGCAGGGATCATGCCAACAAATGTCCCTTCGGAGTATTGGTTTAGTGGATAGAGACCTATTAGATGACTTACTCAATCTAAATCGTTGCTGGAATAATGGTCCCGCGATAACTCGAGCTTTTTTGGTGTATGGTTCTAATTACATATGGACCATTTCAAAACATGAGTGCCAAAAGACTCACAATGGCTCGATAACAACAATTGTACGTGACCTAAGTTTCAGAACAAGAAAGAACGAAATCTGTATATCAACAAATAAAGCAAACCTGAAGCCTGCCGACCATTATGACACCTAATATGGGCTTTGTCCCATCTAGTTTGTGAGATGAGATGGCGCTACCTTCTCTGGATATTCTTCCGAGGACTATTGGGCCCCTCGTGAGCGTCTCCAGAAGAATTGGACTCCAGGCCCACCGGGGTCTGTAAAGCCCAGGCCTTGTATGACGGCCTGGTCCTCTAAAGGTTTCCCGACCGTGATTTCTTAACAATACAACAATAAACTCACCATCTAACTCCGGCGGCGGCGGCGGCATGTCGCTGCAACAGGGAAAGGGACGGCCGGTAAAAGGTAACTAAGTCACCAACAGTGTGCCAAAAGTGATGAGGCAAGATTCATTGCATCATTCGAACCGGGAAAAAAGGGAACACGAACAAAATCACGAGGGTAGAATTTTGTTGCTATTTGGATGAATTTGGACGTCTAAGGGTTTCGAAAGTCTTCGTTTAATTTCCTAATTTCTTTCTTCTTCTTCTTCTTCTTCTGATGACGTTCAACAAAGCGGCTGCACACATGGGAGAGAAAGAGACCGTTGAATATTCATTCTGGACTTGGAAAACCAACAAGACTTGGAGCCATGGCGGGCGGGGCGGGCGGGCGCCGAAACTGAAGAGAAAGCTCAGTATTTCTTGGACTTCAAACTTTTTTTTTCTATTGGGAAAGTCGGATGTGAGCTACCCGTTTCATATGTTATACACTTGATTATATAAGGTATTGGTATTAGAGTAAAATCGATTTTCTTAGAAATCCTACGGTATATATGGAATGGATAAGCACGAATTAAACAGACGTTCGTATAACCCCAAGTGATTAGTCTAGTGGTATATATGGAAATAATAATATTCACACATCATATATTTAAATGCCAGGACCAATAATAATCATCTTTATAAAGAAAAAAGTGAATGTCCATGTGATTAAATAGGGCCTTAAGTTATTACTTTCACCGTCAATTGAATTTGATTAAGTTGACATCACGACCAGCCATTTGAGAGAGACAATTCGACAAGGATAGATATAGTGACTAGAATGTTAATTAGTTCAAAATTTTGTACTATTTTAAACTAAACAAAAATGGATGACCAATTTCAGAAAAAACCAAAATTTGGTGACCATATGGTATGATGACCATGATGGGATGATCATCTTCTTCATCATGATGGTGGATGCATGCATCATGACTTTAATATTTTTAAAAAAAAATCTGAGTAGTCATGGCTGAGTCAGAGAGGTGGGAAACCTTGTTCTGTGAATTGTGATACATGACTCACCTTCCTCTCTTGCTTCACAAGAAATAAAGCACATCCATACACTAGACACAAATTTTATCCTCTTAACCAAAAAGAAGAAGAAAAAAAGTATACAAAATTATCGGATTTTGTCAGCGCGCATTGACAGGGGTAATCGTCAGTGTGAACTAAAAAAATAAAAAATTTCATGTATATCGTCTGATGATATGATCTATAGATTGTCAACGCGTTGTATAATCCGACAATATCAGGTCGCGACTATTATGTTTATTTTTTATCGATACATCTATCAGTCGAGGCTGGAAGTTTTGTAAAAAAATTTCATTTTTCGTAATTGAATCGATCTCGTTGTTTTCTTGCATATGTATTTGTGATTCCGGAGATCGATAGATGGATCCATGATTTGGTTGGTACTAGATGATGGTATGATATGAGATACAAAGGATAAGTTCCAACATCCAATATGATCGGCTTTAACTTTATAATTCAGCATACAAAGCACATAGATGCATAAATTTGGTAAGAGCGAGGAATCTTGCATCTCAAGTGGAATCTCCACAAAAGTGTACACAATCAAAATCTGTTGATTCCTGAAACCCTCCTTTTGCATAATTGTTATTCTAATTACACACTTCCCCACTAGTTTAAGTTATCCTCTAGTGCCTGCAGGTCCAATCCAATGAAACCTAATTGCTGAACTGATCGATTGGATTAATATAAAAAGAAGTTGTCTATGATGCGAGAGATCAACGTGTATTAAGATTTATTATTGTTATTCTTTTATTTAACAAGAAATGCGAATTGTTCTTGACATGGTACTAAAAAGTTTGGTAATCTGGAGAGTCTCGCGTACTCGAGTCCCGAAGACATCGAATATTAAAAAAGCTTATCTAAGCTAAGCTAAGCTAGCCTTCTGTAAGGTTAAACTTCCCCATCTTCGTTTCTGTTTTGGAAAGGGTGGGAGTACTGGAGTAGAGAGGCAAATTATTCTTTATTAGCATAATATGGCGGTTGAAAACTATGTTCAGTTCTATAGCAGCAAAAGAGTCGTCATCCTTATCATAACCTACAGCTAATAATACACCAAATTTGAAGGTATTTGGTTGGATAGAGTATTGTGTGGTCGTTCTGAATTCTGAGATGTTGTTGTCATATCAAAGTCAAATAGTTGTTCATTGCCAAAAAAATATAGAAGGAAATGAAAAGAGAAATAAAGTCAAATGGTTGTTTGGATTAGATATAATGGTATAACCATCCATAGTTATAGTATACAACAATGTCATTAGGCGGTTATTGCTTATTAGCCTCTAATGATACAATAATGTCACTAATTAGATGGTTGCTAAATACGTTTCATTGGTTGGAGTATAACTAGCTCTTCATTGGACTTTCTTTTCTTGGAGTGATATTTGTGCATGGAAATATATAACACATTAAAGCAAAAACAAACCTAAAATCATATTTCGACCCGAGGTTTATTATGAAAATGAAGATAGCTCTAGACAAGACAAAGAAAAGACTTTGTACATCACTCTCTGCGGAGTCCAGTGGTACGTACTATCGGGGATCACACTGAGCTATAAATCAATATCTGGAGTAATTGATCATTTGAAGACAATCTCGAAGAGTAGGACGATCACGTTCCAATTACATCCGACCTTGATCCACGAGCAAGTCGTGTCGAAACAACACTTCTGAATCGCCTTCGAGAGAATCATATATTGTAGGCAATAATTAGAGATAATTGATCTTCTTTGGGTCTCTCCCACTATGATCTTCTTCATGATTGTTGATTTAATAACGTTTTTACACACATTTTAATTAGGTAAAGGATCAATTATTGCGCACAAAAATAAGATTGAGATTTAGTCAAGGATTATATGTGGTATGCACTAATTCTCGAAAGAAATTGTCATTATAGATGAAGACGAACATAAAAACACACTAAGCTAGCTTAGTGTAGTTAGGTGGCAAATTTGGATCAAGTGTGACCTCATTGTTATATTCCCTCAAATTAATTATGTAATTTCAACTTAATTTATTATTTCTTAGCTGCTAGTTGTCATGAACCAGTTGGTCCCAATAACTCGAGTTGTTGGGAGAAGGTTTGCGGGATCTTATACCACTCTCTAACACGCCCCTCAAACGAAAGTCAACTCACGGACTTGAAATTTGCACAGGCCCACCATACCTTGTGCTTTAATAAACTGTTAATATTGGGGGTCGTGGAGATTCAAACACATGACTTTTCCGTTATAGGCTCTGATACCATGTCATGAACCAGTTGATCCCAATAACTCGAGTTGTTGGGAGAAGGTTATCATGGATCTTATACCACTCTCTAACACTAGTCACATCTGTCTATGGCGTGGACTCCAATTCAATTTTTTTTTCTTTTGACAAAGACTCCAATTCATTCAAATATATAGTTTTGTATATGTTACCTCGAGAAAGAATCCCAGGTCGATATATTTAACCTCATAAAAATATAAAACGTATATCCACAGATATATGAGAGAAAATATATATAGTAATTGGTAGTAAGTAGTCCACAAAATATGAGAGAAATGTGAATCAATCTGGTTGATTTAATTTTCAAATGTTTTTCTTATACTAATAGTAGAAATGAATCGCGTGAGAATCGAGTTCACATGGTACTGAAAAGAAGTTCAGATTGATTGAGATAATCTTGCATGGTATCGGTAATGTCTTTATTACCCCCTAGTATCGGGTCTAGAATGATAATGTCTTTTATCATCTTACTGCTTGAACGTGCTTTTACGTCTCTAAAACTAGACCGAACATTCCAACCTTCACGAGTCGGAAATGGTACAAACTAGTCAATAATTAACCATGAAAATTCTATCTAATCGTGATCCCATGCGTCATACCTCATACGCACACCTAAGCTAGCTAATGCCTCGACTTAACTAATTAATATTGGAGCACCAAGTGGCAAGAAGGCTTAATGGTCAACATTTTCTTTGTACTCATATGTATTAGAAGCTTCCAATATCAATGAATAGGCAGATAAGAAAGAAAAATGAGAAGAAGAAAGTTGATCATCCATTTGTCCACCAGAAGAATGTGTGCGTTCAATTATATGCAACTTTCCTCGTTAACCAGTTAACAATATTATCATATGCATGGATTAGAATTCATGCAGGAAAAGGAAATGAATAGTAATCCTGATGTACGTAGTCGATCTCACCTTTTACTAGGGTAAAATCGGGCATATGGTCGAGAGTATCATGATCATGCCATATTTGTGAATCAAATTGAATGAAATGTCATACGCACATAAACGATATGATATTCTTAGTCTCATGTACAACTTTCCCGTTTATCAAATTAACTCGTTCCATGTCGTTTGCATGGATTAGTATCTAGGAATAGTAATACATGAGTTATACATGAAGGCAGTCGATCTCAAACATTTTTTGTAGGGTAAAGTTGGCATGATCGAGAGTTTCATCATGTTGCATTCGTGAATCGAATTAAGTGGACAAGCAACCGTACGTATGAAAATTACATGATATTTTCAGCCCATATGTCGAGCATTTCACGCTTGTCAAGGAACTCTCTACAAGACAAATAATAGGATGATCCACAAACACATGTATATAGTAAGTAGGGTGATGTGGAGTTCAACTATAGGTGTATAACATACCCTACCGGCTTATGACAACACCGTAACAGTGTAACCGTTGCACTCCTCTTAATCAGGTTGCACTCCTCTTAATCAGGTATGGAATATCGTATAATTAACACAATTTAGTTGCCATCACTCTCTAAATCATCTCTCATGAAAATTCACACATCTTACTTGTTAGAGAGTGGTATAAAATGAGACCAACTGGTTCATGACATTACTTATCACAGAAAGTTATAATTTCTTTCGATAAAAACACGAGAACTTTTGCATGTCAACTCATTTTCACATCAAGACGTTTAAACCTCGCGACTCTTTAAAAACCCAATTCTTGCCTTCTAGCCTTACCACTTCTCCCAATCACAATACCAGTTCTAATGAAATCCATCAACGACCAGAGTGGCCTAAACCAGTTGTCTATCAATGGATTGATCCATATGATATTTGCTTTAACCATAAGCATAAAAAAACAATGCTTATCATCTAGCTTTGTTTTGGTGGAAAACAATCCTTATCTAGCTAATTAAGCACAATTTTTAATTGATTGATTAATCAATCAATATATAAAAAATACATGACAGCTTTAATGGCAACATAAAGGCCGCAACGAAACCGCTCGAGCGATCACATACACACAGATGTACTACCAACAAAATAATTATTTAATAATGACGTCACGTACGTGCCTTGTAGCTTTCTTATCTCTTAGTCTTTAATCATTGGGCCTTTCCCACCAGCAATAAGATTTTGTCCTTTTGCATGAATAATATTTTACACTGTAGACATAAGTGACGTCACCCTGAACGTTGCGTATAATACTTAAATAATGCTAATCAATTTTTTAATTAAGTGATTGAGTTAATTAGTTCCATCCCAGCTTACGTTGCTGCTTGTTCAAGGAAGGTCGGACAGCTGGGGGGAGATCCATGGTCCATGGATGAAGTAATAACTATGATTAGTATACTCGAAAGCTAGTTAATCCTTTTTCCTCACATAATAATTATCATTAACATGAATAATTAACTTCATGATACATAGCTCATAATCGTTCTCGTGTATCCAATGCATGAATGTCAGTAAAAATGGGGAAAATCGCCATTGAGAGCCGCCGTGTGCTTCAACGGGAGAGAGGCCGCCGGGTTGAACGTGACCAAGGAAGCATCGGAAGCGGCGGAGCCACCGCTAGTAGCATCGGAGGCAGAAGAGAGATCGGACATGATGAACGACGACAAGAGCGTTGAACGTAGACGTAGAAGTCGGGGAAAAAAATAGGGCTAGAGAACCAGGCTCTGATACCATGTCAAGAACCAGTTGCTCCCAATAACTCAAGTTGTTGGGAGAGGTGCCACCGATAAGCACAAATTAATATATCTTGTTTTTTTGCTTGACCTAGCTAATGATTTTTAGTTCATGGTTTCAACGTTACCCTCCCCACTTAACTTGACCAATTAGTTTAATTAAGAAAGTCGATGATTGAATGATTGCTTGCTTAATTTTGTGTTCATTCTTCCCTTTCCTTTGACTCGTTTTGTTTCATTCGGATGTTCGTGCACCTTGAGATGATAACCCGCCTGCATATCATTTCAACACCCATGTGTAAAAGATATGGGAGAATCATAGACTTGCCATGCTTGTTCCACAAGTAAATTATAAACCATGAATCGAATATGTGTCACAATTACAGTCGTCGTCGTCGTTTGTTAATTAATCGAATTCCATGTGTAAAAGATGCAAAGGTTGTCGTGAAAAGCTCGCTAGCTACTAGCTATATGGCCATGGTCGATTCCCTCGAGATTAACGTCACCGTCGTTTGTTAATTTGGACTGATCAAAGTGGAGTTGTTTTTGGTTAAAGGTGATAACGGCTGATCGTCAGGAAAAGGTTGATTACTACAACAATAATGGAGTGATGAGGTAGTCATTCTAGTGATAAGCTAGGGGGAAAAGAATGGTGGCATATAGCTAGCTTTGCTCATATATGGTGGTGACATAGCTAGCTTTGTTCATATATATAAAGTTCAATCATAAGGCAGAGACATAGACGAGATTGTGTTTTAGAGCCATATATGTCACAACCCTATTCCATCGTGATATGATCATACGAAGGCAGGATAGAAATCCTAGCCGATCGACCAATCATGGGCTAGGTTCATTCTGATTGCACAGAGAGTACGAAAGAATTTGGAGTAAGGATGCATAAGATTATGAACTATCAATCACGAGAATGCGTATAGATCAATATGGGCACCGAATGTGGATGAATCTGGTTTACGATGATTCGATGAATGTATGTTTATATATCATATGACATGAGATGAATGTGTAATAATGAAGTTGTGAATGTTGTCTTGTACTTGGTGGTAAATATGTGTAAATACTAACATGCATACATCATATGTACAAATCACAACATGATTATGTACAAATGTCCCACATAAATTTTGTATACAAATAACTTAAATCAACTTCATTTGAGAAAGCTATAAGCCAATTAATTAAGCAAATTACCATTGACCCTAGTTAACAAAGCTTGATTAGCCGCCATTTATTCTCACAAGAGTGTGTACACCAAGTACTCTCTACCTAACTAATTAAAACCTAGAGTAATTAACTAGCTATATCTAGAGCGGGCGCAGCCTTATTAGGATGGGAAAAGCCGGATTACCTTTTTAATGACCCATTATATATATATGTCCCCTAAGCCTAATTACCCTAATTAACTAAAAAATTCAAACACGACGTGCTAGTTCTAGGGGCAGCTATTGGAGACCTTAAAAAGTTGAGAGATTAATTAAATTAAGCAACTAATTTGACCAAACCATATCTTGTTAACGGTACTAAGTACACACACCAGTCGAAACCAATAGCAAAAATTGAATTAATCTTCGAGGAGTAAAATATACTAATATAGAGAGAAAATGCGGTGATGAGTAGTGGGGGTTGGTCGTTGCTGTAGCTAGCTAGATAGGCAGAATTGGGGTATGCAATTTGCAATTTGATCACGTAACTACTTACATTATTGTATTTGATGATGTAATTACTAATTAATTACCTCCAGGATGAAGGGTATCCACAATCCAGTAGGATGTTAATGGGTCGTTGTGTCGGCTAATTTGATTCAATTGTCATGACTCGTAAAAAGTATTGGGTTACACAAATGAAATTAAGGTTACTTTAACTTTAATAATTTATGGATTTTGGTTGTGTTTGAATTGGGTTCAAGTTGAGTTTGATTCAAATGAGTGTATTTGGCTCCAAATGATTGTACATACAAAAGATAATATCCACAATCCCATTAACTGCTTTCAACCCAAATTGGTATTTGGCTCCAAATGATTGTACATACAAAAAGATAGATAACATCGACAATCTCATTAACTGCTTTCAACCCAAATTGCGCTTTTAATGTTGGTATTTGAGTATTTCCACCTCTTTGTCTGTTTCGTAACAAAAAAAATGACAAAAATGCATTAGAATTGATATTATTTTATTTTGTGTATTCATGATATTATTGATCTAATTTAGATCCAAACTAAAAAGTTGGATATATGCGTCTTCCTCAAAAGTAAAATTACTCATATATGATTTTACGCATAATAAATTGTTCTTGGAGAATACCCAAATATTACATCTTTTTCCAACCTAGCTTGATGTAATTAACCGATGGGCTCAAGAAGGAGTAACCTAATTTTAAATTACATGTATAAAATATATTAAAATTTGATGAAAATTTTAATGAAAAAAAATGTGATGAACCTGAATCATGTTAGTTCAACTCTGGTAGTCATGTTAGATCAAAAGTCAGAATCAAATTATGATTACTTGAACAAATGTTTACTAAAATTAGCTAGGTAAAAATCACTCGTCATTATATACTGACCAATCACCTAATGACCCAAATAAACATAATGGTAAAATAAGATGAAATTATCTTTTACCATCATACAGGCCTTTTGCTTAACTTGGCTGTTAACAAAATAATTTAGTGACCCAAAACCGTGCTTTTAGTGACTACTAGCATCGGTTGCGAAAACTGGGGTTGTTGTAGTGACTCTTGGTGACGGAAAAAAAAGCATAATCATTAAAAATAATATTACAGAAATTAGGCCGTTGTCATGGTTTGGATTATCATTCATAATCTATCTCCTTTTTTTAGCTGTCTCTTTTATAAATCATTCACCGCTGTCTTTTTTAATAACGACACTATTAATTAAAGACCAAAACCGGAGATGACTCCTACACCATATAACCTAAAAAACTACGTTAATTAATCAATCTAAACAAACCCATCATCTAATTGTGCGTTTGGATTTTTACTATTAACTAATGTATTTTTTGTCCATTAGCTCCTTTTCTTGATGGATTTTTTTTAAAATTATCGTGTTTTTAATTTGGAGGTAGCACTTGGTGGTGGGAGATGACTACCAATTGGTGTAGTGTTTTGTATCCTTCATGGGGAAGTGACGTCGTCGTTCTGCATATATATAAATACACACATCACACAACAACAAAGCTTTCGATCGAGGAGAGGACACAACACCTAATCTACCCAAAATAGAAAATCTTTTCTTTTGTAAAATGAGTACGTTTCGTTTTTGTTTTGTGGTCGAGAGGTCTTCTGTTCAAATCTCGATAACTAATATATGTTTTGTTAATCACATGGTGTCCTAACCTATGCAAAATTTCAAGCCCATATGAGTCGGTTTTCGATTGAGGAAATGTGCTAATAAATTGTATATGATCCATAATTGAACCTCTCTTAACAATTCGAGTTATTGTGATCGATAATTTCAGCACGGTCCACCATGGTTTTGTGTACAAATCGGTATGAGTTGGTCGTCTTCTGGAAAAAAAAATAATCGACCATCCTTTTTGTTGATATGTATAAGAGAACATACGCTGCACGGTTTAAGACAATTGAACAATAATTTCAACAAAAAATATCATACTCTTAGATTTTCCCCATACAAAACCTAATACTCCTGTGTAATTTTGGAATGAATCACAAGAGTCAAGATGAGAGGCATTCTACTCACGCGTTGCACATAATCATTTCTCAATTCGTTCAACCCCTTTGGCCTTTCGCAACCAACACCTTTAATGGCTACGCACGACCCGACGACCACAAATCTAAAGAAACTTTGGCCTCCCTACGTACATCATTTTAGCCGTAGTCTTTGTTTCTAGTGTCCATTAAACCGTACCGTACTGGCGGTCCAATCACGAAATACCAGTATCGGAGGCTAAACTGATATGCGACATTTACTGGTATAACGGTTGAACTACGGTTAAACCACGGTTTTATCATAAAATACCGTACCGCTGACTTTCCTTATACGATCTCCGGTACGGTTTGATGGACCATGGTTTCTCCACATTCTGATAACTTCCCTTGGGAAGAAAGTAACGTGGACAGGAAGGCGTTAATGGACCCGAACACTGTCTAGCCGTAGCTAGCTGTGATCTTTAAGGACCTGACCACTACCGACACCAAATGGCCCCCGGCTCAAAGTGAAAAGGGTTCGCGATCAAGGCCTTATGGACACTAAAAAACGTGGACCTTTTGGCCACCAATGGCACAATCAATGATTCATTGTCTACCTCCAAGAAATTAAAGTCGAGACTTTGAAAAGAAAGCTTTAGATCGAGAGAAAAAGAACAAAATGCCAATCGGATTCAAAGTGTTCAAAAAGGGTAATCATGCATGTTGTCTAGGGTGGGAGATGATCCGGTTCACACTAGATCGAATCGTGACGAACCGATATTTTGGAGCGAATCTGATTGAACGTACTTTTGATTTTGGTTTTGATTTTAGTATGAAGAACAAAATGGACTAAAATTGAATTTGGACAGGGACCGAATCTCAACCAAATGAACCAAACATGATTTTGTTCCGATTCTGGTCCTCGTTTTTTGTTTTGATCCGACCCTAAGTCAATTCAATATGGCTCTGAACCAAATCGATCGATGCACACCCCTATACATGTCCAGTTGTCCACCACCATAAATACTCCTTTCATTTTGTGACCGAATCGCCCAGACCATCTGAGCAGTAGATGATTTTTTGTAGCATAAGATAAGTCACTTCATAATTAGGAATTACATGAAAGAATGAAAATACTTGGGGGGGGACTTATGCTTTGAGAAGTACGTGATTGCAATTCCAACTGATTTTAAAGATATCGTTCTTTCTGGATATGTACGCAGTTAACTCATAAAAACAAAGTCATACACTAATATCATAGATGTGTAGTAATTTGTGGGCCGGATTCGAGACATTGTATAACCAATACATCATAAGTTACATTCAAATTTGGAAGCCAAATGCCTAGTATTGGAAATTATTACCCACCAAATTATCGTTATAGCTTGTGTTGTATGAATGAAATCTCCATCTAAGATATCATCTCGCCGTTCAAAGATATAACTTGTTGCTAATAAACATTTTATTATCCAAATATTGGACCAAATGGCACGATATTGGCCAAGTGTTGATCAGACCTTCTAATTAATTAGTGTAAACATTAGCTCATAACCCCCTAATTAATTAGTAGATGTTATGTACCATGCGCATTGGAACCTCCCTATAAACACCCGCCATTTGTTTACCGACTAACACAGATTACTGCTTGAACCTGTACATCATCATCCATCCCACTAATTAATTAACAAAAAACCGCGACAAAAACGATGGTTAATTATAATCTAATGGTAATCGCTATCATTAGCTCTCCATTAATCGATTCATTAGTCATTACAAACTTATTCTTGAATTCCGTCACGACAAATAACAACATGGATATTAATTTATATCACTTTATAATAATAACAATAAAGAAAACTAAACGGCAACATATCAACAACAGCGGAACCGGCTTCACCGGCCACGACAGGATGGCCGGTCGCCAGATCGCCGGCCGGTCACCATCATTATACTAAAAAATAATAAAAAGCCTCTAATTAATCTCTATTTTCTGTCCTAATTAATCCATCCATCGATGATTCCAAAATTAGTACTCTACTCATCTTCATTTAGAAGCTTCCGTATGTACTGTTCTTTCCTCCGCTATTACGTACAGCTTTTTTTTTTGTTTTCTTATTATTTTTTACAATTTAATTTATTTTTTTAACCGCGTGTAATTCTTCACCGTCCGGCGAATCACATCAAGGAGCACGCGTTGGGGTTCTCGTCGCTGAAGAACTGAGGCGCGTGGCCGGGGTGCTGTGGCCCCATCATCTGGTACCCCGCCGGCGGCGGCGGAGCCATCATGTACGACTCTTGATGGTGCCCGCCGTAGCCGTACCCACCACCGCCGTGGTTCAGCATCGGCGGCGCGTATCCGTGCTGGACGTACTGCGGCTCCATCGCGTACTGGTGCTGCTGCTGGTGTGGCTCTACGTAGTAGCTACTCTGCCCGTACGATCCCCCGTCGGCCCAGTAGCTCGGCGCCGCCGTCGGGGCGTAACTGCCGTAGTACTCCATCTTGTTCACCTCCACCTTCGGAGCGGCAGCGGCAGCCGGGGGGTCTACTTTCTTTCCCCCGCCGTCTCCTTCCTTCTTTTCGCCCTTCGGCGCTTGACCACCTCCTTCTTTACCTTTCTCCTTCTTCTCGCCGGCGGCTGCGGCGGCGTCCTTCTTCTCGCCGGCCGGTGGGACAACATCCACCGTCCGGTTGAGCTTCTCCCTGAGGTAAGGAGCCAGCTCCTTAACGTCCATCGTGCCTTTCACCGTTACCAAGTCCTTAGCTCCGTCAACCGCCACGCTGTCTACTCCTGTGGATCAGGAAGAATCGAGAGAGAAACGCCACGTCAGATCATCATCACCGCTAATTTTTTTAATATTGCCACCTAATTCTGACTTTCAGAAATGGTAACCACCTACCAATATTTTAAAATCGTAATTACAGTTTAATAATTTGGTTCAAGTTTTAAGCTGACCTTTGATTTTGAGGATGATCTTCTTGATCTTGTGGATGCAGCCGTCGCAGTGGGTTCTAATCTTCAGAACAACCGTACTCTGTAACCGCAGAGGATAAAAAACCGAGAGATTAATTAGCAATTAAACGCGGATTTACGGCAATTAATTCAATAAAACGGCTGGCATTAGTATTAGTTGGCATCGATTAATTAATTAATGACGCAATTAGTATGAAGTAACTACCTCTTTAGGTGGAGCCGGTTTCTTCTCCTCCGCCTTCTTCTCCTCCGGTTTTTTCTCCTCCGCCTTCTTCTCGGCTTTCTCGCCTCCGCCCTTCTTATCACCGGCGGGAGGAGCTCCGCCGCCTCCGCCCATCTTGTCGCCGGCAGGAGGAGCTCCGCCGCCTTCCTTCTTAGGCTGGGGCGAGACGATATCCACCTGCTTCTTCATTTTCTCCTCCACCCTTGCCTTCACCCGGCCGGGATCCACCTTCCCGGTCACCGTCAGTTTGTTTGCCGAACAGTCCGTTTTCACATCCTCCACACCTGCCAAACCAAAAAAAAAAAAAAAATCTGCCATCTCAGCAACCGATTTTGAATCTAATTCTTACCATCTCAATTTCTTAATTAATTAACAGCCGAATTCCGATTCAGATCTCGAATCGATGGACTGAGGGAGGAATTGAATTTTTACCTTCCATGTGCTTGACGGCGCGCCTGATTTTCTTGGCGCACCCCTCGCAATGCATGTCCATCTTGTAGACGGAGACGACCTTCCCTCCGCCGTCGTCCTTCTTATCACCACCCCCGCCGGCAGCGGCAGCAGGAGCAGCGGCGGGCTTCTTCTCACCTTCGGCCTTCCCTCCTCCGTCTTTCTGCAAACACGGGACAAAAAAACAAACGCGTCAGAATTACAGTGAAAACAGCCGGAGAAACCGATTCATCTTCCAGAATTCGACGAACGGAAAGGAAGCAGAACGAACCTCGGCGCCCATCGGAGTTTCTCTCGTAGATGTTTGGATAGGTAAAGTGGAGTATTGGGAGTTTGGGACTCTGTTTGGTAGTAATAGAGAGAGATGAGAGAACAGAGGATTTTCGAGGAAGTTTGTTTATTTGAAGGGAGCTGAAGGGGGAGGAGGGAAGGTGGGAATATATAAGGGGGAAGGCGGTGGGCGTGGGCGCGTGGGTTTTCACTTCTTGGAGGTTAGTTGTGGGCTGGGTTGTCACGCCGGCCGGCGTGCCACCGGATGTACCTGGTTCAACCTGTACCGGTCATAAAACCAGCGTGACATCACCGGTATGATCGACATGATCGATATACGAATCTCTAAGTAAAATAACCTTATTTTAGTGACTTTAATTGTTAAAAATTAGTTTATTATTTATTTTATGAGTATAAATGTTAAATATTGATGTTATTTGTTGGATTCAAGTATAAATGTTTAGGTATTGTCGTATTGACGTTAAATGTCATGTTTAAAATGAGTATTTATAATTTTATTTGTAATATTCACCGGCATGAACCGGCACAAACCGGTATGTGCCATTGGTCGAACCATTCCACTTGCTAAACCGGCACACTGGCATAAGCCGATTTGACAACCTTACTTGCGGGAGAAGGAGAGAGTATGCGTTATGTATGTATGTACGTATGTATGTATGTATGAATTGTTATAATGGTATGGATGCGGATGATGATGAGGTAAGGATGAGTGGGCGGGAGAAGGGAAGGGGGGCAAGGGGCATGCCGCCTGGTTGGACTAATGGTTGTCTTGAAACGACGGCTTCATGACAAAATCCCATTTGTTGGATGGAGGGGGTTTTCCTCAACTTGACCAGGTGAGGGGCACTCTCGTCATTCCCACCTCTCTCTTGCGAAATCGACTGAACTAATCATTGGGTTGCGATAGTTACTGCTCGATATTTTTCAAAATTGCTCGATGGTGTCTTCCGATTTTCATATGACAGTAATTTTGCTGCTCAATTCACTATCTAGACATGAGAAATTGAGAGATCGGAGGGTTGAAAAACGGTGAAACCGCCTCCTCTTAGTGGAAGGGTGCGCGCTCGTATAAGCCATTGGCTGGGGCGTTTGGTTAGGGTAATGATCTGATGATCGAGAAAAGGCATTTGCAAGCAACTGAATGAATTTCGTGGGGGTTTGAGTGATTCGTTAATGTGTCCAAACATTAAAGTGGATAAGGCCACCCGAAAAGGTCGTCGATGAAGGGTTTTCTCATGTGGAACGAGTTTTATACTTTATGTTGCTCTATTCTTGATTTAGTTTAAATCATCAATCAGAGCATTATTCATTGAAATAAACCTTAGCTCCCGTTAATATCATGATCAGCAGGTCCTGACACACTATATCGAAACCTTTTTTCACTTTATAAACAAACTGTGTGATTCATTCAAACTCCTTGGGATAACACAGGTCAAAATGATAGATGGTTTTGCGATACAATATTCTATATGTAATATACCATGATAAAATCATATTAGCTAAGTCTGAAATACGTGAGTTCACTAACACAATTGTTGGATACAAGGGTGTATCACAACTCAAATCTTTAGAATTTAGAATTATTTGGATTTCACATGGAATCTCCATATATATGTTTACACTTGTAGTTGTAGTGACCAAGAGAGACCTCCCTCGGGTGAAGATGGAACAAACTAAGAAAAATACCTTGGACTTGGTGTGGCTCATATCAGGCCGTCTTATGCAAAACACAAAGATGGATAATTCCTAAGCCTTTTGAGGTTTTCTTATCTATTTCCCCGCAAGTTAGATGTGAAAATGAAATAGATATTTGGACTCTGCTAATTTTGGGTATATATATTAGAGAGCAATTAAAAAGTAATGACACCAACCACCATTAATTAGATAATAAAAAAATCGAATTTGTTTTCATGCACTAGTTTTGGATTAAAGTTCCCTATAAACCATGCATGCAATTTGGGGTTATACGTATATAATAATGGTTCAGGCCAGGGCGTAGGTAGCGATAAAATACTTCGGGGAGTTGAAAATAAGCGTAGATTCGGAGATTTCCGAATAGGTCAATCTTTTAAACTGTTGTTGAATTCATGGACAGGCAAGATACAACCTGACGAACTAATCTTCTTCACCTCTAGGCATTAATACCTAAAATTAAAAAAGGGGAATGCCAGCGCATCCAGAAAAAACAATTAATTTCTATCAATAGGCCTGCTAAAGACGCAAACCATAAAGTACTTATTACTGGTGCCACGGATAAATATGTTTTTAGATCTCGCATTTCAATACGTACGATTACCTTACCGTATGTCCGTTAAATGTTCTAATTTATGTAATGAATTAATCGGAGTTTGGGGTATAATACTATACCTAGCTAACCTCTGATGGGTGAACCTCAGTTCTCAATTCTTTAACCCAAATCATAAGATTAATTTAATTTTAAAATAAAAATCAATGATTCTTATTCGTCGAAATTATTAAAATACATATAATATGTGTGACCACTGTAAGAGAGTGACATAAGATTCATAATAACCTTCTCCCAACAACTCGAGTTATTGGAATCAATTGGTTATTGACATGGTATCAGAGCTGGTTTGTCCTTGAGGCCAACCCATGTGCTAAAAGCAACCCATGAGCTTGAAGTTTGCATAGACGATCGCCATACCTTGTGCTTTGATAAATTGTTAATTTTGGGTGTTGTGAGGAGTTGAACACGTGATCTCAAGGACAAACCAACTCTGATACCATGCTATAGACCAACTAGTCCCAATAGCTCGAGTTGTTGGGAGAGGTTCAATTGTGGATCATATATCACTTACTAACACACCCTCTCAAACTCAAGCCACTCATACAGGCTTGGAATTTGCACAGACACAGGTTCGGACACAATGTGGTTAACAAAAATAGATGGTGGTCATCAAGAATCAAACAGGAAACCTTTCAGTCATAGAAAGATCTAATACCATATCAAGAACCGCTGTAAATTATACTATTTACATATGAAACTTATTGAAACATACATATACGGCTTCTTATTAATTCCTATGTTTGAAACCTTCCAATTTAGTGGTTTCCTATATATGGGCCAAAAACTCCCATAAGTATCGAAAAATCCTAGAGACACACTTATTAAATTTATTATATATTCGTTGAACAAGAAACATATTTTAATTTTTGCAAAGTCGATTTCAGGGGTTTAATCAGCCACACATCCACGCAATAATAATTATTATTCACATATTGACAAATCATGATCATAATTATTGTTGCATTGTGTCCAAAGTCGGGGAAACTGTTAGAACGAAAGGAATTTGACTGTGTTGGTTATCAGGATAAGGAAGATTTTATGCTTTGCTTACGTAATCCATGATGCAAAATGATTATAACCAAATTGAATTTATCCATTATTCCTTTCCATTTTCACCTCCCCCAAGGGAAGAAAAATAGTTTTGATTGTTCTGTTCGAGCTCGAGCCCACCAGATGGAAGCGGCGGTTACCAATGGTGTTGGGTGGGGTATTCATGAAACCAACGACCATCATGATACCTTCGGGAACGGCTACGGTGCTAATTATACAATAGTTAGCACCGCTCTAACCAAGGAAAAAACTACTACTAGTTTGAATTAGTAGTGATTTAGCTTAGATGTTGTATTGATTTTATAATAATCCGTAGTGATTTTTGCTAGTTATCATGGTACTAACCCCTATAAAGGTTAGCACCTAATCCCATCCCGACACCTTCATGGTTTGATTCCTTAATAAGAAATCCAATTTCTAGGATTATAATCATTAAGGGTTAGATAAATAAGGGTTGAGTTACTGTACAAAATTTAGTGGCTGCAAAACTAGTGCTTTAGATTTTTACTACCCTGATACGAATCATACCACAATTAATAAGATCGTAACCGAGAGGTAAGATATGAAGGTTTTAGGTTTAACAATTTTGGATTTGTATTTGTACGTGTACCATAGTCTTTCTCATTAATAAGTAGTAAATTATAGGGTTTGGTATCAGTGGCGGACCCATAAACTTTATTAAGGGTATTCAACGATAGACCAAAATCACTAAGGGTTGTCAAATAATGTAGTGTCTGAATACTACCACCGCTAAAACAAAATTTTATAAAGTTTTTTTGTCCCAAATTTGCATCCAAAGGTTGTCAAGTGACAACCCTTGCACAAACTTGGGTCCGCCCCTGTTTGGTATGGTGTGTTGTATTAGATTCACTCTCCAAAATCAGATCATTAAAGCGAAGAATTTTTTGGTGGTGGCTGTCGGTAGAGTTACGGTCGAATCGCCTGTTCTCATGAGTTTGTTGCATATTTGTAGGGGTCAGGTAGAAGGCATGATACCATGTGAAGAATCGATAGGTTATGACGACAAATGTGTTGGTTTTACTGTCATTCGCTTACGAGTAACACTTCATGGAATATCAAAGTCGGCACAACTAACAGTAGTAAAGATGATTATTTTGTGGATATATCGTATGTACTATCTGTAAGGGAATGGTGTAAATATGATTTATTATGAAACCTCTCCCAAAATATCAAGTTATCAATTGGTCCTTAATTAACATGGTATCAGAGTCGGGGTGATGACTATGAGTCGTTATGTTTGAATTCTCATTATCCATAATATTACTGGTTAGTTTAAGTATAAAGTATTGTCAAGTACCATATGGTACCAATTACTCAAGTTGTTGGTAGAGTTTCAAGTATGAATCATATGTCATTCACTAAAGCACCCCCTTCCCTCCCCCTCAAACGAAAACCTATTCATATGTGGTTTGAATTTTACACACTTCCTAGCACTATATGCTTGCAAGAATATGAGAGTTATCGGGATTCGAACGGAAAACCTCTCAGTCAAAGACTTTGCGATACCATGTCAAGAAACATTTGGTCCCAATCACTCAAGTTCTTAGGAGAGGTTCAAGTGTGGATCATATGTCATTCACTAGTAAGTATGATGTCGTTCAAGCTCATGGATTTGGTTGAGGGAACTTGTAAAACAACGACAAATAAGGTTCATTCTACAATATTCTTCTAATAACACGAATTATTGAAATCAACTAATTAACGCTACACAATCTACATATATATCCCAAGAGGCATAGAATTTTGAAAAGATCAATCAACATCGCCTTCATCCCACTAACATATGGATATGACAAAAGTTTAATGGTGATAATAATAATAGTAGTATTAATAGAAAAGTCTGTCATGAAATGGATGGCTAATATGATATTAACTTAGATTGTGATGTGACACTCTTTTTCCCTTTCATACGGGCCCTCCATCTCTCGGTGGGTAATACTGTTGGGGTATATGATCGCAATAGGTTGCGCACGGGAAATTTCCAAGAACATGTTTGTCACTATAGTTAGTTTAATTTGCTCCAAATAGAGAACCCTCATTTTTGACGAATTTGCTATCAGTAGCGAAGTCTCGAACTTGATCGAGTGAGTAGAGACTGAAAATAAGAATTTGTATCAACTTCTCAAGATCAATTCCAAGTCTCGAGAGAAAGAAGGTTGATATTTATTTTTCTATGGGGTGACAGATAGATGAAAATCGACTCACTAACATTTGGTCATTTGAATGTGAGGATTTGGATTCTGAAATGGCATGTTTAACTTGGCCCAATAAACTACGGTTTCTCCTTTGCAGTCTTTCTATTTTTTTTTCCTCCCTTTTTCTTTAGTATTTTCACCTTCATAATAACGTGAGAATTGGAATTTGAGTCATATTCTCATATTTTTTGAGAATTGGAAGGTCCATACCAATTAGTGATGGCAATAGGGCGGGCAGTGCGGATACCTCAATTCCCATGCCCCGCCCCATGCTACTATGGGTCGGGGCGGGTAAGGGACGGGGCGGGTCGACCCACTCTTACATGTTGTTCAAAAAAAAAAATACAAGTAAATTTTACTTTTTACAATAAAACGTAGGGAAAAACACTTTAAGAATGAAAAATATTGATAATAGAATGAATAATTGAGCCTAACAAGTTGAAAGATCGACTCTAACTAGTTGAAGAAAAGTCAAAATAGGAGAAATATGTATAGATATTGTAAGAAATTGAGATAAAATGAGTCTAGAACGGGGCGGGCGGGGCAGGGCGGGTCGGAAGTAGATACCCATGCCCGGCCCCATGCTATTGCGGGTTGGGTAATACCCGTGGGTCAGGTCGGGGAATACCCGCGGGGCGGGTTGAAATTGCCATCACTAATACCAATCCCTATTTTTTCCATTTCGTATATTTTGTACCGCGTATGCATGCGGGAAATTTGAACTCAAATGCCACATTTTACAATTCCCTTCATCCAAACCACCCTTACATACCATTTGGTATAAATGAATTCCATAAATTTTAAGAAATTCATTTCAAAATGAAACATTTTTTAGTTTGGTATTTAAGAGAATTTATTTTCAATTCTAAATTTTGAATTCTGTGGAATTGGAACCAGTTATAGCAATTACAAGGAATTGAGATGGAATTTCCATATGAATTCCACAGGTATTTACTAATTATAACTTGAACCATAGGATAGAAGGATAGCATAGCACAAGATTGGACCCTGTTTGTGAAGATGCCTGAACAGTTTTTGGAGCACTATGACTGGAAGTTTTGATTCTGACTTTCAAGCTATTAGCTGCTTCGGATGGAGATGATTAACTTTTGACAAAATCATTAACTCCCATATAGCCCCACTTCAACCAACAAGTTATCTTTCGTACATAGAATACATTAGGATTACAATTTATCTTTAACCCGTTTTACCCGAACGGTTTAATATATTTTGGAGCAGGTAGGTGGGATGAGGCGGACATGCGTGCTCTTCTTGACGTGACTTGTTTTATTCTTGATTAATTTTTCGCCTAAACAACATGTAATTTACTCAAATTACTTCGGGTTTTACTTTTATGACCTCATATTTTAGCTATAATAAAGTTGTAAATATGTAAGAAGCTCAATTTCTCGAATATTTTTAACTACAGTTATCATGTTATAATTTATTTCTTCATTTTATTAATAAGATGACCAAAGGTTGCTGGGAACAAATCTGCACCACTTCGGGCCCGGCCCAACAAGGCAAAACGATTAAACGAAGTAACGAACCACATACCGTTACCCGCCGCAGCATTCTCTTGGTCGCCGAAACGACTGATCCAGTTAAGCTGGGGGGAAAATTCAGCGCGCGCTCTCTCTCTATCCTCGCCGCTGGCGCTCACCCGCGTTCATGCCGCCGATGACTTCTTCACTCCGTGCCGTCAGTCCGCGAATCGTCCTCCACCTGAAGCCTTTACTCGTTTCACTCCCTCAGCTGTCTGCCTCTGTTTTTTCGCCTCGTAGGCTCTTCGCGCCAATCAACCCTAGAGCTCTCCTGTGTACCGCAGCCGCGCGTGACAATGGCGGGAGGTCAGGCGCCCTGACTGGACCGCCGGTGCTGGAGGAGGAAGAATCGGTGACGAAAATCGACGTCAATCCTCCTAAAGGAACTAGAGATTTCCCTCCCGAGGAAATGCGCCTCCGCAACTGGCTCTTCCACAACTTCAAAGAGGTAACAGTAGAACTAGAGCTGTCGAATTGTGTAGAGAGAATGACTGCTATGGCTTCTGTTGTGTGTAATTTTCTGCACCGGATTTCTTCATGTGAAGGTTTCGCGGTTGTATGGCTTCGAAGAGGTTGATTTCCCGGTTTTGGAGTCGGAGGCCTTGTTCATTAGGAAAGCTGGAGAGGAAATTAGGGACCAGGTTGGTATGCTTGACTGAAACTGTTTGAGTCTTCAGCCATAGCTAGAATCAATTTTGTGTGATGAGTGAAGGAGAAGTAAACTGAAATGTGATTACTCTGCTCAAATTTTGATGCTTGGGGCTCTTGTCTACAATGCTTTACAGTATAACAATGATAGTAGGTTGGGCGTCTTTGCCCCCCTCCCACTAATGGTTTACCTTCTTTGTGAAGTTATACTGTTTCGAAGACCGCGGAAATCGTCGTGTGGCTTTGAGGCCTGAGCTGACTCCTTCACTAGCAAGACTGGTCATTCAGAAAGGGTATTCAAGCTTCATCTGCATTCACTATTCCCTCTCTTTTCTATTTGGTGTTTGTGCTTGACCTGCATTGCCCTTTTGGCGTTTGAAGATTTAAAAACATGTGTAATGATTTAAGTATTGCTTGAATTGTTTTGTATCCAGGTACAGATGCCAGAATTGATCTCCATGTTCTTTTTTTGGTCCAGAAAATCTGCCCCGTTGCCATTGAAGTGGTTTGCTGTTGGACAGTGTTGGCGGTATGAGAGGATGACAAGGGGAAGACGACGTGAGCACTACCAGTGGAATATGGATATTATTGGTGTACCTGAAGTCACTGTAAGCCACACCATTCTCTATTATATTAGCTCTAAGAAGATTTCTCTCTCTCTCTTTATACTGCTGATAAGCATTACCTCAGAGGCGTTTTTTCCTACAGTGTTCGAAGATCATTCGACTTATGGATAATTTGGACTTTTATATTGTAGGCTGAAGCAGAGCTTATTTCTTCTATTGTCACATTTTTCAAACGAATTGGAATTACAGCTTCTGATGTCGGATTCAAGATTTCAAGCAGAAAGGTACTAACAGTTTCCTTTGCACTTGAGCTACTATTGGATTCTTAAATTGTTATATGCAAATATTATGATCTTCCAATAATTAGTGTTCTAATGTGGCAACATAAAATTGGCTTTTGAATTCTTTTCTTGATATGTGGTTATTGGAGCTCATGAATTCTGATGAATTTCTACCTTAATTGACTTGTAACCTTGGGTTCTCTGTCCTTAGAATCTGGTGATTCATTTTAGTGCAAACGTTAGTTGCTTGGAATTCTTTTCGAGTTTAATGCAGCATTTACAGTCACCACTCTATGATTTGAGAATCAAATTCTGCTGGCAACTCGTTCAATGATTTGGACGAGTACATTAATTAATGACCAGGCTGAACGCTGAACTTTCTCCTTCCTGTTTAAAACAGGTTTTGCAGGAATTGTTGAGGCGTTACTCCATATCAGAGAATGCATTTGGCAAGGTCTGCGTCATAATTGACAAGGTTGGTTACTAATAATCTTTTATATGATCACCTCAACTCCGCAGGTTGTTTCTTTCCCGGCAATGTCTTGTTATAATCAAATTCCAGTCTCGGATAGTCTTTAGGGTGCTAAACTTGTGATTGGTTCTCATATCTGTGCTTGGTACTTTAAGCTGATGTTGCTTTGCTGGATGCTGTAACAGATTGAGAAGATGCCGATTGAAGAAATTAAGAAAGACTTGTCATCTGTTGGGTTGTCAGAAGAAGTCATCAATGAGCTGCTACAAGTTCTTTCCGTAAAGTCCTTGACACAGTTGGAAGGTAGATTGCAGTCTTCATACCATCTTCAGGCTTCCCTTTTCATCTCCGTGTTCTTAACTTTTGCAAAGTATATTGCTTATATTTAGTATGAACCAAAGACTTATCTTTTCATAATTTCAAACTTTAAGTTAAGTGGTCATCTGCTTCTTCCTTCCTGTCTTCTTTCTTCTTCTGTTGGTGTTTATTGAGCTTGTCTTTCAATATGAATCTTCCATTGCTTCAGAAGAACAAAAATAAAAAGAAAATCTGATTGGAACATGTAGAATCAGACATCGTGACATTTGGTAAGATGTAAAAAGTCATATAATAATGTACAATGTTCTGTTGTGGTTAGATATACTTGGTTCTGGGGAAGCCATTGCCGATCTTAAACATCTCTTCTCTCTGGCGGAGAAGTTTGGTTACTCTGATTGGATTCAATTCGATGCATCAGTTGTTCGTGGTCTTGCCTATTATACCGGTATTGTTTTCGAGGTCAGTCCTACTGTACAATCTTGCCCATGGAGTAGTTATCTATTTCTTCAGCTTAGGAAATAGTCATTCTAACCCAGTTCTCATGATGTGGATGATTTCAGTTGCCTGATAAATCTATTTTACGTATCAGGGTTTCGATAGAGCTGGAAAGTTGAGAGCCATTTGTGGTGGTGGTAGATACGATCGGTTACTCTCAACCTTCGGTGGGGACGATCTTCCAGCCTGTGGCTTTGGATTTGGGGATGCTGTCATTATCGAAGTAAGTCAAGAATACTCTTCCCTTTTGTTACTCGACAAATTGACAATGGTAGCACTCTCTTGACTAATCCTCCATTTGCCTACCACCCCAGCTTCTAAAGGAGAAGAATCTCTTACCAGAACTGAGCCTCCAATTAGACAACATAGTGTGCGCTCTTGATCAAGACCTTCAAGGAGCAGCTGCAACCATCGCTACAATTCTCCGAGGGAAAGGCCAGAGCACTGATCTAGTCCTGGAAAACAAACCGTTGAAATGGTATATATATCAACTCCATAGTTTCCTCGATTCATGTCTCTATTACATTTCCTGGATCGTTACTCAAAACATGGTGCTCGTATTGACAGGGTCTTCAAACGGGCAGCACGAGCAAATGCACAGAGGCTTATACTGGTGGGCACAAAAGAGTGGGAAAAGGGTATGGTTGGTGTAAAAATCCTTGCTTCAGGTGAACAGTATGAGATTAAGGTTGACGAATTAGATTAGTTTTCAAAAGTTCGGCCATATAGGATCGCGTAGAGGTCTGATAATTTATCATCTGAAATTGCATTCTTGTGACTTCAACTATAGGTGAAAAGTAAAACATGGTGTTCTTCGTTCCTTGAGCTTCAGTTTATTTGAATAGGCTTAGTCAACCACACAAAAAAAAAATTGAATTAATAACCGAGAAATAATTGTTTTTTTGCCTTAAAACATAAACTCCAACATGCATGAAGAATTTCGACACCCTAAATCTTGGTAAACAACAAAAACTAGCGTGGCCCCGGCTAGTTGGCCGGAGGAAGGTGATGTATGAAATTTGATAATGTAAATAGGGTGTATAGTTTATTGTTGTATAGTTTTTTTTTGGGAAACACGTGATAAAAATAATGAATTTTAGCAGGAAAGAGACATGAATGAAGCAACGAATCAACAATCGGCCTTATGAACCAAAATCAAGTACATGTTACCTTGTGAAACAATATTGTTTCTGGTAATATGATGAGGTGGAGTAAGTTTTTTATAGAAACCGAATTCCAGAAAATTGAATAAAAAATCGTCTATCTCGTCGGTTTTCGGGAAATGAGCATCTCACAATTGTTGCTAGCTTTTACTCGACCCGTTGGCCGATTAATTTGCTTTATAAAACTTTCATCTTGTCGTCATTGTGCTTTCTGGTTTTTGTTAGGCCATGATAAAATCTAAGAAAATCAAGAACGAACAACACGATTTGGGATAGGAACCGCCGTTGTCGTATCCCTAGAAAATGGTGGTAAACATGGACTCACCTGCCAAACTGGTTTGGATTGAGATTTTTATCGAGTATCAGGGAACCATGTGATTATAAATTAGACTTGATCAAAACGGGCCAAAACTTGAAATTTAGCCTGTTTGATCGATCCATGTCAAACTCTAATTATTTTTTACTTTTAAACTTTCTATTTGAAAATAAAAAATAGTGAAAGAAAAGAGATGAATGCAATTCGCCATTTGCACATCACTTATTCGGGAATAAAACCATAGAAATTCAAAAGGAATTGAAAATGTTTAGGATCGTTTTAATGTTCAAAATAACCAAATAGATCTTTTTGTTTAGTTTTTTACTAACAAATACCAAACGATTCCCTGTGAAATACACTATAATTTGATCATTATGATATCAAATAATTATATAATATATATTTGAAATGATAAAAATTGAACTAATTGGGTTGGTCGAGGTTGAACCATTGAATAACTTTAAAATACATAATATTTTAGTCACTAAGATATAAAATAATAGCATAATATATATTATGCCAGAGAAAATAGCTTGTTTTAGAATGACAAACCAATGATGTTCATTTGTTTTACTTGATGGCCAAATCCCGTGTAGGTCAGGCTCATTCAACTCTTTTATTTTATAGTTAGCGGTTAGCCCATTAGATACCATGCATTAGTTTATTATTAATTTTTTTTTATTTTTAGCAATAAAAAGGAGTATTGTTTTTGCCTTTTCATATATATTTTATCACCACGAAGAAATAAAAGAGCTTAAAGAAAAAAATTGACACTCCTAGACCCGTTTAAATTCGCATGTGTACGGTAAGTTGGCCCGTTCCACAGAGGAAAGAGAAAAAAATTGACATTCCCTATTCTATCCTTCCTACAAACGCTTTTAGAATGACAAACCAATGATGATCATTGTTTTACTTGATGGCCAAATCCCGTGAGGTCAGGCCCATTAAACTCTTTTATTTTATGGTTAGCGGTTAGCCCATTAGATACCATGCATTAGTTTATTGTTAAATTTTTTATTTTTAGCAATAAAAAGGAGTATTATTTTGGCCTTTTCATATATATTTTATCACCACGGAGAAATAAAAGAGCTTAAAGAAAAAAATTGACACTCCTGGACCCGTTTAAATCTGCATGTGTACGGTAAGTTGGCCCGTTCCACAGAGGAAAGAGAAAAAAATTGACACTCCCTATTCTACCTTTCCTATTGAAATGGGGGAAGAGTTTTTTCCTCCATGCTATTATATGTTTTTAATTTAAAAAGATACAAAAAATGTACTTAGTGTGATTGGTTATGATTCTTGTTTTTATTCTCTCTACTCTCTGGTGAAATGTGGTTGTGAATGAAAGAGGGGAAAAGTTTCTCAAAATTAGGGTTGACACTTGAGTCTTGTTGGGGGAATCATGAGAGTGGTCGAGTGGCTAGGTCCGGTAAATCGCTGACTAGACCAGACCAGACCAAGAGATCAATACATCATATAATATAGACCATGGACAAGACCATTCTTAACGGTCTACGGTGCGGATCAAACTGTGCGGTCCTGTTTGGCCCATGGTTTTTCAAATGGTCTGGTCTATTTTCCGAACCCTAACGTTGTCGATTTTGGCGATTGTCTGCTCTCAATCACAAGGTTACCATCATATCTCGGGAATGGCAATAGAAGCCAATCCCTAGGGGGCGTTTTGTCAAGTGACTATTCTCTCCTAGTAATTAGATCGGCTCTTTAAGTGTACTCAAATCTAACAGTCAATTAAAAAGGACATAGGTTAGAATTGGTGTTAAGAGATACATTTTTAATTTTACATTTTTTATCCATGCAACTTCTCTCTCTTCGAACAATTGAGGAGTACATCTTCTTCCCTTTGTCATTTTCTTATGTCATTCGAGTTCACGATGATAATCAAATACCAAATTGACCTTTGTTGCTGTCCTCTCATCTCTGCACCCCCTAGGGGTGTGCAACGATTCGGGTCGATCCAAAACCAGAGCAACCCGAAAAGAACCGGACCATGAATAAGGTTGATGCATGGACCAAGGCCCGGACCAGGAATATAATTGGGCCGGTACGGGCCCGACCGAAACTGGTCTGGTACGGTCTGGACCAACCCATGAACCGTCCATCAACCGTTTGTGTTTATCAAAAGAGGAAATAAACAAATCAATTGTCAAATTCAAGTTGCTTAAATGAAAAATGTCTTTCTTGGATCATAAATCTGCAAGTTCAAGTTCAATTATCGATGGCATTGGGATGTTATTGATGACACACATGTGTGTGTGTTCACCGCACGGGATATGACCCAATGGCCGACTCTTTTGCTCTTGATGGCCCGGACCCTAGCTTTGCATCCCTCATTTTCATTGTTGCATCGAACCATCAGCCTCTTTGTGTCCGAATGGGTTATTTGCCATTCAAAACTCCGAGTCATTGCTTCAGTGGCAATAGCATGTCGGACCTCAGTCTTAGTTGCAAATTGTTGTCCCTTCGTAAAGCCAGTGAGTGGACCCCATACTGGCACCTCTGGAGGGTCCATGTCGGCATCAACATACCAATCTTCATTTTGAATGTGATTGTAGTACGGGATAGGTACACGGTCGCGAGGTACCTCATCACCGTCTGCGTCTGAATCAGGACCGGAATCATCAGCACCTTCCAGAGGATCGAAGCTGTCTGCACTAACACCGCCTTCCTCTTCTTCAACCTCAGGGTCACTAATTGGACTTGGATTGACCTCTTCTTCCATCTGATTATCATCATGAAAGGCACCTCACCTTCACCAGCTCCATAATGGTAGCTGTAGTAACTAACACCGCTTTGGTAGAAGTTGTACTCGGGTGGGTACTGGTAGCCTGCTTGTTGGTTATGATCCGCCTGTTGAGCTTCTTCTTCATATGAAGGGAATGATTGATGATGACCTCCAGTTCCATCATGATACTCCTGCCTCCAGCTCGAGTCTTGGTACTCCTGGTGAGGATGATCTTCGTATAATACACTCCCACCGTAGATACCAGATGTTTGGCCATCTCCAAAATGACCTACACCGCCTTCGACGGCCTCGGTGTAAACGAACATCTCCGCTTGCTTAATTTTATTAGTGGTAAAAAATTGGACCATGGCATCAACGTCCTCCTGAGTGGTAAGGAGGAATTCCTCATTCCACAGCGACCCGTCATGTCTATTTGGATATTGATACACCATTTGATCAACTCTTCTAGTGTCATCCATGCAGGTAATCTGAGTGCACATTTGATGGAGCTCTTTAAGCATCGGTCTCGTACGGACCTTCATTTTATAAAAATTACCACCGACGTAACTTACACCCTTTTCGGTCTCTTCCGTGTAACCATTCCACCGCAACCCAAGCGTGAACCTTTGGAATGCCATCTGCAATAAAACTGTATTTAAGTTACTAACATAAAATCACAAAGGAAAATGAAAATTAATATAAAATAAACTTACGAATTAACGTTAATCGCAAAAACTAAATAATTTAAAGGTGCACAACTGAAATTTGAAGGAGGAGGAGGAGTGTGAAGAATTTGACTTCTCTGAAACAGCCTTTTATAGGCGAATTTTGCAATACAAACCGCAAGTCGGGGGAGCGGTTTTAGGTATGCCATGCAGCCCCACCCCCTGCATGCCCACATGTTTGATGTCGGGTGAACAGGCACAAACCGCGCCTTGGGGCAGCGGTTTATGTCTGCACATGGTAAACCGCCGCCTGGAGGGGCGGTTTATCAAACCGACATCTAAACGCTTCCTCATGAAGCGTTTTGTGGTAGGGTTAGTATATACACCGCGCCTTCGAGGAGCGGTTTTACCTCAAATTAAAAACCGCTTGTGTGGCAAGGCAGTTATAATGTAAACCGTTGCCTGGTGGCACAGTTAATATATTAACCGCCTATCAAAGAGGCGCGGTTTTTAATAAACGGTGGTATTTTTGGAAATTGTTGGGAAATGGTGGTATTTTTGTAATTTTTTTTAAACAGTGGTAGTTTTGGATTTTCCCCCTTTTTCTCTTTGGACTCTGAAGTGAAGCAAACTCACGAAACTAGTACAAACGAGAAGGAGATTGTTTCGCATATCTAGCTGCTTCTCTTACTCTTTTGATTGAAATGTATACATCTTTCAATCCCTGGCCTCTTGTACAACCAAATTGATGATATGGGCGACGCCATGTGCAAGTATTTCCAATTCAGAACACATGATCCTCGTCTAGCTAACATAGCTTTCAAATGTCCAACGCCAGTGTCATTGGTAAAAACATTGTATATCCCTCATTCAACCAAACATGTATCAATGGCTTCTGCGATGTCTTTCCCCTTATGACTGAAGATTGAACAAAAGTTAATGATACTATTCGATATCTTCCAATCATCATCAATAAAATGAGCAGTAAGACACATATAATTAGTTCTCTGTAGTGAACTCCAAGTGTCTGTAGTTAAACCAACACTCCTACTTCCCATAGAGCTCTTTAACAACATCTTCAGTTTGTTCTTCTCCTCAACATACCAAGCAAAGCAATCTCTAAAGACAGTCCATCTAGAAGGTATATTAAACCTAGGGCATGCATCTGATAATGATGCGAGCGAGAGACCTCCTTAAATGGCAATTCATCCATGATAATGATGCGAGCGAGAAACCTCCTTATTTTATAAGGATCAAACTTCCAACCAGTTATACTATCATCACCATCTCCAATTGGTTTCAAACTTAAAAGTTTTTGGGTGTTACCTTCACCATTAGTTTGAGCATTTCAAGCATTTGGCGGTATCACATGCTTCTTCATGGCTGAAGTTCCATTCTTAACGGTATCTCCTGCATAATCTTTACCGCAATATTTGCAGGTAGCTCTCATTTCTCCTTTTTCATTTTTGTACTTCTTAAACTGGGTCCAAACATCATATTTCTGAACTGGTGCTTTGCCTTTTCCCTTTTTTCCCAACCTTTCTAGTAATAGGCTCCTCTTGCCCTTGAGGTGGAGGTTGAGTTCCTTCCAGGGTACAACTCTTTTTCTCGTTATTTTAGTAGGCTGACTTGTTTGTGGAACATTCTGACCTTGATCAATATGTTGCAAATGGTCTGACATCTGCATATTCAAATCCCATAACCCATTCATAATTTTGTTCATTCTTGAAAATGGCATGCTACTAAAACGAGAATAATAAACATATTACAAATGTATAAGCTCCCTGAAAGGCAAAAGGCAAAGGAGCAAATAAACTATTCAACTATTATATGTTTACATTTTCCTCACATACTGTAGAGAGCTATTGCTTCTGTGTTTCTGTGATGTTTATTTTAATTCAATCTATCGAGTAAACTACTAATTAAACGTGTACAAAGAAGGCGAAGCTTTCAACAGTCACGAGCAACTACAAAACTTGAGCCAACTGGCAGCCTTTATTTCATATGTTACCTTGTCCTTCAAAGGTAGAGTGAAGACGAACGACAATGGTTGGCGACGGCGGGCTCCACACGAGGATATGTTTTTGGCTGTTTGTTATTGACTGATGGCTAACTCTAAGTATTGTAGAAGATAAAGAGTCTAAGTATATATATATTATGTAGGGTAGGGAAGGCCTGAACGAAACGTAATATGAATAAACCTAGTTTTTACGGTTCGGGTCGGTTTTGGTGGTATTTTGTCGGTTTCGGGCGGATCCAGACCACGCACCGAGAAATGTCTCAAGTTGGGACCAATCCCCAGACCAAAAGACTAACGATCCGGTGTTGTGTGGGTCTTGGAGCCGGTTCGGTCCGGGTTGTGTCGGGTAGGACCGCTCCGCTGCACACCCCTACCCCCCACCCATGATTCTGGCGTTGTCATCTCCATTCCCTCTCTCCTCTTAGATTCAACGATAGGGTTTTCCAGATGGGAGCAGATCTGCCGCCTCCATCACCACATTTGTCCCCCTCTCGCCATAAACAACTCTCTCAAGTGGAGTTGAAAATGCATGAAAGAGAGTGTGAAAAATCACTTGTTGTTATAATTTGAAAATCCAAGTAGAAAAATATTTAGTTTACTCCAACGTCTCAAATAGCGTATTTCTCGAAATATGAAATTCTCAAACAACACATATCTAACTTCTAATATTTTTTAGACTTTTTGGGTATCACCTAATACTAGTATATATATTGGACAATCATGTTGATTACATTCATATATATAAATATGAAAGTCACACCAATCAATCACCACAATGATTGTAAAAAAAAAAAAAAATCACCACAATGAAAATTAGCTTGTGAGATGAGAGAATAGCTAGAAACCATATACAACATAGTTCATCCCACTCATGAATCACACAACACAAACGAGAGCTCATGTTCTACATATGAACCTTTTCATGCTTGCTGCCCTGCCCTGCCAAGTTCCAAGTTCTTGACTTCATGAGGCCTAACCCTAAAACTTGTGTGCTTTGCTTCCCAAAGAAAAGGGTGTTGATTTACACATGCCATGAGATCTACTTGGCTTTTGCCACGTGCATAGAGTTGGACTTTGACCCACTTTTTCTTTGTATCCATAGTTATGACTTGTGGTGCTTGTTATTCCCACAAAGTAAAAAGACACTCACTTTCAAAGAGCATTAATTAATATTGTTGTAACCTTCTTTTGTCCCCTCATCACAACCTTTCTTTTTTAACCTTTTCCTTGAAGCTCAAGCATCCTCATTTCCCAAAGTGAAATGAAGAACAGTGTCCTCTCATGTCATGTGTGTATGTTGGGGAACTTCCCACCATGTTTGTCAATTTTGAGCTTCGTTACATGTGCTTTTCTTATATACTAGCTAACTTGTTGCAAAATTTGGAGGGTAATAACAAAGCATGTCCTTTGTGGTAAACATCAATAGTAATTTCTCAATTGAATAGTAAGGAATAGTTTATAGTATAAACTATTGTGACTTTAACTATATCATTTCTTAATTTGGACAACAAAATTGTTCGAAGTGTTTAAGATAATAATACAACATGTTACATAGTTGAATATACATACATTATTTTTCGTCAAAATTTTGATTATTGGTTTATTTCAGTAGTAATCCACCTAAGGTAGGTTATATCGTAACTAATGTGTTAGAAGGAAGTTCATTTCTCACTTAACTTCAACTCCAAATATCCAAATAAAATGCAACCGCCACTTCAATAAAATTGCATTTTATGATAATATGATATAGCTTACTGATTTACCTCTTAATTTCCCCTATAATGAAAGAAAGGATTCATTGAGGAAATTGCTTTGATCCCGAAGATGAGTTTGTGTACACTTGTCTGACTCTTTTATTCTTATTTTCTTTAGTGTCTAACTATTTTGTTTGTGAGTACGATGTATTCATATTTAATTCTTCGATATAAGCTATTGTGCCATTTTTCAGTCTATAGAATCGACAACAAAGTATATGCTGGATTTTTAGTGCCAAACATACAAACAATCTCAATCTATACCACGTTGGCCGTCAAACTTCTTTTCCATAGAACACAATTTCAAATAATTTCAATCGCTCTATCTCGTGATTTATGATTGTTAGGTATTTGATTTCTCTAAATTTAGTGTTGAGTTAACATATCAGAACTTGATACTTGGTTCAACCATCACTACTAGATCATTAATTACAAGACTAAACAAGTAATTAAGCTAACAAAATCTTACCCACCCAAATTGCTACAGGGCCAAAGGCCCAAAAGAAAAAAAGAGGGAAAAAATAAATATAAATATTAAAAAACAGCAGGTTTACTCACTAGAAAGTCTAAACCTCAAATTTCCCTCTTTTCTCATCAGCTTCAAACCCACCCCTCTCCCCCTCCTTCGACCTTCTCCTACCCGCTCTCTCCGCACACACAGATCAATCTCCAAATCCCAATCTCGAGAAACCTTCCGGCGAACCAGCCGGAAGAAACCTCAACCGGCGTAGAAAAACTCACTCACCCACTTGAAACTTTCCCGCGTTTCACGAATTTTCCGTCCCTCTGGGGTCTTGGGGATTGATTCTTCCAATTCGGTGAATTGGGTTCCGTCTAAAAGAATGGCGACTGGTGGACCCGGAGCCCACCAGGAAGAAGGTGACAAGACCCTCTCCGCTGCTACCCCTGCTGCTGGCGGTGGTGGTGGGGCCGTCGCGTCTAGAGGCGGCGGCGGAGGTGGAGGGGCCAGGTCGTGGGGGACAACCACCGCCTCGGGCGGTCAATCGGTGTCAACGAGTGGCAGCGTGGGGTCTCCGTCGAGCAGGAGCGAGCAGGCTATCGCCACGCCGGCCAGCGACAACACTTACCTACGGCTGAACCATCTCGACATTCACGCCGACGACGCCGCTACCCAGGATGCTGCGGCGTAAGTGACCTCTCCGATTTCCCTCTCTCTTGCTTGTTTGATATAGATACTACAGGGGAGCTGAATCTAGTGGCGGGCTATCGATTTGTTTTGGTACTTGAGTTGATTGATTGTTTGTGATGCATCTAGATGGGGTTAAACATTGTTTTGATTACCGAGGAAACAGTTCAAATTCTGTCTTAGAAATGTCAATTTGCATCTTTATGCCAGATTTACAGTAGTCTCAATTATTTCTGCTTCTTGGCAGCTGTGATTTATAGTTTTAGATGCTGCCATGTTCTTTAGTTACATTAGTTTGACCAAATGATAAGGGGGTTTGCGGATGTTCTTTCTGTATGGAATGGAATGGAGCTTCTTTCATGTAAAATTCCTCATGACGAATTGGTTTATGGAACAGTAACAAGAAAAAGAAAAGAGGTCAACGGGTAGTAGGAGCTGATAAAAGCGGTAGAGGTCTCCGACAATTTAGCATGAAAGGTAATCCGATCTTGCCTTCTTATCTATGTCCTGCCAAAGCTTGGCAGATTGATGAGCAGTGAGTTCAGTGAACATCCAACATTCACGAATTCATACTGACTAAGCCTCTTTTATGTACTGTTTCCAGTGTGTGAAAAAGTAGAAAGCAAAGGCACAACCACTTACAATGAGGTCAGTGGGTTCTTTGGCATTCTTGCTTTGCATGTTGTTTTTTCTTTCGCGGTGCAATGGCTTAGGTACTAGTCTTAAATTTTGTATACTCGTGTGCTTCATTGACTGTTATCTGAGCACTTGTTGAACCGCTGTTTATCTTTGATAGAGGAGGACCAAAGCAACCAAAGGCATTGATTTGTTTTGCAGCGTCTATAAGTTCCCTTTCCAATAAGTTGATTCGGGTTTCTGAGGAGCTCTCATTCTTTCTCAGGTGGCAGATGAACTTGTAGCAGAGTTTGCTGATCCTGGTGGTGTTGCTCCAGCAGGCCCAGACCAGGTCGTTGTATTGATTAACCAGTTCATCGTCATTGCTTTCTAATATGTTCATTAGAGGAAATGCACTTAAACCCTAACTGCTAACTGTTCCTTTTTTGTTTCATATGTGAACTCACAGCAACAATATGACGAGAAAAACATACGGCGGAGGGTGTATGATGCCTTGAATGTCCTCATGGCTTTGGATATTATATCTAAAGATAAAAAAGAAATTCAGTGGAAAGGTCTTCCACGGACCAGTCTGAGTGACATTGAGGAACTGAAGGTACAAACATCTTATATAGATATGAGTGGCTTGATTTTTTATGTCGATTGGGCATTTGCAGGTCAAATTTAGACATATCTGACACTGCAAATGTGATTATTTCAGGCCGAACGGCTCTCATTGAGAAATAGGATTGAAAAGAAAGCACACTATTTGCAAGAACTGGAGGAACAAGTAAATAACACCCATATTGATTTGAGTGTGTAATGAATCATGTGAAGGTAGAGTTTCTTAACTACTCTCTTTCCTTGTCTAGTATGTAGGGCTTCAGAATTTGATACAACGAAACGAGCACCTATACAGCTCTGGAAATGCTCCAAGTGGGGGTGTGTCACTGCCTTTTATTCTGGTGCAGGTAAATCAATTAGTGAATGCATTTCTAAATCTTCCCCATCATTGACTTCCTTTTTCCAATGACATTCCTTCTGGTAGCCTCCTTAACATCCTATCTTTGACAAATATGACCATTTGGCCAACTGTAGACTCGACCCCACGCAACTGTGGAGGTAGAAATATCAGAGGATATGCAGCTCGTCCATTTCGACTTCAATAGGTAAAGAACCCCTTAGCCCCTGCTTATACTATTTGCTTCAGCTGGCAACTTTTCTAGCAGGCAGCAATTTTCCCAAACAAACACCTCCACTACTACTAGTTGCTTTATTTGTTTTGCTCCTGGTGTAACATGTCATTTTGGTACTTTATTGTTCCAGCACTCCATTCGAGCTCCACGACGATAACTATGTACTGAGAGCAATGAAACTCAGCGATAACGACTCGACACCAAGCATGGTGATCGACGCAGATGACCAAGGATCTCGAATGTTCCAGCAACAGCAACAACATTTGCTTCCTGCTACTGTCACAACTACCCCAGTGAGGGCTGCTCCCACTTCGCCGCCCATTCCCGGGATCATTAAATCACGTGCGAAGCACGAGCATTGACCTATCTCGCGGTTCGATCGATCCTCTTTTTGTGTATATCCATGTAAAGTAGTCAATGGCTAAGAGAAAAGTGCCTTTGTTGTTGACGATGGTGATCATTGTAATAGATGATTAGAGGTTAGGTTAAGTCGCAAGCGGGTTAGCTATCTGGTGCTGTTTAGGCGGCAAAATCCAGAGGATTTGTCCAGGCATAGAGATTAGAGAGAGCTATCTTACATGATCTAGAAGTTTTATTGGGATATATAATGAATTGGATGCACCATAATTCCAAATATTCATCCATTGTTATCCTACATTCTAACCGCTGCATTGTGGGTTAGGGTTTAGTTTTTCGTCTCAGAGCACTATGGGGTTCAAATGAACGTTGGTCAGATTGGCGGTTGACCCATAGGATCGGTTACAACTTACAAGTAGGGATCAATGGGAAGGAAGTACAATATCAAGAAATTCAGTTCAATCGGTAGGAGACATGAAACTAAAGCATGATCCAATGAAGAGAAACCTTAGCAGTGGAGCGCATCAAACTCCTGAAAATGCACGAAATTCGGGTCGATTCTGGTGATACAAGAAGGCTTCCCCTCAAGGTGATTCACTTAGTACAACGTGTTGGTCTGCAAGTCAAATTTTTGGACCACAATACTGTAAATCACCTTTTCCCGAGCCGAGGTAATACAGTCAGATGACGGGAAGCAGATCTTCGCTAGATTCGCTGAGGTGGATACCTGCACAGTCGTCGAGGCTGATTGGGTGTAGATTCCATCTCTGAAATCGTTTCCAACACCGTAGTTGGTTTAAAGTCTGTGGACCCCACAGACTTTAAGGGTCCAGATCGCTCCACGAACTTGAAAGTTCCACCTCTTTATGAGGGAATTGATCATGGACTTTGAAGTCCATAATTTATCCCAAACTACCATTCCTACTATATTTCTCTTCTCATACAAATGAGGGCAATATAGGTCAATTTTACTTCATACATACAAATCTAATTAACCAAATTCATAATGAAATATATGAAACAAACAATGGTATTTTTCAAGTTTATAAGGAACTCAACACCCACATATATCTATGATTTTACAAAATCCAAGTTTTACCAATACCTTTATTTTTCAAATTCATGAATCAAACGACTCTAGACTTCGCTGAAATTGAGTCGGCCAGGCCCAAAGCTCTTGAGAGGAGAGAACAGCCCGTTATTGTTGCAAGCCCAATGGGCCGAAGTAGAGCCCAATATGTAACGCATTTTGTCCAATGAAGCTGAAGAGCACATGTCGAGCCCAACTTATATATCAACAATGCGACGTCGATTCTTGCTCCAACCGACTCTTTCAAGTTCCAGCGCCTCCTTTATCACCGATCGTCCTACCATTAGGGTTCTTTCTTTCGCGGCGGCGCTAAATCCTCTCACCCGCCAACCAATCTCCGAGAGAAGTAGAAGAGAGTAAAAAAAAATGGGAGGCAAGTGTCCTAGCAGGAAGGTGAAGAAGAGAAGGTTCTCTCACAAGCAGGCTCGCCGCACCAAATTCGAACTCATGGGCGACGACGCGGTCTACGATCAGTTGCAGAAGCCCGACGCCGTTAGGAAACCGATGCCCTTCGACGAGGATTTACCTGGCATGGGACAGCACTACTGCTTGCACTGCGAGTAAGTAAATTCCATCTCTGGGTTTGAACTTATATATAACTGGGTATTCAATTTCAATTTTGTTGGGCGGTTCGGCGGATGTTTGGCTTAAAGTGATGATGAGATTGTTATGGGAAGTTAGATACTTTACTGTTTATCCATACAAAAGGATCAAGGAATGAATACCGGGGATTTGAAATGGTTTTTCCATTGTTGTAAATAAGTGAAAGGTTAGGACTTTGATATTTTGGGCCAAGGGACGGAGACATGGTATTTCGGTTTCATCTTTATTATGGACTGTGTTTTCGCCCTTTTGGGTTTACTAGATTTGGCCATTGTGCTAAATTTGGTGTGTTATCACTTTTCAGCCGATTTTTCGCCAACGTGACTGTTAGAGACGAGCATTTCAAGACCAAGAAGCATAGGAGACGGTAAGCGACTGTTGACATCCTGATCATTTATTTTGGTGTTCGTAATCTTCTTTAGACGTGCATATTTGATAGAAGGAAAGGTTTCTCATGCTGATATTTGGTTGTTCCGAGAGCTGCTTAGGGAAATGTTTGCAGCGTAAGATTGTCTAGCCACACAGTATATGCCGCTTCGAGCGCCTCCTTAGCTTCTTCATCTTGGTTGATGCAAATTCTATGGTACCACTTGGCGTTTAAGTATCCAAGTTTTATGCTGTTAGCTAGCTAAGAACTCATTCTGTTAAGATATTAGAACCATTTCTTATTTTGTTTGCACTAACATTAGATACCAGTCATGTTGTACTTGTATCCAAGTGGTATGCTCAACATTGAGAATTAGTCGATGTAATGTTTAGTATTATCGGACTTCAATGTCAGCAAGTTCTTTAGATAGCCTGATTCATTTGGGGACTGACCTAGGCATGAATTGGAGGATTAGAATGCTTGTATATTCCTTTGAACAATGATGAATTGGACAATAAGGTTGAACGTAACCTTTTTCTTCCCAGATTATTGTTACTCATGCATCCCTTACTTTTTTGTTGCATATACATGCAATGTTTATTTTCATGCATGTCCAGATTGTGGCAGCGTCTGATGTTAACCATTGTTGTTTACAGGGTGAAGATGTTGAATGGTCCTAAACCACACACTCAACTTGATGCTGAGTTAGCAGGTGGTATGGGAATGCCAGACAACGGTCCTAAGCTTATGTCAATGTGAAACTACAAGGTTTCTTTCCTTCACATTTCCTCGCAGCTTCCCTTTCTGTAGATTTCTTTTGGAAGCTAGCAACTTCAAGGTCACTTTTTAACTTGTTTGGGACTTGCCGCATTGTAAAATCAGTGACCCCTGTAGTGTTTCTCTTATTACTGCATCAATACAAATGGCAATTAGCTACCCACTTGAAGTACGAACCAAGTGCGAATCATCTACCTTTACCTCGCCTCTACACATTTGTAATAGCATGCTTGTTTCCTTATTGGTTTTATCAATGACGTTGTCTCTTTCTGCTCTTTCAATTCAATGGAATCGTGTGGCTTAGTCCCTGTGTCTTCTCTGCCAGCCATTTTGTTGTCCATGATTCAAGAATCCATGGAGAAACATGATGTAAAACAAGCAACTCTCCCTCTTTATCATGCCTGCCTACTATTGGGATGAAGTTGAGGCCGCAAGAACTGTTGAAACAGGAACACAAGGTGGACCATCACCCTGGTCCTCATCAATGGCTCCTGATCTCCATTGTTTTGAAGGGCAGAGCACCAAACAATCATGAGATGCGACATAGAGTGGTTATTATGGAGGGACCTGGTTCGTTTTGTCAGTTATTCAATGTCTTCCAGTGTTCTGGCACTTCCAATGGCGACAAAGAAGCAATTGATTCAACTGTCTCAGTAGTTGGGCTGCGTGTATCTCATTCACCATCCTCCTAAGTTCCACGAGTCTTTACAAGGCAAAATGTCTCATCCATATGTCCCTTGCAAACAACCTGTAAGAACCTGGCATCCTAATGCAGAACAAGTAAGATAAGGGTTGACCTGTTAGCCTGCAAGCAATTACTGAAGTTGTCAACGGGAATCCGACAAAACTTCATATTCAAAACCTCAAACATTGTCCAATGGTTTTTATCTGCGACATCAGATTCAGAATGGTCACTTTGATAATCGACACGAGCTGCCCAAGTCCGGCAGATTATCCCAAGATCAACCCACAACAGGACACTATAAGTTCAACAACAAAAACAATAAAGTACATGAGTAATATATCATCCTAGGCGCTGATTGAGGTATTACACAGTAGCACCCTCTGCAACTAATGATCATCTGCTCCATGATTGTTCCTGCTGTCATATGTGTTCTGCTGAGCTGGATGTGTGTTGCAGGTAGCAGCAGCTGCAGTCAAGCTGAAAGAGAAGCCCTTATAAATTTCAAAGTCGGTATCCAAGACCCTTCAGGCCGGCTATCTTCTTGGGATGACAGCAACGGAGACTGTTGCAAATGGCATGGCGTTGAATGTCGCAACACTACTGGTCATGTCGTTGAGCTTCATCTCGGATGTCCTGGTTGTGGTGGGAATTCTATGATCAAGGGCAAGATAAGTCCTTCCTTACTTGGGTTGAGGCATCTGAGATATTTAGACCTTTCAGGTAACGACTTTCAAGGGATTCCGATTCCAGGTTTTCTAGGCTCCATGAGCAGTTTGAATGCTCTTTTCCTTGGTGGAGCTGGATTTGCCGGAACCATCCCTCACCAACTTGGAAACCTCTCAAACTTGCAACATCTTAGTCTGCGCGCTGGTCATGGCTATGTACTACATGCTGATACTTTGCAGTGGCTCCCTGGTCTTTCTTCGCTACGATATCTTAACTTGAGAGAGGTTGATCTCAGCAATGCTTCCGATTGGCTCAGCATGATAAACACTCTCCCTTCTCTTTCTGAACTCTATCTTTCGAGTTGTCGAATAAGCCACATTCCATCACATTTGATGAATGTCAACCTTTCATCATTGGCTGTTCTTGACCTGTATGGCAATAAATTTGCTCCAACCTCGCTTCCCGTCTGGATTTCTCATCTCAAAGGCCTGACGTCTTTGGATCTAAGGTTCAACAATCTCGGAGGTCCAATTCCTGATGAGCTTCAGAACCTTACCTCCATAAGAGCTCTTCAACTGTCTTTAAACGACTTCAATGGTTCCATACCAGACTGGCTGTTCAGTTTTCCCCACCTAGAGGACATAGATTTCTCTGGCAACAATTTGGTTGGTAAAATATCAAGCTCAATTGGGAACTTGACCTCTCTTGTCGACCTCGACTTGTCAACCAACTGGTACCTTGAATTTGAAGGAGGGTTTCCAGCGTCAATCAGAGGGCTTTGCCGATTGAGCTCGCTCTCTCTATCAGGTATAACTGTAAAGCATAGTTTATCAGATGTGCTTGAAATCCTTGGTGGAGACTGCCCTTCAGAAACACTTCAGGTACTGACTCTTGGGAATTGCCTGCTATTTGGTCAGCTGACTGATGACATTGGCAAGTTGAAGAGACTAAACCGTCTGGTGCTCTCTAACAACTCCATAAATGGTCCCCTGCCAGCGTCATTTGGGGGCATGGCATCCTTGGAGTACTTGAGAATGGAAGGAAACAATATAAATGGGACTCTTCCTGCGAGTTTTGGCCAACTAGCAGAGCTGAGAAATGCTGACATTTCTCAGAACTCAATTGAGGGTGTTGTTTCCTCTGACATTCACTTTGCCAAGCTCACCAAGTTGGCTAGTCTCCGCGCAGCTGAAAACAAGATAGTGTTGGAAGCGAAACCAGGTTGGGTTCCTCCCAAGCAGCTTGAGATACTGGACTTAAGTTCATGGTATGTTGGGCCTCACTTCCCCGTATGGCTCCGAGAATTCGAGCATCTCATGTCCCTTGATCTCTCCAACTCTGGAATTCTAGAACCCATTCCTGATTGGTTCTGGGGCATGCGTTCTCAGTTCTTCTATCTCAACATGTCTCACAATCAGATCCCTGGGAGACTTCCAAATTTCATCTCAGTTCGTTACTTTGACTCATTGTTTGATTTGAGTTGGAACAGCTTGGAGGGTCCCTTGCCAGTTATCTCTTCCAACATGACTTTCTTGGACCTTTCCAACAATTTGTTCTCCGGCAACTTGCTCAAGTTCTTGTGTTTCAATCCATCTCAGGCAAGGGAGACAGAGTTTCTGGACCTTCACGGCAACTTATTGTCCGGAGAGATACCCGATTGCTGGAGGAGTTGGCAGAACTTGAAGGTCTTAAGATTGGGCAGGAACAACTTAAAAGGGAAGATCCCAGAGTCCATTGGAAGCTTAAGCAACCTTCTGTCGCTGCACATTCAGAACAGCAGCCTGAGTGGTGCAATCCCTTCATCCCTTGCCAACTGCTCAAACTTGGTCTCCCTCGACTTAGCTGACAATGTGCTGGAAGGCAACATTCCAGATTGGATTGGGGAGCGCTGGCTATGGAAGCTGTCCATCTTAAATCTGCGCAGGAATAAGTTCCAGGGAAAATTTTCTGAGCAGCTTTGTTCTCTGCAATACTTGCAGATCCTGGACCTTTCACATAACTTTCTGTCTGGGAACCTGCCACAGTGTGTGGGTAACCTCAGTGCCATGTCTGGTTCTAGAAATGACGATAATTATGATGATGATCAAGCAGTGATTTACCTGTTCTTTGGCGGAGCCAAATTGTTTTTGGAATACCAAGTTCTGGTAGCACAAGGGCAGGTCAAGGCTTACAGCACCATATTGAACTATGTCAGGAGTTTGGACCTTTCATGGAACAACCTGTCAGGAGAAATCCCAGAAGAGATCACAAGGCTTGGGGATCTGAAATATGTCAACTTATCGCGTAATTCATTCTCGGGTGGGATTCCAGGGGATCTAGCTTCCATGACATCCTTAGAATCACTGGACTTGTCTGGAAACCAGCTATCTGGAGCAGTCCCTACAGGCTTGGCGAGCCTGACTTTCCTGAACCACTTGAACTTGTCGTACAACAGCTTGAGCGGGCGAATTCCTTCGAGCACTCAACTGCAGAGCTTTGATGCGTCCAGCTTCATGGGCAACAAGGGACTCTGCGGCCTTCCACTGAGTGCAAACTGCAGCAGCAGAAACAACTCTGTGACGGCGGGTTCTTCTTGTGAAGAGAATGAAGACTACTGTGATGATATGGAGTGGTACGGCATCAGCATTGTGCTTGGCTTTCTTGTTGGATTTTGGGGCGTAGTTGTACCAATTGTTGTTAACACAAGATGGAGAAGCTTGTATTTTGGTTTCTTGGATCGCATGGGGAGCAAGATCAGGACCTTGTTCATGGCTGGCGCTGGTGGAGCCTTTCATGGAGCAAGAGATGATTCCTGGTGATTGTCTTGCCGAATCTGAAAGTAATTTCTAGGGTTCTTCGAGATTGATTTGGGGATTTAACTATATATTATATACTCATGAATCATGATCATAATAAGAACAGGGATAGTTTGTATTCTCCAATTGTTTTAGTGAAATTGTTATCATGTTTGTATTCCTTAGAATTCATTATATTTTAATATTTTGTATGTTCAAACGATACATGTACAAAATGAATAATTGTACAATTTTCGTTTTTATAGATCAAATTGTTGCAATTGTAAGTAATGTTTAGGATAACTGATGCATTCATGCATTATCGGGCATGGTCATTTTTATTATAGTTCGAGTCTTTGCATTAATTGTTTGTTAGATTTTTGTTTTTATTTGTTTTTATTTGGGTTATTCGTATAAGTTTTTCTTTAGAATTATAATGAATTAGTGTTTATGGCTTAGAAAGTAACTATTTATTTGTTAGTTTAGAATTTGTTTGCCTTGTTTAAGGGGGAACATGTAGTCCTATAAATATGTACCTTTACCCTACGTTTTATTTCGTGAATGATAATTCGAATATTAATAGTAATTTTGCTATAGATTTATCACTTTTCCTTGGGTTGTCGTAGTTAATCTATTTTTGAGTTTGAGACATCCGACGTATGAATCCGATTGCGTGTCAGTAACCTACATGACTTTGATGTTTGGATTTGGTAGTTCAGAGAGTTTGTTTCTTAGTCCGAAGGAACTTAACACCACATATGAAAACGTGCTCACATGACATAGCCGTTGGTGCGCCTAGTGCGTGATCCATCGGCCGTGCGCCTTATGAGCGTATTTTTGAAGATGGTGTTGTAAGCACCATAACAAAATTCTCTTTTAGGTAACCTAAATATTGCGATGAATTTAAAATCCAATGATAGAATTTGGCGAGATGCTAAAAGCTTCAAATATTGGGACCATATCAACAAAGATTATACTCCCAAACCTAACATCTTAATTAAAATTGAATAGACTTCTTATCAACTCAATTCTTTGTCAACTCCTCCTCAAATGTTCCTCTTCTCACTTGTCCATTCAACCAAAGAAAAGAAAAGAGATGAGATGAGGTGGCAACCCACCACACCTCCAAAAAGAAGCATTCCATGAAAACCCCACCCTCCTTAGTCCTTCCATCCCTTTTCCTTACTCCATGCCCAAAAGATATCTCCATCATCATCTCATTTGTCATTTTCTCAATTGCTTTCCTTAACAAAATTCACCTTCCCTTTTTCCCACGCTTTGTCTCCAACAACATTATTCAGTCCCATAATCTCTTTCACCTTCCCCTCCATTTCACCTCCCTTCTTCAGTTGCTATCTTGGCTTTTCAAAGCACATAACACTTTTATATCTGTTGTGTGCACCCACCAAGTGAAAGTTCCTGCAATAATTTGGTTCCCCACAACATGCATCTAAAACATGGTTGGTAATCCATATGGGACTAGGATTGAGTAATATCAAAATTGCCCCCAGAAAGAAGAAAACCCATCTCAGGAAAACATTGATTTTGGTATCAATCAATTTTCCAGACTAAAAAGTTGTCATCTTTGTAAGCTCCAAGGTCACCCATCTCCATTATTGTTGCTTCCCCCTTCCATCACCCATCACTGTTTTAGGGAAATGATGGAATCCTAACCATGCACCCTTCCACATTCCTTCCCAATCAATCAAATCCCAAATTCACTGTCTTTCTGTGGGGTTCAAACAACTTCCATTGGACCACACTACCTCATACAGTAAAAAGTAAATACATCACTCACACTCAATATACTTGCATCCTTTGTCAAAAAGTAGTTCTTCATGTTTGAAGTTTGAACATTTGCCCATGAAAGAATTTTTTCTCAGAAGATTAGACCATATATTATACACATTCCATACTGCTGTGCTGCTATACCATACTACTTGGGAACTGAAGCCCAAAAGAGAGGAAAATTTTGCATATGGGGTATCTGGGAAATGTACTCTTTACTGGGATTTTTCTCGTTTTGAACCTCACTATGCTTCCTTGTCTTCATCATCATTAGGCCGAGTCGAAGAACTAGAACCGGATATCATTCCGATCACCTGTCCTTGTGTAAACCTCTGTAACTGAATCATCCGAGCATAGATCCCATCAGGGAAGTTCTTCAGTAGATGCGAATGAGACCCTTGCTCAGCCACTTTACCATCATCAATCACAGTAATGGTACTAGCATTTCGTATGGTAGACAGCCTGTGAGCCACGATGATTGTGGTCTTCCCCGAGCAAGCTCGGTCAAGAGCCTCCTGGACTGACCTCTCGGATTCTGCATCCAATGCACTCGTTGCTTCATCGAGCAGCATGAGCTCTGCCTTCCTGAGCAAGGCACGAGCAATGGCAATCCTCTGCTTTTGTCCTCCTGACAATTGCACCCCTCTTTCCCCTACGTAGGTTTTGTACCCATCAGGCAACGAAGAAACAAACTTGTGGGCATTTGCTAGAGTCGCTGCCTCGATGATCTCCGCCTCACTGGCCGAGTCGTGGCCATAAGCGATGTTCTCATAAATGGTGGTGGCAAATAAGCATGGTTCCTGAGGCACTATAGCAATGTGCCTCCTCAAAGACTTCAGATTATACTTCCGGATGTCCTTCCCGTCAATCAACACCCGCCCTGACGATGGATCGTAGAACCGCTGTACCAATGCAATGACTGAGCTCTTGCCGGACCCACTGGGTCCTACGAGAGCCAGGGTCTTGCCAGCTCGAGCTCTCAAGCAGATATCCTGGAAGACAGGGATATCAGGGCGACTAGGGTAGGAGAAGTCAACATGCTTCAGCTCCACCTCTCCACGCAACCTGTCAGGGGCGGGGATGGAGTCTGCTTCGTCCGGTTCAATCTCAGTCTTGCGATCAAGTAGCTCGAAGACGGAGCGCATGGCTCTTCCTCCCTTGATAAAGTCCGGAGCTAGAGTGAGGGTCTCGGCGGCACCATTGGCAGAGACCATGAGAACCATGAACACTCTAATTGTTTTGGAGAAGTCTGAGATGCCGTGCTTCACAAGCCAAGATGCATACCAAAGGCCAAGAGCGTAAGATGCATAGAGAGCAAACTGAGCTATGCCGTATCCACTTCCAGCAATCTGTCCCTTCCAGAAGCATCGCCGGAGAGGGACTTCGAGATTGCTGGAGAAGAGGCCGATGATTTTGGACTCGGAGTTGAAGGCTGCAACTGTTCTCAAGTTGGCTATGGCCTCCCCTGCCAGCTGTGTGCCCTTGGCATGGGCTGCTTCTAGGTCCCCTGAGAAGCCTTGCATGAACATTTTCTGTTGAAATCACAATCAGAAACAACATTCATGTCATGTCATTTGCAACCAACTACTTAAAAGATATTTATGAAAAGAGTAATTACTAATTAGAGATACATTACCTGCAAAACAGTGGCTGCAACAACCACGGGGAAGACAGCTATGAGCACAAGGGCAAGCCTCCACTGCAAGACGAAACCTGCAGTGCAAGCAACCAACAAGAGCGCAGTATTCTGCACAATCACCGATATTCTATCTCCAATTGCCGATCTAACATTGTTCGCGTCGAGAGCCAATCTCGCAGAAATTCTAGCACTTTCATTCTCCTCTTGATCAAACCATGCCATTTCATTTTTAAGTACAGCTGCCAGCATCTTCTCCCTCACCCTCTTGGTCAGATTCTCTCCAACAATATCCCAGAAAGAATGCTGCAGAGTGTTGAAGATTAAGGCAGCCGACGAGAGGCCTATGAGCAAGTAGCAGTACTTGGCAATTTCTCTGATCATGTAAGCATGGCTGGGGCTGTAATAGACACTCATGACGGCACTCAGCACGTATGCAAAGAAGGCACTGAGGGACCCGCAGACGATTGAGCCTATTGAGCCAACTAATGCATAGCCCCACTCTGGGGAGTTCATCTTGGCGAGTCGCCAGAAGGAGCTGGCTTGCTCCTTGAAGGCGAGCTTCTCGTGGCGGTAGCTTGGGTGCATGCCGTCTAATGAGAGGCTGAAGTCCGAGGTGGAGAAGTCAGAGAGGCGACGAGAGTATGGGGAGCGGCCATAGGAGGAGTTCCGTGCAATGATTGGCGAGCTCAAGGAGTTCCTGGCACTCGATGGCCTACAAAAAACAATACGACATTTATCAGCAAACATACCAATTAGAGACCGCAGATGAGTTGGGGATGAAAGGTTAGCTAGCTACCTGGCACTGCTCTTTCTAGCATTGTTCATCGCTGTCTCATGTGCTGCCTCCTGCATCCTGATAAGCTTGGCGTAAACGCCATTCTCTCCCTTGGCAAACAACTCATCATGGGTCCCAATTTCAGTGACAGAACCTTGCTGTAGAACAGCTACGAGGTCAGCCTTCCGAATGGTGGAGAGCCGGTGAGCAATGACCAAGGTGGTCCTTCCTATCATGAACCTGTCCAGAGCTTCTTGCACGAGTTTCTCTGATTCGGAGTCCAACGCACTCGTCGCCTCGTCGAGGAGAAGAATCGCAGGGTTCTTAAGCATTGCCCTCGCTATAGCTATTCTCTGCTTCTGCCCACCTGAGAGCTGCAGCCCTCTCTCTCCCACCTGCCATTGAAGGAGAATAACAGTGAAGGTTAATTGAGATTCTCCTACTTTTTTATCTACCAGAAATTGTTAATCTTTTCTTGTCTGGAAAGATTTCATCTCGACCACCAACTTAGGGAATAATCAGTTGGGTTTATTCTAAACATCTCTTGTTTATCAGCATCTTAACTGCTAATAAGATTCCAATCAGCCTCCTATTTCTTTATTTGGTTTCTACCCTACAAATTTTGTAAGCTTCTGGGCCCTCTCCTTTGCTTCTGGCTTCTGCCATTAGTATACAGTAGTACCTGATTTCAGCACATGCAATGTTGACCAGAACATGTTACCTTCTAAATGCATGCATGGCCTAAAATCACATCCCCCACATTTGACTTCCTAACAAACCAATTTTAATTCAAGTTAGGTCCATAGTTTGTTGACTATATAAACAATTTCAAAATTTTGATCTCCCCTTGATTACAAGGATACTAATATAAAATAATATCCTTGAAAACAACCCCCATAAATTTAATTATTAAATAAAAAAATTATATACCCATTTTACAAATTGGTCAAAAGAGACCCATCATCTCATTTCACCATCCCAAAGAGACCAACTTTACCCCACACCCTTCCACCCTCTCCACCTCTCCAACTGCCCTAAAAAGACAATAATTTTGTTTACCTTGCACTTAATCAGCCTAATAATCACGGTTTTGAATCAAATCAAACGTGCTTTGGACAACCATAATGACATAATTGGATTTAGATTTGCTTTACCTGAGTGTCAAAGCCATCTGGTAACTTGGTGATGAATGAATGAGCATTGGCAACTCTTGCAGCTTCTTCAACCTCGACCTGATCAGCATCTGGCCTTCCCAGCAGTATGTTCTCTTTAATGGTGGTTGCAAACAGAGCTGGCTCTTGGCTCACTAGCCCTATCTGCTGCCTCAACCATCTCAGCTTCAATGTCTTGATGTCGTGTCCATCTAGCAGAACTTGGCCTAACCCACAAAAAACCCAGAAGGGAAAAATGGAAAACAGAAAGAACCCATTTTGCCATCAGGACCAAAAACATCTCCAGTTGCAAGCAAGCAGTTCGGCAGATGCACATTCATTTTGTCGAACACATGGTGTGCACTACAAACGAAATGATAAAAAGGAAAGGAATGAGAGAAATTTTGTTTACCTGATTCAGGATCGTAGAACCGCTCGATGAGGGAAACCACCGTGCTCTTGCCGGAGCCGCTGCTGCCGACTAAAGCTATGGTCTTGCCGGCGGGAACAGTGAGCGAGAAGTGGTTGAGGATCCGTACATCCGGCCTTGATGGGTAGGAGAAATCCACGGTTTTCAGCTCTATTAAACCGGTGACTGAGTCTAGCTCCACCCCTGACTCGCTGTTCCGATTCACCGCCGGCTTGTGGTCGATGATGCGGTAGATTTTCGCGGCGGCGACTCTGGCTTTCGCAAATGCGCTCATGCTCGGGGCAGCTTGTCCCAATGCCCTGCGGATTTTTTGCAATTTGAGAACAAAAAAGGAAGTGGCGCAAAATTTTGGATGAGATGAGAGAAAAGCAGAGCACACTTACAGTCCTCCAATCATGACGGCGAACATGGTGGAAATGGCGAGCCCGCCATTGGTGTAATGATGCCTGACGAGGTACCCGCCGTACCAGAGAAGAAGTGCATAGCAACAGAAGACGACGAAGTAAGTACCACCGAGTCCAAGTCCTTTCGCCACTCCGCTCTTGTAACCCAGCTTCTGCGCGACTCTCAACGCCGCCGAGTAGCCCTGGAGCGATCTCGATTCTCCGACGTACGCGAAAACAACCCGAATTTGAACCACCGTCTGCATTTTTTTTTCCAAGCTCAAAATTAAGCACACCCCCAGATGAACAAAACAGAAAAGATCATCCAAAATCGGGCTCAAATTCGAATTGCACTCTTACCTGTTCGACGATATTCCCAGCTTCCGACAGAGCTTCCTGGCTCTTGCTGGTTAGCTTAGCGAGCGTAGTCGTGTGAACAGCTGCGATTACAGCAATGAGAGGAACGACGGCCAGAGTGACGAGAGCTAACTGCCACACGGCTGTGAATCCCACTACGAACCCGGAAACCAATGTCGCCATGTAATGAATGAAATTGCCCAGCTGCGAACAAGAAAGAAACCATTTTTATTAGTAAAAGAAGAAAAATTCCAGTAACAGAAACAGAGCAAATTTCCTCTGTTTTCCTCCTCCTTTTCCCCATTTCTCTCACCTTCTCGCTAATGGCGTCCTGGACTGTAACTGCATCGGTGTTAATTGCTGAGACGACGTCGGAGGTCCGAACTTCGGTGTCGAAGTACTCAATGTCCTGGTTTAAAGCTGCTTCCAAAAACTTAATCCTCATCTTCGTCGTCTGCCTCTCACCAGTCCACATCCAGCATGAAATCTCTGTACAAAGTAGCAAAACAGTCCCAATTCAAGCTCAAATTCACTGACCTTGAAGATTACCAAATATGGAACACCATAGAATCAAAACCAGAAAAAATTCCCCCCTACCCGCCCACGAGGACGCCCAGATTGCAGCACCAACAACCAGAAAATAGTAAGCATACTGCAAAAAGAAAAAACCCAGAAAAAAAAAACAGAGCATTAAGAACTTAAAGTTCGAAGCTTTATGACAGCATTCTGAAACTTGCAACGTTTTCTGGCAGCCAACTCTCCAGTCTCTACCTTCAAGACTTCCTGAGTCATCTTATCCATATCATTGGCATTAGACCCAAACGAGTTAACGAGATCGGCGAAGAATCTTAGGAACAGGGGAAGAGAGCATCCGTGGACGAAAGCACCCACGGACCCAATTCCCATCAACACGTAATCCAATCCATCCGCAAATCTAAATAGCTCCTTGAACCCGACGGTGGCGACTTCCCCTGTCTTCTCCCCTCCATCGCCGGCGCCGGCGCCGGAGCCGCCATTCTCCTTCTTGCTACTACTACTAGTACCATTGCTATTGCTGCCGCTTTCCATTCCTCGTCTCTCCGCGGCGGCGGATTGTTTGCCTTGTTCCGGTGTCGAGGAAGATGAATTGGGCGCTAGAGAAGGAGTGGGAGGGGCAGAGACGAGCTCAAGGCCTTGCATTTCGGACCATTTCCACTGCTCAATTGGATCTTCGTCTTGTGACATTTATTTATGCAGGGGATTTAAGAAAGAGAAGAGAAGAGGGAGACGGGTTTGGAAAGTCTCCTCCTTCCTTTCTTACTCCTCTCTCTTTCTCTTTCCTCTGCCTGTGGAGGTTTATAATTTGCAAACAAGAAAACAAAAGGGGAAAAAAGGGAAAACCTCCATAGCCTCACTCACCTCCTCACCGCCATTTTTCTCTCTGTTTCCTCTTTCTGGTTTTCTTGCTTTCCCACTCTGCTCCCGCTTTTTTATTTACCTCCCGTTCTCGCTCACTACAGTCGTGGCCTCGTGGGTCAATTGAATAAATGGTTACTTAACTTTTTGGTAATTGACAAATCAGTCGTTAAGTTTTGATTTGTGACAAATTGGTTTCATGAATCAAGAATAATAATAGTCGCTTCCATCCATTTTCATTATGGTTGTGAACAAATTTTCAAAAGTTTAACATGCCAACTCCTAAATCGACAATCGAAATGACCACATAGACGAACTAATTAGCTTATGCCGAATAATCTAGTTGTCTGATCCGATGTTATAGTAAAAAAGAGCTAGTACTTGTCCTAATTCGAACGTATATTACTTGAAACCACCAAACAATCTCCTCCTTGGTAGCTAATTGTGGAGGGTTGATATCACATTTTCCATTACTAACTCAAATGGGTAAATCGTTTACTAACTATTCAAATTATTCACCATTGTGGTGGCTTTTCACCGTGCATGGTTTAAATGGTGTTAGATTGCACATCAGACACTCAAATCGATATGATCTCATAATGAACTGTCCTGTGATTTTGCTATTATTTGAACGGTCAGTTTTATCGATTCGACCTCCCATACAAGTTTATAAACATATATAGGGTTTCTTTCCACTATGCCAAGTTAGCGTGCAGTTGACACCAAAGTTTTTTTTTTAACAAGTACACGCAACGACGGGAGGTTGTCATGGTCAAGTACCATCCGTGTTTTTTTTTTTAAATCAAGTACTTATCCGAAACTTTTATCGATCGAGAGCGAGCGAATGCTAAGGTACACATGAAGACATCTGTGTAAAGTCGTGGTACCATGGAGACAACTACATATGACAACACTCCACACTAAACCCATTTGTCATCCATCTTTTGTTCCCATGCTTTCAAACTCACACACCATTCACTGTCTGCGATAGAGTAGGAAAACAACTGTTGAAAGCGCAATGACTTGAGATGTTGATCATGGTATGTATGGCATTTTGCTTGTAGTGTAGAAAACATACAAAAGAAAGTGACTGAAGATGAAGATTTGCAGAAGAGAGAGAGAGAGAGAGAGAGAGAGAGAGAGAGAGAGAGAGAGAGGGAGAGGGAGGTTTTCTCACCCGACAGAGAAACGCACACTGATTCAGTAGTACTGAGATTGGAGAAGAAGAAGAAGAAGAAGAAGAAGGGCAGACAGGCAGGCAGAGGGATTTTGACCAAATGGAAACCCCACGATTCCACTATTGCATTTCATATGTATACAGTGGAGACATGAACGCGTAAGCAGCATGCCCTGTACCAATGGGGTTTTGAGGGTTCTGCTGCTGATCATGCCCATTCACTCTTGTTGGTTGTTTTGCTTCCCCCTTTTTTCTTCTTTATGATGTGTTGTTTTCTTGTTGTTTTGGGCTTTATGGACCCTTTTGTTTTTCTTGCAAAAAGGTGCATGCCTAGGTGCTTTATTAGTTGTGGGTGGTTTTTGAGAAATGGGGGAATGGAGATGGGGAAGCTAGAAAGAAATGTCCATGTTGATTTATGATTTATGATTTATTCTAATTAAGATTATAGGATTCGTTGAAACAAACATTTTAAGTTAAGGTGGTCTGATTCTAGATTACAATGTAAGTTATGGGAGACATAATTTTCAGTTAACTTTCATGGATATTTAGAATGAAGTCTACTGAATCTATTCTCCACCAATGATTAAACTATTAAGCACTGATTTTGGCGAATTTATTTTTGTAATTATTTGGGCGATTTTTTTTTCTCGAAAGGCCATTTTGCTTAGATTTTGAAGGCTACAGATCACGGATTCGGCCTGAGGCTATTTTTTAACGATGATTAAGTCCATTAAGCACCGATTTGGGCGGATATCTTCCGGGTCCATTTTTGGCAAATTCCAAAGGGGTACCATTACAGATTTCGGGCGATTTTACCGAAATTGCATTTTTCTTTCAATTTTGGAGTCTACAGATCACGGATTCATCCCGAGACTGTTTTCAACCGATAATGAAGTCTACTGATCCTATTCTCCACCGATGATTAAGCCATTAAGCACCGATTTGGACGAAATGTTTTTCGTATGACATTTTCGAAATTATTTGGGCGATTTTTTTTCCCGAAAGGCCATTTTGCTTGGATTTTGAAGGCTACAGGTAACGGATTTGGTCTGAGGCTATTCTTCAACGATGATAAAGTCCATTAAGCACGGATTTGGGCGGATATCTTCTGGGTCCATTTTTTGCAGATTCCAAAGGGGTACCATCACAGATTTCTGGCGATTTTACATTAATGCCATTTTCTTTCGATTTTGAAGGTTACAAATCACATATTCGGCTCGAGGCTGTTCTCAACCGATAATGAAGTCTACTGATCCTATTCTCCACCGATGATTAAGCCATTAAGCACCGATTTGGGCGAATTTTTTTCGTAATTATTTAGGCAATTTTTTTAGAAAGACCATTTTGCTTGGATTTTGAAGGCTACAGAACACGGATTCGGCCTGAGGCTATTCTTCAACGATGACTAAGTCCATTAAGCACAGATTTGGGCGATATCTTCTGAGTCTATTTTTTGCAGAGTCCAATAGGGTACCATCACAGATTTCGGACGATTTTTACCGAAATGGCATTTTCTTTCGATTTTGGAGGCACAAATCATGGATTCGGTCCGAGGTTGTTCTCAACCGATAATGAAGTCTACTGATCCTATTCTCCACCGATGATTAAGCCATTAAGCACCGATTTGGCGAAATTTATTTCTTGCCATTTTCATAATTATTTGGGCGATTTTTTATTTCGAAAGACCATTTTACTTGGATTTTGAAGGCTACATATCACGGATTCGGCTTGAGACTATTCCTCAATGATGATTAAATCCATTAAGTACTGATTTGGGCGGATATCTTTCGGGTCCATTTTGGCAGATTCCAAAGGGGTACCATCACAGATTTCAGGCGATATTTCCGATATGCCATTTTCTTTCGATTCTGGAGGCTACAGATCACAGAATCAGGGCAATGCTATTCTCCACCGATAATAAAGTCTATTACTCCTATTATCCAGGGATGATAAGCCCATTAAGCACCGATTTTGGCCAATTTATTTTTGGATGGCATTTCGTAATTTTATGGGTGACGAAAGACCATTTTCTTTGGATTTTGAAGGCTACATATCACGGATTCGGCTTGAGGCTATTCTTCAACGATGATTAAGTCCATTAAGCACCGATTTGGGAGGATTTATTCCGGGTCAATTTTTGGCAGATTCCAAAGGGGCACCATCACAGATAGATTCCAAAGGGGCACCATCACAGATTTCGGGCGATTTTTTCGAAATGCCATTTTCTTTCTATTCTGTAGGCTACAGATCACGGAATCAGTCCGAGGATATTCTCCTCCGATAATGAAGTTTATTGATCCTATTCTCCAGGGATGATAAGCCCATTAAACACCGATTTGGGGCAATTTATTTTCGGGTGGCATTTTCATAATTTTTTGGGCGACGAAAGGCCATTTGCTTTGGATATTGAAGGCTACGAATCACGGATTCGGCCTGAGGCTATTCTTCAACGATGATTAAGTCCATTAAGCACCGATTTGGGCGGATTTATTCCGGCTCAATTTTTGGCAGATTCCAAAGGGGGTACCATCATAGATTTCGGGCGATTTTTCCGAAATGCCATTTCCTTTCGATTCTGGAGGCTACAGATCACGGAATCAGGCCGAGGCTATTCTCCACTGATAATGAAGTCTATTGATCCTATTCTCCAGGGAGGATAATCTCATTAAGCACCGATTTGGGCCAATTTATTTTCATATGACATTTTCGTAATTTTTTGGGCGACGAAAGACCATTTTCTTTGGATATTGAACAAATCACGGATTCGCCATTTGGCTATTCTTCAACGATGATTAAGTCTATTAAGTACCAATTTGGGCGGATTTATTCGGGGTCAATTTTTGGCAGATTCCAAAGGGATCCCATCACAGATTTCGGGCGATTTTTCCGAAATGCCATTTTCTTTTGATTATTGAGGCTACAGATCACTGAATCAGGCCAACGATATTCTCCACCTATAATGAAGTCTATTGATCCTATTCTCCAGGGATGATAAGCCCATTAAGAACCAATTTGGGCCAATTTATTTTCGGATGACATTTTCGTAATTTTTTGTGCGATGTTCCATTAAGCAGCGATTTGGCGGATTTATTCCAGGTAAATTTTTGGCAAATTCCAAAGGGGTGCATCACAGATTTCGCGAGATTTTTCCGAAATGCCATTTTCTTTCTATTCTGGAGGCTACAGATCACAAAATCAGGCCGAGGCTATTCTCCACCGATAATGAAGTCTTTTGATACTATTCTCGAAGGTATGATAAGCCCATTAAGCACCGATTTGAGCCAATTTATTTTCGGATGACATTTTCATAATTTTTTGGGCAAGGAAAGACCATTTTCTTTGGATATTGAAAGCTACAGATCACTGATTCGGCTTGCGCTATTCTTCAACGATAATTAAGTCCACTAAGCACCGATTTGGGCGGATTTATTTCGGGTCAATTTTTGGCAGATTCCAAAGGAGTACCATCACAGATTTCGGGCGATTTTTCCGAAATGCCATTTTCTTTCTGTTATGTTGGTTATAGATCAGGAAATCAGGCCGGGGCTATTCTCCATCGATAATGAAGTCTATTAATTCTATTTTCCAGGGATGATAAGCCCATTAAGCAACGATTAGGGCCAATTTATTTTAGGATGACATTTTCGTAATTTTTTGGGTGACGAAATGCCTTTTTTGGATATTGAAGGCTACAGATCACGGATTCGGCCTGAAGCTATTCTTCAACGATGATTAAGTCCATTAAGCACCAGTTTGGGCGGATTTATTCCGGGTCAATTTTTTGCAGATTAGAAAGGGATACCATCACAGATTTCCGGCGATTTTCCCGATATGCCATTTTCTTTCGATTCTGGAGGCTACAGATCACAGAATCAAGGCGAGGCAATTCTCCACCGATAATGAAGTCTATTAATCGTATTCTCTAGGGATGATAAGCCCATTAAGCACAGATTTGGGCCAATTTAGTTTTGGATGACATTTTCGTAATTTTATGTGTGACGAAAGGCCATTTTCTTTTGATATTGAAGACTACAGATCACGGAATCGACATATGGCTATTCTTCAACGATGATTAAGTCCATTAAGCACCAATTTTGTCGGATTTATTCGGGTCAATTTTTGGCAGATTTCAATGGGGTACCATCACAGATTTCGGGCGATTTTTCCAAAATGCCATTTTCTTTCTATTCTGGAGGGAACAGATCACGGAATTAGGCCGAGGCTATTATCCATCGATAATGATGTCTATTGATCCTATTCTCCATCGATGATAAGCCCATTAAGCACCGATTTGGACAAGTTTATTTTCGAATGGCATTTTCGTTTTTTTTAGCGACGAAAAGCCATTTTCTTTGGATATTGAAGGCTACAGATCATGGATTCGGTCTCAGGGTATTCTTCAATGATGATTAAATCCATTAAGCACCGATTTGGGCGGATTTATTCCGGGTCAATTTTTGGTAGATTCCAAAGGGGTACCATCACATATTTCGTGCGATTTTTCTGAAAAATGCCATTTTCTTTCGATTTTGGAGGCTACAGATCACGGTATCAGGTCGAGGCTATTCTCCACTGATAATGAAGTCTATTGATCCTATTCTCTAGGGATGATAAGCCCATTAAGCATCGATTTGGGCCAATTTATTTTTGAATGGCATTTTTCTAATTTTTTGGCGACGAAATGCCATTTTCTTTGGATATTGAAGGCTACAGATCTTGGATTCAGCGTGAGACTATTCTTCAACGATGATTATGTCCATTAAGCACCGATTTGGACGGATTTATTCCGGTTCAATTTTTGGAAGATTCCAAAGTGGTACCATCACAGATTTCGAGCTATTTTTCCGAAATGCCATTTTCTTTCGATTCTGGAGGCTACAGATCACAGAATCAAGCCGGGGCTATTTTACACCGATAATGAAGTCTATTGATTCTATTCTCCAGGGATGATAAGTCCATTAAGCACCAATTTGGGCCAAAATTTTTTCGTTGGCATTTTTCGTAATTATTTGGTCGACGAAAGACCATTTTCTTTGGATATTGAAGGCTACAGATCACGAATTCGGTTTGAGGCTATTCTTAAAAAATGATTAAGTCCATTAAGCACCGATTTGGGCGGATTTATTGCGGGTCAATTTTTGGCAGATTCCAAAGGGGTACCATCACATATTTCGGGAGATTTTTCCGAAATGCTATTTTCTTTCTATTCTGGAGGCTATAGATCACGGAATCAGGCCGAGGCTATTCTCGACCATAATGAAGTCTATTGATCCTATTCTCTAGGGATGATAAGCCCATTAAGCACCGATTTGGGCCAATTTATTTTCGAATGACATTTTCGTAATCTTTTGGGCGACGAAAAGCCATTTTCTTTGGATATTGAAGGCTACAAATCACGGATTCGGCATATGGCTATTCTTCAACCATGATTAAGTCTATTAAGCACCAATTTGGGCGGATTTATTCCAGGTCAAATTTTGGCAGATTCCAAAGGGGTACCGTCACAGATTTCAGGCGATTTATCTTAAATGCCATTTTCTTTCGATTCTGGAGGCTACAGATCACAAAATCAGGCCGAGGCTATTCTCCAACGATTATGATTTATGAAGTCTATTGATCCTATTCTCCAGGGATGATAAGCTCATTAAGCACCGATTTTGGCCAATTTATTTTCGGATGGCATTTTTGTAATTTTTGGGCGACGAAAGTTCATTTTCTTTGAATATTGAAGGCTACAGATCACGGATTCGGCCTGAGGCTATTCTTCTACGATGATTAAGTCCATTAAGCAGCGATTTAGGCGGATTTTTTACTGGTCAATTTTTGGCAGATTCCAAAGGGGTACCATCACAGATTTCGGGCGATTTTTCCGAAATGCCATTTTCTTTCTATTCTGGAGGGTACAGATCACGGAATTAGGCCGAGGCTATTATCCATCGATAATGATGTCTATTGATCCTATTCTCCACCGATGATAAGCCCATTAAGCACCGATTTGGACAAGTTTATTTTCGGATGTCATTTTCGTAATTTCTTCAGCGACGAAAGTCCATTTTCTTTGAATATTGAAGCCTACAGATCACGGATTCGGCATGAGGCTATTGTTCAACGATGATTGAGTCCATTAAGCACGGATTTGGGCGGATTTATTCCGGGTCAAATTTTGGCATATTCAAAAGGGGTACCATCACCGATTTCGGGCGATTTATCCGAAATGCCATTTTCTTTCGATTCTGGAGGCTACAGATCACTGAATCAGGCCGAGGCTATTATCCACCGATAATGAAGTCTATTGATCCTATTCTCCACGGATGATAAGTCTGTTAAGCATCGATTTGGTCCAATTTATTTTCGGATGTCATTTTCGTAATTTCTTGAGCGACGAAAGTCCATTTTCTTTGAATATTGAAGGTTACAGATCACGGATTCGGCCTGAGGCTATTCTTCAACGACGATTGAGTCCATTAAGCACCGATTTGCGCGGATTTATTCCGGGTCAAATTTTGGCAGATTCCAAAGGGGTACCATCACCGATTTCGGGCGATTTATCCGAAATGCCATTTTCTTTCGATTCTGGAGGCTACAGATCACGGAATCAGGCCGAGGCTATTATCCACCGATAATGAAGTTTATTGATCCTTTTCTCCACAGATGATAAGTCTGTTAAGCATCGATTTGGGCCAATTTATTATCGGATGTCATTTTCGCAATTTTTTGGGCGACGAAAGTTCATTTTCTTTGAATATTGAAGGCTACAGATCACAGATTCGGCCTGAGAC